TTTAGAAACCAGCAACTTTGATCCTTTGACCTTTGAGCTTGGCCTAACTTTTGAAAAAACTTTAACCTTGGCCATTACTTTTTAATAATTGGTGCTAAGCCTACATACTTCACATATGTACCCTTATGACGGGACCTTACTTTGGATACCAACAACTTTGGCCCATTGACCTTGGAATTTGATCTACTTTTGAAAGACTTTAAGCTTGACCATAACTTTTGAACGGTTGGTGCTATTGCTTTCATATTTAATATGTGTATTTCTTGTGAGAAGGCCTTTCCTTGGTAACCATTAATTTTGACCATTTGAACTTGACCTTGATGTTTGACTTACTTTTGAAAAACTTCATCCTTTTCCATATCTATTCAATGGTTGCTGCTAGGGTTTTCATATTTCACTGGTATATTCCTCGAGACAAGACCTTACTTTGGGTACCAACATATTTGATTTGCATTTGAGAAAGTTTAACCTTTGTTATGAGTTGCTATATGGGGGCATCAGTGTTTCACAAACACATCTTGTTTTTTACAAAGATATGTACTTGACACATGTTTGAAAACCATATTTTACTGGATCTTTACATTTCATTGATACATGAACATCGATATAAATGCTATGGAAAAAAGACAGATGTAATGTTTAACGTGTATTTCATTCACCTATGTATACATCTCAAACGTTTTTATTTCATGATGTTTGTATAATTTCTGCTTTAAAAGATCAATAATGATTGAGGGTTTAAAAACCAGTAGTAAACAGATCAGCAAATTTGGTTTGAGAAATTGATAAGAATCACTCAAATGTGAATACTTTAATATGTTAACAAGAAATAATCTTTTTTCTACTTTCTTAGTTTTCAAAGTATAAAAAAATTCTCTTAGCTCAGATTGTTTTATTTTCAATGATAGCAATAATAGTTGATAAAGGATAAAAGAGGTTATTAGATAATATTAAACTTAGCCAACAAAGCCATGGACCTATATATACATGTAAGCTCAGTCCTATACCAGAAAACTCACAAACCAGGCCATGTAACGTGTAATTACTGTTATTGAGGAGTTTCGTTTCTTTAAGACTTTCAAATATTACTAGTGTTCTTAAGGCAGGCTACTGACAGATACTGATGATAAACGAATATCAACATTCTCGCTCAGTTTAATAAAGTCAACTTTCACAAATTCTGTGGTCCATACAATGACCTTGTTTGCAAATACAATCTATCGATACGTCGGATGTTGATTGACGTATTTCATACAAATTGTTAGATCATTATTTTCATACTGAATTGTATACGGATTTTTCCGTTTACCCGGTCATGACAAGGGGCACATGGCAGTCCTAACGGTCGACAGGGGATGCTCACTCTTCTACTGTCCTCTATTTTTAATCAGTCAATGTTTAGTGTGCATGACCCTCCCTTATTTGCCATTGATAAAAAAAATGCTCCTGTTACCATTTATCACGCTTTCAAGCAAAACCATTTCTTTCTATTTCAGTGCAAAGCATAATTTACACAGTCATTTGAAAATTCTGTTAGAGTATTTATATAAAATTTATAGTCAACTTATCAATAAAAAAAAATTACCTTTAACTTTAATCAATACCTCAAAAAAGTAAGTCAAATCAGAAAACATTTAGGCCTACATTGCTTAATATACACTGAGGTATTTCTGTGTTAAATAAACATACCTTGCAAAAATTTTCCTTAAGATTTAGTTTTTCAAAGGTCATAATTCAATAATGTCTAAAAATGAAGGATGAAAGACCATCAAAATCAACAAAAAATGAACACAAAATAGCTATTAAATTATTTCAAAGTAAAATAATCTTACCATGATAAAAATTGTTTTTAACTGGTGGTTTTCATATAGTTTGTATCATTTCTGGGTAGAAAATAATATCTCTCCTTGCCGAAATAGTCACTTAAATATTAAAGAGGTCTGTGGTGAATTAACCTATTGACCAGGATAAAGTGTCATATGAGGTCCTGGCACACAGCAGCGGAAATTCTACTGCGAGGCAAAACCAAAGGGGTCCACAAAACAAAAGGAAACAATTACTGAAATTCGGGCATAACATAGCTAACATGCTTTAAAATTGTCAAGGAATTTAAAAAATAAACATTAGGTCAAAGAAGGTATTGATAAAGTTTTAACTGGTAAGGAAATCTGGGTGTGCTATTTTGAGTCTTAGAGGAAGATTGATAATGAAATGCAGCTTCTGAGAGGAAGCGTCCTGAAAGCGCCAAAAGGAACCATAGCTCAAAAAAATGTTATACAGAATCTGTCTTTGACCCGAGAGCTCCAGTAATACAGAAACCTAAACCCAAGGAAAGATAACAATATAAGCTTTTATGTTAAAAATATATTAAGGAAATTTAAGCTGATCTTCTGTAAGTGACTTTAAAAGTTTTTCTGTTAGTTGACAAAGCTGCGGCTGACACAAGCATAGAGATGTAAGGGGGAAAACGATCGATATTACAGGGATTTCAACAAACCCAGTTAAAGTCAGTTTTATGCAAATTCTACGGTCCTTATAATAATAAAAACTATGGTTGGTTGTATTTTTTCTGACATATTTCATACTATTTTCACTATTTTTATACTAAATTTGACTACGGAGTAAGACATTCTAAGCCACTATTTTTATACTAAATTTGACTACGGAGTAAGACATTCTAAGCCATAGTTTTTATACTAAATTTGACTACTGAGTAAGACATTCTAAGCCACTGTTTTTATACTAAATTTGACTACGGAGTAAGACATTCTAAGCCACTATTTTTATACTAAATTTGACTACGGAGTAAGACATTCTAAGCCATAGTTTTTATACTAAATTTGACTACGGAGTAAGACATTCTAAGCCATTGTTTTTATACTAAATTTATCGATTTTTCTTACATGATTTATAGTGTTTGTTAGTTCATTGTTTTCACACTTAATTTAACTATGGAGTACTACATCTACCTGATCAATGCATAGACCTCACGGCGGGTGTGACCGATCTACAGGGGATGCTTACTCCTCCTAGGCACCTGATCCCACCTCTGGTGTTTCCAGGGGTCCATGTTTTTTTTTCTGTTCATGATCCATTTTGTTTACTGGATGTATGAGATTGATCACTGTTTATTATCTTTACCTTAAATTACATTACAGAACCAAGTCACCCCCTTTTCGTCAGATTTCAGTCCCTATGACTTCTTTTTATTCCAGAAACTCAAGAAAACACTTACAGAAAGATGCAAGAAATACAGATCTGCCCTGTTATCCATCAGTGTCTTTTGAGCATCCCTAAAGACGTTTACGCTGGGGCGTTCTGGTCTTGGGTAAAAAGACTACTTGTGTTAATGTTAACGAAAATACTCCGAGAAACTAAAAATAAAAATTTTAAATTAAAAAAAACTGCTTTTTGTGTTTTATGCTTTGGTGCATTTTTAATGCCCCTCGTAATTATTTTTTAACATACTTGTCAACGTAATTAAATGAGAGTTGTGTATGACAAACAGGATGACTTCAGCTATTCCATCATCAACTTCCCTTACTAGTTATTAATGTAATAAAATATTCCAACAACACCTGCATATGGTGTTTATGTCTCCCAACTGATTCGATACGCAAGAGCATGCTCAGGGTACGATCAATATTTAAATCGGGACAGGTAATGGCAAGTAAGTTGATATTACAGGGATTTCAAAAACCCCAGTTAAAGTCAGTTTTTCGCAAATTCTATGGTCGTTATAATAACTCATAATAAGGACTCACAGTGGATGTGACTGGTCAACAGGGGTGCTTACTCCTCTTAGGCACCAGATCCCAGCTCTGGTGTTTCCAGGAGTTTGTGTTTTTGCCCTATTCACGATTCGTTTTGTTTACTGGATTTATGAGATTGATAACTGTTGTTAACTTCACCTTTTACATTACCACACCTATTCTGGATTCCAAAACTTTATAAAAATTCTTACAAAGAAAGGCACATTGCCGTTTCCAGTAAATGTTGTATTTGATAAGTCCCTAGCTTTACTCCTTACTGAAATATTAACTTTTGTGAATAAGAAACTTCAGATATACTGTGCTACAACATACTTAAAAAGTAATGTAAATTAAATGTGAATGAAAAATGTCTTAAAAACACACTGTTGGATATCACGTGGGCACAAATTGTGCTCCTTTTACAGCCATCCCGTTTTGGCAGTCTTATGAACCAAAACTGATTAAAAATCTTAGTGTCACTACTTCAATTCGACAATAAAGTATGTAGACGACGTTTTTTCTATGAACAATATTCCTTTTTATTCATGTTAACGTTGTCTCTTTATATCCCAAAGAATTTAAAATAAAAGACAGCATAGAGTCTGCAACATTTGTTTCACATTTAAATGTTTTACTGAATAAAGACGTTAATTGCAATCCAACAACTAAAATATATGACAAAAGGGTTGTCTTCAGCTCTTCCTACGCCAACTTTTAAACAAAATGAGTAGCATCATGAAAGAAATTCACAGAAATCTCTATAATTTCAATTACAATGAAACATTGTTGAAATACAAAATCAGTAAATAGAATCTTGAATGTAAGCGTAGTCTACTTGTGAACAAAGTTTTAAATGAAAACAGACAAACTATACGAGAAGTAAGATTTTGAAAATTTCACAGAAATTTTAGTATAGTAACCATGGCAGTGCCGTTCGTTAAAATAAAAAAAAACAATGAATAAATCATGTATTTTGGTGCATCGTCTACATGCCAAGTTTCCTTGAGACCGCACAAAAACTCTAACAGGGAAGAGTATTTTGAACAAACAGCGAAACAGACGACACTTTACTACTGTAATAGAGCTCTTAACGTACTCTATACGAATAGAGCTAAAAATGAAATTGTCTCGAGCTCTTACATTACAATTATCTTTTTTAAACCATTAACTCTTTATTATCAAACCATCTATAACATCGTATATGTACATAAAAGAACATGGTAATTTTAGATGTACATCCAGTAATAAATCAACATAAATGATTGAATGACATAAGAGTATATCATTTATTTGATTAGATAATGAACTATCACAGAAGATAAGCAACAACTAAAAACGTTACTTCAAATGCAAATCATATTATAAATTGCTGAGGCTATTTAAAAAACAAATTATACAAAACAATGATAAAAAAATGACTACCAACAATCTCCAAAAACGGAGAGATAAATGGACGGCTCATTCGACATATAAACCAGAGTTTATCACAGTCAGTAGTTTAAGAGTGAGGTGACAGTCTTCAGTTAATCATCCAAATCAATGTGGTTATAAAATACCCAGTATTAATATCCGCGCTACTTCTACAGTATTTGAAAAATGAGGACGGAGAAAGTTTGCAATGGGATGCTGGGAGTTATAATTGTATTGCTATGACGTCATTGCTATCCCAGAATTTAAGGGTTTCTTATGTCTGGGTTTATGGTGAAAACAGTAGAATTACAGTCACACAGAGTTCTTCTAAACTGTTTCAATGTATCATAGGCCTCTGTAAAATAAAACAAAACTTCTCATAGAATGTTCAGAGAAAGTAGTCATGGAAAACAATATACGTACATGTAGTTTACAAAGTTTAACTTTTATTAACATTTACTGCAATGCTACATTTTTTTCGAAGCACGTCTTAAATACACGTAAGAAAAGTAATATAAATGATATACGGATGCATTTTTGTAAAAAAGATTTTATTGTATATTAAGTATTATACTTACTTGAATAGTAGAAATTTTCAAAATGATCTACCGACTGGAACCTGTGTAGCACCACGAAGTTCCCCTTCCTGACGAAGGAACATCGGAGACCCTCGGCATCTGTCGTGTAGGCTGCGCCATGCTGAACCTTGAAGGTATCCATCACTTTGGCTGCATGCTTTATATAGCCGTCGTTTAGTTTATCCCAATTCTTACAGTTTCCAAACTCTTGTAGGTGAAATGTGTAGTTTTCTAGATAAGGCAATGTGGGGAAAATTTCCAGTTATTGTTAGCATTTAAGGGAAACAACTTTGGATCCAACACGGAATAAAAACAAATTATTAGCGACAACCAAAGGATAAACTAAATACTAGAATTTTATGGCGATTTTATGCAAAGTCGAAAGAATATCTCGACTTCTATAAGATAAAAAGTCTTTCGCAAAGGTTATTTATTTTAGTTTCAAAAAACATCCAAAACTTGTGTAACTTTTGAGACTTCGTAATACACTTAATATGGTATACTATTTAAAGATATACTACAATCAAACCTCGTTATCTCGAACTCGATGGGACAGAGAAAAAGTTCGAGATATCCAAGGGTTCGAGATATCTAGTGTAAAATACTTAAGAAATACGTGGTTGGACTTCCCAATCACTTTGACATATCCATGGCATTCGAGATACCGAAGTTCAACTGTATTTTAAAGTAAGGTCCTAAGAAATTTAAAATGTATCAGTTTATGATGCGCTTTGCTTAATACCGGAACTCGGTCTAGCTTTTTGTTCCACTCCAAAGATGACCAAAGGCCGACATACTGACAATGATCTCAATAAAAAATGAACGTGTTGTACCTCTGTCGGCAGTGTAGTGGACAGGGATAAGGAAAATCTGCAGAGTGTCGCTGGGTTGGGGAAAGTCGTCATTCTTGAAATATTTGTCACTGTTGATCCACCTGATGGCGTTGGCTTGATCTGAGAAGTAAATAACCAGGATACGGCGATTGGACGGCCATTTTGTAAGGTCTTCTTCATATACGTTACACTAAAAAATAAACAAGTGAAACTTCTTAGATATGCACATGTATATATTTTGAAAATAAATGGCATATGCATGTGTGTATATACTACTATATGCATCAAACAAACTTTCCCTCTTTTTCGTCAGTCCAAATCTAGCTCGTATGAGTCTTTTTTACACTTGTGCCAATATTCGTGTCCTCGTTAACATTGTACATGTAGTTACATCTTAAATACCGGTATTCAATGGAATACATGTTTAATTTTTCATCAAATAATTTCATTTCATTAATTTTCCGCGCGATAAAATTCGTGCTCTAATTTATACCAAAAAATATAATTTCATTCATTGATATATGTTGACAACTTCTTCGTCATATTTGAATAGTAAAATTTGTAGTTCTTTGATCACCTAACTTCAATGGTTGTCTAACCACGAAAACGACGACGACAATTTGTGTTCAATACAAAAAGATGAAACCACAGTATTGCACTTTTGGATAAGTTTGATGCATGTCAATCATAAGTATTACACTTACTTCTCCTGAAATTCCGATGATTTTGCCGTGGTAGTTTTCTACCGCTCGTTTAGAGATAGCCAGGGCATTTCTGATCCTCATCTCCATTTCATCTCGGAACCTAATTATCATATAAACAGCCTCCTTGCCTGGAATGATCTACAAACAAGAAATAAAACTGCTTCAGATTTCTATATTTCTTTTTTCAATTTAATATCAGCTATGTTTTTTATCATTCAAAAATATTCTGAAAAATGTTCTTCAGGAAAACGTCAATGACAATAATTTATTGAAAATTGTGTCGGAATGCATTTTACCGGTAATTTATAAGAAGTATTTCAAAATGTTGTATAATAGCTGAGTATTGTTCAAATTCAACACAATCAAACATGTAGTTTAAAGACTCACAAATTGGAGTTCCATAAAGTTCAAACATTTCTTAATAACTCAAACAAGAAAAGGATAGGACAGCAAGTTTTAAGTTCCATGAAATACATAAATACATAACGTAATCGTTTCGTACTCGGTCATTGTGTGCTATTGAATATGTTCGAATCCAAGTATTTCAGTTATACAGTACACTGATTACAAATTGTAAAGAAGGATGTTTCTTTCCAATTAGGCCATTCCAAGTTTTTTTCTCTGTTTAGCGTCTACCCATCTATCAAAAACCTACCAACCTATTCGCAAAAAAACACACAAACCAAAAAATAAAGCACAGACAGACTTTACTCGTATAGTGGAAAAAATGACTTCATTCAAGGGATTTGACTTCATTTATTTAGTTTTCTTGTAGAAAGATCTATTCTTTATCAAAATCAAGGTACTAAATGCTTAAACTATACCTTATATGAAAAATTTTAGACAGATATTTAGAGAAATTGACAGAATTAGAAAGTTTTGACCAGAATAATCAACTTGAACTTCTGATTTTGTTGGGGTTTTTTATGATACAGGATGTCAAAATCCAAGTGGCACACGGACGCTAAATGGGGAAAAAACTTGGAATGGCCTTATTTTGTTAGTCGGTATCTTCTCATTTCCCAGCTTTATATGAATAAAGATAAAAAAAAAAAATTTACATAAAATAACCATTTGCTTTTTCAAGATACATCTTTCCCAAAGGGGAGCGGATCATAATGTGGATAGAGTACTTCACAGTGCTTTGTGTAAGCTAGTATGACAAGAAAATGACCGAAAATTGTACCTAAAAGGTCAACATTTTTTTTTCAACTGAAAAAAATAGTCGTGTTATCACGAATAGGGTTTTTTTTCAACTGCCCGAGAATTTGTAATCAGTGCAAAGTCGTAGTTTCACGAATGGTTTTTTTTTTAAACTGATGAGAACTGATGTTGCCCGAGAATTTGTAATCAGTGCAAAAAAAATTGCATTGCCCCTAGTGACAACATTAACACAAAGGTATTTTGAACTCATCATGTGTGGTTTTTTCCTCCCCTGATGACACTCTTCAGAGGGTAGGATTATATCTGGCTTACCTTGAAATCCTGCAGATCCTTCTTCTTTTCCATGCTAACAACTAGTTGTGGTTGTGTTCTAGAAATAAAAATCGGATCAATTTGAAACCTTCAGATTTAGAAGCAGTCAGTAATCAGAACCTCTTATCCCTTAAATCCGAGCTTAGTTGACTTCTAAAAAAATATTTACCAATGTTTGCACATTTTTCTCTGAAGTCGCTTGTATATTGTAGAGACAAAAAGCAACACTGAAGCCGTCAGAAAACTGCTGTCATAGAGACAGCGCAGGGAAAAAGTCGTGTTAGAGTCAATTTGTTTTCCTGATATGATATAATGAGATCAATATTACCGTCGCCTGCAGTCCTACAAATTGTGTTCTATCGTATTACCCTCATTATAACATTAACAATTTTCTCCATCCAATATTTTAATGAGTAAAAAAATAAATGGGGATGAATCTGTACGTTTGATTGCTTTAAAGTCGAAATCCTGTTTTCAGTTCTTGCAAACACATCAACGGTGGTTGCAAAGGTGAAGGATTTTTTTCTTTAGAAATAATTTTTTATAACTACTTTTTTGAATTAAATGACTTTCTATCCTCATTCTAACAAAAGATGTACGTAAATGGCAGTCTTTTATTCAAAATCTAGGCCATAAAATGCATTCAAGTCAGATGCTAAACAACAGTCCTTTGAAATGCAAGGTAGCTTTAGTGTATGGATGAATAGAATGTTCTAAACTTAATCAGTTTACCTTAATGAAAATCAGAAAATCCTAATAAGAAACCTATATCACGGATCCCCTGCTTTATATATTTTCACTGATCAGCAATCACCCTGGGTATAGTTGGTCATTTCCTGGGGCACTTCCAATTTTGGAGAACCTGCAGGCAGGTACATGTATATAATCACAGTGAAATGTCCAAAAACAACATTTATCATTTAATCTTAACAAAACTTTTATTATTTATTTTTGTTTTGGTTGTATATTAATGCTAAATGTACCTCAGCGTGTTGGAACACGAACTATTTATTTGAGTGAAAACAAACCCATGAAACTGTTTACATTTATTCAAAACATTAAGTTGAATTCCTTGTAAAAATATTCAGAAATGATACTCATATGGCTTATCAATTTTTGTATCGTAATTTAAATGTTTTGTTGCTAGGGACTCGTGTATTTTAAATCAAAGTTTAACACTTAACAATCAAGCAATAACAGCAGTGATTTATGTTACAGAAACACAAAAACGTTTTTTGTTTACTCACGTTTGTAATCGATAGGACTCCGGTTTCTCTGGATTTTTCTCCCTCCTTATTGTTTTAGGGGCACGGATCAGCAGTTCCCTCCCAGATGTAATCTTTATATCACGGTAGAAGAACGGTATGGATGTGTTTTACCTGTACAATAAGACACCGTATAGATAATATCTATACGATTAAAAACTCTGCCACCTAGCGGTGGGGGAAGCGTTCATCGATACCACAAACACGGGTAAATATTTTTAAATGCCCAATATTCATAGCCGTGGGTCTCACCAATGACAGAAAAATTGATTAGTATAGTGAAAACGTGCAAATGGATATTTCATAGTTCATGTGGTCTTCTTCAGTGGGATTTTATTGACCTTTATAAATAATATATTCTGTCAATCAGTTGTCGAGTTTGATTAATACTAACTCCTGAGAGGAAAATTATCGATTTGATATGCATGATATATATATATACACAATGGACATAACAGGTGGAGCATCGTAGCTAGATTGCTTATCATGGCAGTAAAAACGGGGGCCGGCGTTTTTCCTGAATCCTCTTTTTTCCCAACGCAATTCCCTGACGGAAGAAAATATGAAAATCCCCCATGCACCTCAAAAAGCTTAGGATTTTGATTTATCAGTTGCCTTTAAATTAAAAAAAAAAAATTAAAAAAAAAATAACCCACCCCACCCATCCGCTTTCCCATGGCCAGCCCAAAGAGGACCTTTGGCTTTGTTTGGAAAAAATATTTTGATAATGATTATAATTCTTTTTTTTTTCAAGAAAATTTAGTTTAGTGTGCCTCCTTCACCAACTGGTCTGTCAAAAATTGCAAAACAAACAAAAGAGGAACGAAGTCGGGGCGACTTTTTGTTTTTGTTTTACCTTTAGAAGTTTTGTCCGAGAATGTTCTCGTAGATGACTTACAAAATCTTTATGAAACGTTTCAGAAATAAAAATCATCACACCTCTTTTTGCAATCAATATTTTTAATTTTCAAAGTCACTTTAGACATTGAAATAACAAATTATTTAAGAAAAATTTCTGCTACTTGACCATTGTATGCTATCAGAAGTTTCATTTAAAAATCACTTTTCCACTCCCAACCCAACACATTTTTGTTATTAGTCCCCTACCGGTGAAACCGGAGGGGACTATAGGTTTCCTCTGAGTCTGTCCGTCCGTCTGTCTGTCTGTCTGTCTGTCAGTCTGTCCCACTTGGTTTTCCGCACTTTTTTCCTAAACGCTTGCAGATATTGAGCTGATTTTTGGTATGTGAGTGTATCTTGATGAGTTACAGACCAAGTTTGCATTTCGTTCCGCTTCATTGATTTTTGACGGAATTACGGCCTTTTCAATTTTTAAGGGTTTTCCGCAATTTTCTTCTAAACGCTTGTAGATATTGAGCTGATTTTTGGTATGTAGCTTTACCTTGATTAGTTATAGATCAAGTTTGCATTTCGTCCCGCTTTATTGATTTTTGACGGAATTATGGCATTTTCAATTCTTAACGGGAACCAGATTACACTTGCCGGTAGGGGACTAGTATTGCTAATGCAATACTCTCAGAATGCTTGTTTAATATTAGTGGCGATAAGTCTATCTACAAACTAAATATAATTCTGCAAGGTAATCCAACGTATACCCATAGTTCCCTTTCTAAGGAGAAAGTTCTTCGAAATCATTGTCACAGATAGTCGAGCGGATTTATTACTTTTAACTAAATTTAAAAACAACTCAAATGATTTGTTCCTACAATTTACATTTTTAATGAACCATGATCAAATAAACAAATGACAAATGACATTAATTGTTGTTGTTTGTCCTAATGTCCCTTCCCTCCGATGGCTTTGTTCACCTCGCAGGCTGGAGGACAAACTCTAGGTCCCACGGGTGATGCCTCTACTGAACACTGGGTGGCCTCACTATTACACGTGAACTCGGAAGTACGGATGGATGGAACCTGCTCCAACATACATATACAAGTTTTATTTTCAGGCTCTAGTGGCTTAACACAAATACACAATACATTCATTATCAAATTTTTAGATAATGAATACGTCTTAGATAAGACTCAATTACACACAAATGAGTTGTTTAAAGCTATACACACAACTCAAACACAAATGCAATATTGCGAATTGCTACTATACGGACTAACTGTTATGACGGAAATTGCACACCATACATTGAAATAATCAAATACGGGTTGCTACTTATAGTAATCAAATTAAACAAGCATTCTGAGAGTACATGTATTGCATTAGCTACTTATAGTAATCAAATTAAACAAGCATTCTGAGAGTACATGTATTGCATTAGCAATACTAGTCCCTTACCGGCAAGTGTAATCTGGTTCCCGTTAAAAATTGAAAATGCCATAATTCCGTCAAAAAAATAAATGAAGTAGAACGAAATGCAAACTTGATCTATAACTCATCAAGGTAAAGTCACATACCAAAAATCAGCTCAATATCTGCAAGCGTTTAGAAAAAAAATGCGGAAAACCCTGAAAAATTGAAAAGGTTGTAATTCCGTCAAAAATCATTGAAGCGGAACGAAATGCAAACTTGATCTGTAACTCATCAAGATACACTCACATACCAAAAATCAGCTCAATATCTGCAAGCGTTTAGAAAAAAGTGCGGAAAACCAAGTGGGACAGACTGACAGACAGACGGACGGACAGACTCCGAGGAAATCTATAGTCCCCTCTGGTTTCACCGGTAGGGGACTAACAAAACATAAATGCTAAAGAAACTGATGAGAAATGCGATGACTGGGTGTTTTAGGACAAATGAATGATATACATGTATAAAAAATAACTAAAATAAATTTATGAATATAAACCTTACCTCAGAAGGACCATTACACTGTTAAAAAAGCATTCTGAGAGTATTGCATTAGCAATACTAGTCCCCTACAGGCAAGTGTAACCTATTTCCCGTTAAGAATTGAAAATGCCATAATTCCATCAAAAATCAATGAAGCGGGACGAAATACATACTTGATCTATAACTAATCAAGGTAAAGTCACATACCAAAAATCAGCTCAATATCTGAAAGCGTTTAGAAGAAAATTGCGGAAAACCCTTAAAAATTGAAAAGGCCGTAATTCCGTCAAAAATCAATGAAGCGGGGCGAAATGCAAACTTGATCTGTAACTCATCAAGATACACTCACATACCAAAAATCAGCTCAATATCTGCAAGCGTTTAGAAAAAAGTGCGGAAAACCAAGTGGGACAGACTGACAGACAGACAGACGGACAGCTAGACGGACGGACAGACTCAGAGAAAACCTGTAGTCCTCCGGTTTCACCGGTAGGGGACTAAAAAAAAGTAGCACACCAGAGCACGCACCGCCATGAATCACAAGGGTACATACATGTAAAATACAAAGATATAAGAGGAGATAAAGGCGTCCTCCTCTCTGGACTGCCGTGTCCAAACTAGTTGCGGGAACTGGCTGGTTTAAGGTCCAGTGAATTGAGGCTTACGCGGGTTATGTATTTTTTCTGCAATAGCTGCGACATTAATTCCCATTCTAACAACCAAAGAAAGCATTTTATTGTTTAAATATACCCTTATCACCTACATATGGAGTTTATGTCTCCGAGTTGATTCGATACGCAGAGCATGCTCTACGTAACGAACAATTTCTAAAACGAGGCAAGCAATGAACAAACAATTTGAGGAAACAGGAATATTAACAGTCTCGTTTAAAGTCACTATTTCGCAAATTCTAAGGTTGATACAATGACCTTGTCAGCAAATACAATCTATATCATTAACTCCAATCGAATGTTGACCGACATTTTTCATACTAACTGTTAGGCCATTATGTCTCAGGATTTTTCCGTTTGTCCGATCATGACAAGGAGCACACGGCGGATGTGACCTGTTGACATGGGATACTTACTCCTCAATGCCACCTGATCCCACCTTTGACGTTTATTATTCACTTTTTGTTTTTTCTATCTATATCGGAATTGTCAAATTACAGTAACCGTGCTAAAGTAATACATATTGTATGAGTGCAGAATAAACGTCTTTGATGAGGTTAAAAAAAAAAGGATTAATAATTTTTATTCTGAACGCACAAAGTGAACAGAATAAATCTCCTAGGAAGGTAGAGTGGACGGAATTATTGATGACATTGCATCAAATTTAAAATAATTAAAGTTTGGTTGTTTATATTTTGTACAGGTGTTATTTTTTTCCGATAATTTTTTTGTATGATTTTTGCCTTATTTACACGTCATTTTCATGGAAAATTCTTTGCTATTATTGCTATTGTGTGTGGAATTATCTCAATTACTTATTCTTTATATAAATAGCTATTTCTTGTATCAGTAGTGACTAAAAATTCTGTTCTGAAAACGAACGTACAAATAAAAAAAAAATATCCACAACTAGCATTATTATTCCTTCAAATGTCGATAATAATTCTACTGATATGTTAGCAGTAGTTTCCGATATTCGTGCATGGAATTTAATTTATGGCTATTCTAATCTTAATCTTGGTTCTTTCCGGGTGCGAAACACTAACACCTCCTGCCCCCACCCGACCCCGCAGGAAATCAACATTTTTATTATAAACCAATCCGCTCCCAAAACTATTTTATTTTATTTACAACTTTGTACAAAAATATTTATGGCTCCACAATCTTTAAGTAACACGTGTTTCAGCTAAAGTTGTCCGATCCTTTAATAGGTTCTGAGAGCAGTTAAATAATTGAATATGTTCAAAAATGTCTCTGAATTCATAAAGTATATTTACCAATGATTTTCTTCAAAATTCATCATTGTAGTTAATCATATTATACATGTATATAGAAAATTTTCAAAATTGTTGCACAATAAGATTTCAATTTTAACATTCCGAGACTTTTTAATTCAATTCAATTCACTTTATTGACAATTACCATGTCGGCATACAGTCATGACATAAAACGAATTAACAAGAATAATACATACATATACAAAGTGACAAATGTGAGTTGAACAAAATAATGTAGAGTATATTCACATATTTCTAAGTATTCATTGCTGACTTTCTTTTCTGGTGTCAAAGCACTTTTTCAAAAAACAACATATCCTTCTAGCAGTTGTAATATTTGTAGGATTGACAATTTTTCTAATGGGATTATCACTAGTATATGTGTTTACATTCAATATATCAGTATAATTGCATCTAAATTGGTCATACTTTGAACAGTATAGAACAAAAATTAATAGATAATAATAATTTTAAGAGTTATTCTTCTTGGCTAAGAAGCGGATATCCTTTAACAAAAGAAATCAATTTTCCAATATAGTCAGTTCGGGGTGACATGCGCTATTGCTTGCAATAACAGACTTTCTAGTTTTAAATGCTAATTGTCAATTTAACTTTATATCCAAACACCTAAACAAATGAAATGTTAGGTCTTTGAATGACTTGGATCAGTGTGACATTTTCATATTTTTCGCATGTGGTATAATGTTGCAGTTGAAAATATTAAGAAATGTTGTCAACTGGTGTTATGTTATATTATTAAACAATAAAATGCTCTCTTTGGTTGTTAGTATGGGAATTAATGTTACAGCTGTTGCAGAAAAAATGCAGCGTGTTATGTAATTTATTTTTCTGAAATAGCTATAACATTAATTCCCATACTAACAACCAAAGAAAGCATTTTATTGTTTATATTTATATCTGTATAAAAACATCATGTAAAGTAGGATCGAGTATATCAAATATTGTATCCTTGGTATGTACATCACTGTTTCATTGATGGAAGAGCCTCTGCTCAAGAAATCTGTACAGATGATATGCTTATTGCTGTTTACTGACTGATAAACAGCAATGGTTTTCTTTAGAAATAAAGAAGATATTCCGTGGATGTAAATAAAAAGTTACCATTTCAATCGTTTTATTAATGCAAATTATAGCATACATTGTGTGAACTTTATATGCATAATGCACTATCAGTTATGGAAAATGCTGGATAAGTTAGACTTCACTCTGAACACCGGAAAAAATCAAAGAAACAAATTTTCATGATCATTTTCTTTAATTCAAAATATCAACTACTTTATCACATGTAGCCCTTGATACACGTTTATAAGGCATTCTAGCATTTATGCAATGCCCCCTGTTACACTTTTCTAAAGGCATTCTAATGTTCAGACAATTTCCACTCCTAGAGAACAGACATTTGTAACCAGCATTCAGATCTACCAAATATAAACAGTGAACAATGCAGGACAGAGAGAAGTTAATGCCAAATAATATTTATCCAAAAATAATTACTTATTCACATTTAATACCTTACAATCCACTTTCAAGTTGGTTTTATTTGATATGCATTTCTTCATTCTGTTTTTTACCATCCGAGCAAGGGATTGTCCTAGTTCTTTACATATACATTTTATTTAAGATGTGTGTTGAAACATTTTACTTCATAATGACACTGAACACAACAGTCTAACACAGTTAAAGAATTTCTTTCCAGCATCAGAATTTGCCTCTCTCCTTAGTTCAGAATAGAACAAGTGCTATTTTCACTTCAGATGTGATCAAATTTTTGCTAATACAGTAAAACACACTTACAGCGATCACACTTATAACAAATTGACGCTTATAGCGAAGTGATTTTCATTCCAAATGACTTTAAAATATATTGTAAACTTACTGGATATAATGAATTATGCTTATAAAGAAGCAAAATCACTCATCCCTGGCACTTCATTATAAGCATGTTTTACTGTATATTTCATATTTAAAATTAAGGAAGACATATTAACCAAACGTATGCCACATTTTAAAATAAATTTTTTAAACTATGGAAAATATATGCATATTGTAAGGTAAAGGCTACATTCAGTGTCAAAATTGTCAAAAACAGAAAAATAATTTGAACAACTTCTTTAACATGCTACAAAATATTTGATAAGAAGAAACTGCCACAATCAAAAGCAAGAATACTTGGTTATAAATGAAATTAAGGCCATGCAACCACAATACACTGTTGTCTGTACGACAAAGAGGGAATTACTTCTCTCTGGATCTAAAGCACAAAAAAAAAAAAAACAAATAAATACACATAAACAACCCACAGGTTATGTGAAAAAAAAATAAATATAAACAACTAAATAATATCTACAATGAACAATCCAGGAAACAAATATACATCAAAATCCTCCAAAAACTGGTAAAGCAGCAGAACTTTTACAGACATATAGGACAACTCCACAAGCTTGAATTCACTAGTTTGCTTTAGAGTTACTTGTCCAATCCTGATATTTTTCAAAAACTTCCTATATTTGGTGTAATATATAACTTCTCAAATCTGAAGCATGGTTAAAGCTAGATGTAATTTGCCGTGGATCATGGGACAAGCTTGATAAAAAAGAGTAATTACCGCAGGGAAAATTAATGTCATCTATGAAGAATAAGAAGTCTATTATCCCCACGTCCTGGGGCAAATAGGTTCAATTCATTTGTGTGACAAACTTGTTGTAGTCCAGACATGTGCAGCAAGCTTGCTGTAGTCCAGATATTGTATAGATCATGCTTGGTGGAAGATCAAATATTTTCATATACTGCATTTCAGCAAAAACTTGGAAATACTTTTGTAAAATATACTGTATATTTTTCAAATGCTATCAACACTTAACAATTTCCTTATTATTACCATAAGCATCAAGTGAGATTCTCTTAACATGGATACTGCCCTCAAAAACACAACATACTACATGTATTACATAATTATTCTGCACTGAACTGAAAAAGCATAAGCCAAATGAAAGTTTCACTGACTAAAACTAACATTCAGGATATAATCAAGGATTGTTGATATTATGTGTAACAAAATAAAACAGATAAAGAAACATGAGACAGGACAAGACCTTGCTAAATATTTTCCTATTTTTATCTTACAATGAAATAAATAACATGTCATTTTATTTAAAATATATTTAACAAGAACAAATACATGTAATTGCTGACTGTTGATTCAAGAGTTACTGTATGCATGATTTTCTTTAAATGAAATGGTGAATAATGTTGAATAATAATTGGGTCATGGATAAGACAATTGACTAGCAGTGATTAAAATAAATTGTTTTCTCTTAAACTGTGAAACCTGTAGATACACTTCAAAATAAAATCATCTAGTACCCTGGAATACTCAGCAACACACACACAGGAAGATATATTTACAACTCGCACCTACCTCAGGACTATTGCAATACTGAACACATTTAGTCGACAAATAATCATGGATTTATTGCCTATTGTAAATATCAACTTCTTAAAATTGATGGATAATAATAATAGATTACAGTTGTCTGCCCTTAGACCAATTATTTAAATCCAAGTAAGAAAGTGCTCAAGGTCCAACACAAAAATTGGATTTCTTAACTAAATGATTTCTCAAGGATACGGAATAAGAACTTACTGGTACATAATATCAGAAACCAGCATGTTCTTAATTCATGGACTCTCAATTCCCAAAATAACTAGATCACAAGAAAATATGTACAAAATGGAATTTTTAGCCGATACTTTTCTTTGGAATGTTGACATTTTTACAAAGATGAGACAACAAAGATTCTTACCAGACAAGCACTAACAAGTGTAAGTTTAATGCTGCTCAACAAATGTTTGATGTTAACTTGAGACATACATCATAAAAATTGTAAAATTAAGTAAAACAAACACAAAAACAGGAAAAAAAGAAATCATCATACACTAGAAAAATGTAAAAAGTGTGAGCCAGCCACATGACACTTATAATTCATTATAATATTTCATCACCTTAATAGCTATTAAAAAGAACATGACACTGCATCTTACAATTTAAACATCATGCTTTATAAAACTGAGGATTGTCTCCGATTTCTATTTATAGATCTGTGACCTGGTATCGGGTGGCCCCAGATTTAGTAGATGGGACTTGAGGTCCCGGTTGAGGATGGTATGGACTTCCGTCATATCGATTGGAATAATTATAATTCCCTCCTCCATTCATCATAGCTGGAGACGAGGGGCCTGGGGAGGGAGAATCTGATTTAGACAAGGGAGGGGCACGGGAGGGGGGTAGATTCTGGGGGTAGGACTCTAGAGAAGCAGGTGTGACAGCTATGCTGTTGCGTTGTTTGCCGTCTTTGGTGACCCTATTCTGGATGTTCTTCGTCACCGGGTCATAAAAGAAGTGCTCATCTGGGAACTGACTCTTAAGTCTCGTAATGTGACATCCGTGACAAAACAGATGATTATCCAGTGGATAACAACGCTTGTCGGCTTCATCCGTCAGCTGTAGACCACAGTCCTGTAAATATAAACAACCACTTATACATTAGATGTAAGACTCAGGGCTCTGTTCTAAAGTGTGCAGCTATTTATTAATTACCCTATAGACCTAATTATAATATACATCATCAAAGCGCCCTCTACATTTTACTGTCACCAAAGCAAACCAATTTCTCCATGTATAAAAGATGGTATTTTTCCTCCATTTAAGCGTTTCTTTAAAGCCTATTTCAAATTTTATAGGTGAAAAAAAATATTTTTCTATCATGCAAACTGTTTTTAGAATCAATCAAACCAAACACACGGACTGCCATGCTAAAGATTGACAAAGGTTTGTTTGTCTAACAGTGAATCTGTACTGATTATTTTTGTTTTTCTTTCTGCAATAAAGTATTTCCTTCCTGCTAGTATCACTTCATGTGGAGACATCTAATATTTATGAGTCTATTTCTTGAATCTCCATGAATTTCTTCAGAGGTTGCAGGTGAAATTTTATGTCTTTAAAAATCAGGGATTTTTTATTTGAAAAAAAAAAAAGCAACAACAAAAAATTCAAAAATTATTCATTTATGAGGAAAATTGTCAGTTTTTTTTCTAAAATAACACAGCATTTTTAACTCACATCCATTATTTTATGCAATACATTCTGTTATTCCTTGCACACTTACAAATGCAAAAATTTAGTAAACAGATGTTATTTTATTATCCAAAAACTTAACAAAAAATCAACAGTTTCTTAATGTTTGAACAACATTCATGAGAGATTGGAATTCAATTGTGAGTAAGTCTTTGGCAGTTTTTTAATTCTCTGCAGCACATTTGAGTTATAATCACACAGTTTTCAGAATAAAGCTGAGATGATTGGTCAAAAGCAGAACCGCCCATGCTGTTCTGTGACTGCTTGTCTAAGCTACGTGCATCATCAGTACTCTACTTAAAACAAGGAACACTGGGTTATAAAAATACTAACCCCTCCCCTCCCCCCTTTTCAAAAAAAAAAATATAATGGAAAATTATACAGCAAGGAACACACATTTTTCTAATTTTTTTGTGGAAATTAAAAAACAAAGAAAAGTTAAAATGCTGGTATGAAAAATCACAACAATTAAAAATGAAATTACATGTTTACTACATAAAACACAAATTAAAAATGTTTCAAACCACTGCAACCAAACAAAAAAATATAAGAGTATGATGATGCAAAAAACATAAATTCACTGAAAGCTAAAAAAATTAGATGCTTACTCCTCAACGTTTCTGTTTTACTGTGTCTATGTCTCTGATTGCTAAAATTTAAAAAATGTCACCATGGCAACCATTTGCTACATGTAAATGTATTCATGCACCAATTTAAATAACTGTACTGCATACTGAAAGCACTGAATAAAAGCCAGGGTAATAGTACAGTATAATATATTTATTGACAACAAGTATCTTTTGACTCTTTAAAATACCAAATTTTACTTTGATAAAGGAGAGGTAAGTCAAGCAGGCTTGTTTACCTCACAATGGTAACAGTCAACGTGGAAGTCTTTATCCATGGACACAACTCGGACAGTCTCTTCTGTTCCCTGTCAAATAAAACATAATAAATATAGTCGAGCATACAATCAAATACAACATAACAAATATAGTCAAGCATCCAATCAAATACAACATAACAAATAAACTCTACAACACATTACATCCTCAAATATTAAGACAAAAAATCTTGGAAAAATCATTTTATATTTTCTTTAAAGGGGGTAAACTTTCCTCTTTAGTATCACAAAAAGTTTTGTTTTGAGGATAAATTTTCTTTCTTTTTTTATCTAACAAGCAAATTCAAAGAATTGTGGTCCCCTGCTTTTGGTGTCTTAGTGGATGGGATGCCATTATTTATGCCATATTGTGTCTTGTTTGTGTGTCCTGTCTCGTCTGTGCATCATAGAAAAGGGACATAAATTATTGAATAAATAACAATTATGGCAAAGATTATAGCTTCTCAAAACTACATCAAACTTCAAGAGCAAGGTCATGAGGTCAAATATCATAATACAATCTAAAAAGTCTTGTCACAAGTAATGCACATGTGAAAAAATATTAAAAGAAAAAAAGAAGTATACAATTGGAAAGGTCTTGAAAGAGGTAATGCAGGGCTTGGGAAGGGGCCGTGCCATGCGCCATATGCACATACTGTCGAAAAATGGCGCAATGAAATAATGGTGTGCAGCGCCATGCGGCGCGCCCCGCAAAATGCGGGTATGCATGTTTTATTACTTTGTAAGTTCATCGCAGTCTGTGCTATCTGTATTCTTCATCGAAGTTAGATGGAATCTGTGATGTATTATATAATAAAATCGGAACCATCATTCGGCATCTTGACATCCACTGGCACAGAAACATTTTTTTTTTTCATGGCGTTCGATTCGTAAGTGTCAAGTCGTTTTCGATGGTTGACCACAGCTTTACGAAAGTCACGCACTTGGAAAATTTATATACCTTACAATGAAAAACATTTTCAACGAATTCCACTTATTTTGGCCTGTCCCGTGATCTCTAAATTGGCATCGTTAAAAAATGGTGCTTTTGGTTTAAACATAATTTTTCTAAATACTAGTTGGTGAGAATCTAGATGACGATTGACTGAAGTTCTTAGAAACGGAAAAAATCATTTGCACTAGTCAATGTCATATGACTTGTCAAGTCAATTCCTATCGCGTTTTTCTTTTTAATTTTCCTAAATTTTGTTGTCAGAGATATATGCATTATCATAAAGCATCATACTATGATTTATTTTAGGAATGGCCCCGATATATTTCCCTTCGGCCCCTTAAATTTCAAAATGGCCCCATCATTTTATGAACAGTGGGGCCATTGGCCCTACCTGTTGCTTGACCTTCCCAGGCACTGGTAATGCACATGTTAAATGTAAATGCCATATCTTCTCTCAATCAAAAGTTATCAGCAATGTTAAAATTTTTGAAAATTAGGTCAAACTTCAAGGTCAAGGTCATGGGGTTAAAAAATCATAGTACACTTGGAAATGCTTGTCACAGGTAATGCATGTGTCAAGTATAAATGCCCCATCTTCACTCCTTCAAAAGTTAGCAACACTGATAAAATGTTTGAAAATTAGGTCAAACTTGAAGGTCAAGGGGTCAAAAATCACAATACATTCGAAAACATTTTGGCACAGGTAATGCACTTGCCAAATATGAATGCCCTATCATATGTCATTGAAAAGCGATCACCAAAGTTAAAATTTTAGAAAATTATGTTTAACATGAAGGTCAAGGTCATACATGTAGGGTAAAAAATGATAAAATGCTCGGATACATGTTGTTACAGGTAATGAACAAGTCAAATTTGAAAGCCCTATCTTTTTTTCTTCAAATTTTATGACCAATTTAAAGCAATATTAAAATTTTTGTAAAGTAGGTCAAACTTCAAGGTCAAAGGGTAAAAAATAATAGTATATTTGGAAAGGTCTTGTCACAGCTAATGCCCATGTCTAATACAAAAGCCCTATCTCTTCTCAATCAAAAGTTATAAGCAAAGATATAATTTTTGAAAAGTAGGTCAAACTTCAAGGTCACGGGGTCAAAAGTCATAGTATATTTGGAAAGGAATTGTCAAAGGTAATGCACATGTAAAATACAAAAGCCCTATCTCTTCTCAATCAAAAGTTATAAGCAAAGATAAAATTTTTGAAAAGTAAGTCAAACTTCAAAGTCAAGGTCACAGGGTCAAAAATCATTGTATACTTGGAAAGGACTTGTCACAGGTTATATACATATTTAAAATGAAAACCCTATCTCTTCTCATTCGAAAGTTATGACCAATTTAATGTAATGTTAAAATGTTTAAAAAGTAAGTCAAACTTCAAGGTCACAGGGTCAAAAACCATAGTTTATTTGGAAAGGTCTTGTCACTGGTAATGTACATGTGAAATATGAAAGCCTTATTTCTTCTCATTCAAAAGTTATGACCAAGGTTTTAAGTTTTTGTGACAGGCAGCTAGACAGAAGGACAGACTGACAAATGAGATTTAATGTCCCCTCGCTTTCGCGAAAGCGGGGGACAAAAAATCTTTAAATATATGTGTAAAGTGAACACATTATAGTGTCAAAATATCTCTTTGAATTCAGTGGTATGAAACATGCCCAAAGAAAAATATCATTCTGTCCTTATATTTCCCTTGCAATAAACATTCAATATTTTGTTTTTGCTCAATTGGTTCTGCTTGATTGGCTTATCAATCACAAACAATGACAAGAATTCCTTTAAGTGTTACTGGGTGTCTTCTGTCCCATTACAGAATACCAACACTTATATCTGACACCATTTAATGTCAGAAGAGAGATCCTGACAGGACATGCTGACATTCCTTCCATGCTTTGTATCCTAGTTGTGTATTGTCTTATTGCCGGGATCTCATTAGAGAGACCTGAATGAATGAAAGTAGAACTAGAGGAGAACTGGAAATCCCAGCATTCCTCACTCGAGTACGCAAAAAAATGTGTAAGAGGCCAAGGTCAATGACCAGTGAGAACAACTGCAATGGATGCATCTTATCCCCACATACATTTCAGATGAATCTCTCTTGAATTTCCATGTGACAGACCATGTGATCAAATGATGCTTAAAGATCATGGGACTTCTTGTTCAAAGTTCCTCAATTCAAAAACCTTACTCTTTCTTAAGTTTAAATGTTTGTACATTTTCTGTTAACTTTTCTTCAACAAATTGATCAGTGCAGTGGTAATTCATTTTTCATTTCTCTAATTTTTCCACCATTCCACCCCAAAGAATTTTAGATCCTTCAACTTACCTCAACTGGGGTGATTGCCTGGCCACATGCTGCACACTTGGGAGCATACACTCTGAAAATAAATAATCACACAGTTAATTCCAAGCATGTGTTTCAGGAGAAACTCAATATCTTCATCATAAAAAAAAACTTCAAGCCATTTTACTTTTTCTCTGGAATGCCATTCTCACACTCTCACAGGAAATGAAAGACACTGGGAAATCTGGTCTTCATCATAGACTTTTTTTTTAATTTGGTTTATGAAGACGAGTTTCCCTTGTTTACCTTCTTTTTTTTTTTCTATATCATGAAGTGCTATTTGACTCTATTTGTTTTTAATTATATTATTTGAATATTTCTGCTGAATTTAGAAACACTAATATCAATTCACTGATGTAAAGTTAAAAAATTCTCTTTCTCAATATATGACTAATGGTATCACATGCATTCCTGCTATAAAATTCTCTTCACAGTTCAGTAATATGATAGGTAATTGTGCAGTGACAAATTCATGATCACCATAAATTTCTTTGATGACTGGCTGTTATCTACCTGAGCTCTGTGGTTTTTAATGATTGTGTCATATAGTTCTGAGATCTTATTACAAACCACAATATAACATTTTCGACACTAGGAAAAGGCTGCCAAGGCAAAAGGGTCAACTTTTCCATATTAAGTAGAACATTAACATGTCTGTTCAAACCACAAAATGATCATTCAAACAGCTCTAATTAAGTGTAGCCAAAAAATAAAATTCCGTTCAACTACATTCCACCCGATTGACTGACATGATATATGCAATCATATTTGATTTTCAGCATATAATCTCATTGCATGCATGTACAGGTCCACTTATTCTAATATCATGTAGTAAGCAAAAAGATTTTATCGGGATAATTTGAATATTACAATAACAGCTCATATTTAAGAGGTGGCTTTAAATGAGCAAATTAAAACTTTTCAAGTAAGAAGAAAATGAAGAGATGCCAGACAAGCCTCCTAGAATTGTCGCCAGTGTGTTAGGTGGCACTTAACATAACGACAGCAAACCTAAACTCTCTACTCCTACCACGATCATTAGCAAGTCCCTTTATGAAAAACTGCTGAATTATTGCAATTGAGAGCTCTTGGCGTCAGTTCATTTGAATCCGGTCAACTTCAACATAAAAAATAACAGATCACATAAAAAATAATAGATCACTTAAAAAATAACAGATTGAAAGTCTCGCATGACTTCTTGGCTTCCCAAAATATTCATCATCCTAAAAATTTCTAAAATTATTTCAACCCCTAATCATTGCATGTTCTTATATTCATCACAAGGCTATATGTAATTTATGGAGAATTCTTGACACACCTTTTTTAACAATACATCTTCTATCAGTGCACACATCACACTGCTTTGAGGTATGACTACAGTGTGTATCTATAGGATCAGAGATGTCATCTTGTTTCCCCATGCAGAAATGACTAAGAAGGAACATATATCTCTGTTATACTGCTGACTGTATATCCTCACTTACAGGTGAAATCTCCGTCCTGACTACCTGTGTTTACCACAGAAAAATCACTCATACCTGTGGCAGGTGTAATGGACTTGATCTTTACAAGTCACAGCCTCGGATAATTTAATGACTGGCTTAACGGAGCTCACTGTCTCTCACACCTTTTTATCATTCATAAAGGGTCTACAATTATCTTTTACAAATCAGAGAGCTTGAAAGAAAAAGTCCCCAAAATGTAATGACACTCTGAGTAGTTCATCAATGATAACTCTCATTTCCCATTAACCTGTCTGCCCCCATGTATAATAATTATCTCTCAGAAAATCAGAAATTTATAATATGCCTCATTAAATAAGTGTACTCTGTTATTTTTTATGTGTATAATGAGTTAACTCCGCCAAGAATCTCGTTCTCCACTGATGACATCAGTGTGTATTTATAAACAGTCAAAACAAAGCCCCGAATCTTTGTAAATGTCAAGTCTATGTACATCTTGCATACGTGATCTTAATCAAGATCTCCTAGCCATCAAATTGTGCAAGTGTTGTCACCGTTTTATCATCGTTACAAACTTATCATACATCATTACTTAACAAGCTGTTATGAATGCATGAATAAAAGATAAATGTTAATGTTATCCTAATTAGTGACCTTAAGTTGAATCTCTGTCAACTTTCAACATTTCAGACCTTGTTAATAATGTACAGCTGTCTATATTACCACACTCAAACACTGAAGGAGATTTCTCAAAATTTAGTGAGAAAATCTGGCAACGAGAAATTTCTTCTATTTACAGATAAATCCTCTGGGTATGCATTACATTAGTTCTAGCAAAAAGACCTCCTCAGCCAATAATTCATTTGTTAATTGACAGTTTATAATCGCTGTCAATATAAATTCACTTGTCAGTCATAGACAATAACTGTCAAAAATGCAACATAATATTGTACTGAGAAAAAGTTGACAATTACTGTCAATAACTTACTCCAATTGATATTAAAAATGAATGTATAAATATTACCAATGGATAATTAACCATTACTCTCCAAAATTTATCAACTGATGACCAGTTTCATTTTGCTATATGCAGAAATCTGTAAAATAGGGATAGACTTGCTCCTTCCTTCCAGACATTTGGTTAACATCTTTCTATTTCTATCTATTGGCAAGATTAGCTTTGGAAAAGAGAATATATATAGAGAAGAGGGCACACCCATTTCTACTCAGCATCAAATTTTCAGGTGGGACTGAGTTTTCACTAGTGTGTAATACCTGTGATAGTCAGCAATACAGTAGATTTTGTTGTCTACGTCAATCGTAAATGGCACACCGTCCAGACATTCGTTACACACACAACATCTGAAGCAGCCTGGGTGATAGGCCTTGCCCATTGCTTGTAATATCTTTAATAAAAACACCATAAAATCATGTAAAAATTTAAAAGGCTATAAATTTGACATACTTTATGTTGTGATTTCAAAAATTCTTTGAAGTGCAATGAAAGAAATAACTGTGTTTCAAAAATGTTTTGTATTAAAATGAACAAAAACTCAACAATGTCCAGGTTTGAAACGTTGTAATTTTGACTTTTTTGTGTGTCATGAATGCCTTTATTATGATCTGGGGTGTCAAGAATTGAATCTAAATCCAAACACAACTAATATCAAACATATCTCAAGTCTATAGCGAAGGATTATTTCTGAAAAGTAAATATGCTCAGGTGATTAAAAATGCCATTTTACATTTACTAAATTGAACAATTTCTTATCCACGTTCCTTATATCTTGACCCCACTCATCATGAAGTTGTTCAATGTTTGCTTTTTTTGGAACACCTGGTCGATCTTGGCAGCTATTGAGTGTGATAGAGGCTAATATATCGCGGATGAGAATCAATTTTTACAGAATTTTATATAAGGCTGCAGTTAAACACCCACCATCTCCATAATCAAGTGGCCGCAGACACAACATTTCTCTGCAGTCTGTTGAAAACCAGAATACTGAAAAGAGAGACATTAAATACTATACAGGATCAATAAAATTAATAAAGTCAACAGGAAATTCTTTCATCAAATGTAGACAAATGTTTAACACAGTTTCTTTCTTGTGCCTAACTTTGTGAACTATGTATATTCTATAGTGTTCTGACTTTTCTATCCACTCGTATAAGGAAAAATTTACTTCTGTATTACAATACAAGAATCCACTCTGATTAAGAGAAGCTTCTTTCTAACAATATAAGAATCCACTCTTATAAAGAGGAGTTTCCTTCTTTATTACAATATAAGGATCCACTCTTATAAAGAGGAGTTTCCTTCTGTATTACAGTATAAGAATCCACTCTTATAAAGAGGAGTTTCCTTCTTTATTACAATATAAGGATCCACTCTGATAAAGAGAGGTTTCCTTCTGTATTACAATATAAGAATCCACTCTTATAAAGAGGAGTTTCCTTCTGTATTACAATATAAGGATCCACTCTTATAAAGAGGAGTTTCCTTCTGTATTACAATATAAGAATCCACTCTTATAAAGAGGAGTTTCCTTCTGTATTACAATATAAGAATCCACTCTTATAAAGAGAGGTTTCCTTCTGTATTACAATATAAGCAGGGCTAGACAAATAGCATTGCCCGACGCCCAGGACGACCACTTTTGTTTTTTGGGCAAGTTATTTGATAAGTGGCGCCTGCCCGCGGACAAGTGCTTTTCCAATTATCAAAAAAAAAAAAACAATAATTTACTCAAATGTCTTTTGTGTTGTCACTTTTAAATAGGAGTGAAACGGTTCACCGCGGTATCGATGCACCGCGGTATTTTTTCTCGGTTTGATACACGGTGCAAAATCTCAAATTTTCGGTTCGGTTCATTTTTCGGTCGGGATCGTTATTCAGTCGGGTTTGGCATAAGGTATAACACGTTACTCAGTATAAATAAGTATAGAAAATGTAAATTTTTGATGACTGATAGCTTGTAAAATAATTTTTGACAGTCAAATAATTTTAATCAATTTCTTCTAGTCAATTTGCAAATAAAATTCGTAAAATATGTGACTAGATTTAGAAAAAGAAAGCATAAAACAACGTAGAATTTGTTTCCTTCTATCAAAATGTATCGTATCGAAAATAACCGAACCGAGACAAAATTATACAATACGTATCGAACCGTGAAGGAGGTGTATCGTTTCACCCCTACTTTTAAAGTATCATTTATCACAGCAAAGCACCTGTTTTCACTGCTGTTGACCACTACATCGAATACTCGGTCAGAACTCCTCTAGAATTTACCCATGATTAACGTATTGTTAAGATATACAGAAGTCGTAAAACATGGTAGCTAGCCGATGTCGCCAAAAAAGTTGAATGGGATTTTAGACTTTTTTTTGTTGTCAAATATTAAATTCATACTGTGAATACAGACGAGTTGGTGGTATTAAAATTGACTGACTGGTGTTCCCTGGCAATCACACAGCCAGGATGTAGATAGTTCAATCGACATGCAGTCTAGTGTTCACAGATTTGTAGTGTTTGTAGGTATTTTGAGACTGATCACTGTTCGTTATTTTTCACATTTTTCATCAAATAAATACACATTTTTAAAAAAAGAGGATCTTATTGAAGAATTTTGAGGAAGAAGGTTCCTTAAAATTAGCCCCAAAAATTTATCCGTGGGATTTTAGATCTAGGTTGGTCCTCGTGTAGTGTCTCAGTCAAGAAATAATTATAATATTGATGCTTTAATTTTGTGTAATTTAAGAAAAAAGTGGGACAAGCATAGTTTTTGGTAGGACAAGTAATTTTACGACTGTAACCTGTCCGAGGGCAAGTACTGCAAATTTCTATTTGTCTAGCCCTGATAAGAATCCACCCTGATAAAGAGGAGTTTCCTTCTGTATTACAATATAAGAATCATGAGTACCAAGCTTCAGTTAGGAATTCATGGAATGATTTGATCCCTGATTTACTTTTTTTTCTTCATTTAATCATGTATTATTGAGGGATGAATAAGATTATTTGTAAAAAGTAAAAACTCCTGATCCTCGATCATTTATTCTCCACAGCGATAAAATTATGGAATTCCATGTTGACAACGTGCAATGCATCCATCACTTATTTCACAGATGATAACTATGTTTAGCAAATTAAAAAGGGCAGACTGTTGGAATGCAGTAGATTTTTGGACTACTTATAAAAACTGGAATTTGACCCTGTAAATCCATCACAATGATAGGATAGATCAGCGCTGAGTGTGCAATTATAAACTGTTGTCTCTGATGCTATGAAGTTATCACCTACATAGGTGACACCAGGTAACAAAGGGAACATTGTGGTCCATACACAAGGGGAACGCAAGATACCATCATAATCAGTTAGCTCAAAACCTTCTTTGTGAAATTTAATGTCCAATGTGTACTTTTAAACCTTTGTAGCTTGAAATTTGTGGAGCAGTGGATTACAGAAATCTCTGACGAGAGATTACAGTTTTAAGATGTATCAGATATGTCAGATTTGTTATCAGTACAATTACAGACTTATATTGAAAGACTTCAGATAGGAAACACTAAGTAATTAACACTGGAGGATTCTAATCAGTTCCTTGACACATTTTTTAAGGAGGTTGTGGGTGATAAGTAAACGGCCATCTTCTGCCTGCTGCACCTGAAAGGTGAAGCTGTCAGGGTCACTAGAGCGTTTGATCCTCTGTCTTCCATGGACACCTTTGATGCTTTTCGGCTCAAAGGATATTGAGGTTTCAACACCACAGTAAAAAAAACCTTTACATTTGATTTGTCCAACACCTGCCATTTTCAATACAGATAATCAAATAGTCTGGGTGCATTTTTAATATGCATTAAAATATTTTCTCTTTCAACATCCAATAATTAAATCTCCTTTCAAAGTCATCAAAGACTTTCTCTAATTAATTTCAAAATTCTACTTTTTGGGGGAAAGATCTTTAATTTAAGAAAAATTTTTTGCTCTCTAAAGTATGATCATAAATGAAATTTGTAAACTGATGATTCAATAAAAAAAGAGAAGATACTCTAGTTCGTTCTAAGTACAGGAAAAGACATTGAACTCCACAACAATCTGTAATGGTCATTACATACTGCATATCTGGGTTTTATTTCTCATGATGATCTATTTTTCACATTTTTTGAGATCATTTTTAATTCCCAAAAAATAATGTCAGTAATTGTGTGCCATAAGAACATTATACCATTTTTAAATTTTTTTTTAATTGTAAAAAATAACTTGCGCAAAATAAAAACTGTACAAATCTATCCCTTTTTTGCAAAATTTCAATCACGTGAGAAAAACCCGGATATACGGTAAGATGGAACTGACAGAAATAAATTTAAAGTGACTTACCAGATAATCCTCCTCACAGTATACCTTTCCGTGGACGTTGTAGAATGCCTTCCCCCTCAGTGTCCTCCCTACAATATCCAAATCACAGCTGTTAACTAAGATCAAACATACTTAATTTATAATTAACAATCAATATTTACCTTTTTACAATTGATTGATTGTATGTTGTTTAACATCCCTCTTGAGAATTTTTCACTCATATGGAGACGCCACCACTTGACGGTGGAGGGCTACAAATTTTGACCTATACTCGCCACTCAGGGCCATTGAGCAGTGAGGGATCTTTTTTTGTGCCAGCACCTACTGCAACACAGGACCTCGGTTTATATGGTCTCATTCGAAGGACCGGTCTCCATGTCCCGCAGTGGGACCTTTTTACAATTAATGAACATGATAAGCATAACTTAAGGATTCTCCACCAGTTTATGTAAGTCTTAATTTTCTTCATTTATAGCTTTAAGAGCATGTTTAATAAATAATATCTCAAATAAAATCAATGAAGATTATTGTAACAATGTACACATGTATTGATAGCACTGCACAGAGCCTTCAATGACAAAACACTTTGCTTTGATACAAATTTCTAATAAACTATTTAGCTAGTGTATGACCTTGCAAGGTTCTGACTTGATGGCAGCACCAGACTTCAAATGATATACCTTATATACACCCAATCTATATCACTACAAATCATTCCGTCATAAATACATTTAAGCCTTTATGTGAGCTGCATTTCAGGATACTGTCCACAAAGTACAACAGTACTATGAAACTGTGATGACCACTTTAGTACAGGATAGTATACTTAAGACAATGACTCTGATGTAAGTAGGGAAGACACGACGTACAAGGACGTACTTAGGGAGTCGGATAGGGACGTCCTGTCCTCCCGGCATTTCCCAAAAGTTTGACAGAATACCAACAGACAATGGTCTAAAGAGGATAACAAGGGTGTACTCAGGATGGGGAAGAGGTACTACACTCAAACCCCCTTACTGCTGAATAACTACCTAGTGAGTCACTGTCACTCCTGACAAAGAATGGAGAAACTCTGTACACAGACAAAAAGGTTTTCTGCTTTGTGAAAAGTAAACATTCCTGTGTATGTACAATGAAAATGGATGCAAAATAAACTTTGCACACTATTTATATTTTGACTTTACTTCTGGCTTTTAATCTCAGTTCAGAAAAACCTGAAAATCAGATGAGATTTACAAAAAATTATTAATCAAAATGATTAATTGCTCTATCACACAGAGACAAATGCCATACATTCTTTATTTTCTCTAATCAAATGTTTTGATGTTTATTTCAGAAGTCAATTTTGTTTATGCAACCACTGTAACACATGGATAAACTCTCAACAAACAGGTGCCCTGCTTTCTATGGAGACAGAAATTGAAACCTTTATCTATCATATATATCAATTTCAAAATGCAGTTTTTTTTAATTTAAAAACTTGTTTTAATAGTCTATAATGTTGCATTTACATTAAATTGCTTTTAAATCCGGCTTAACTGCAGTGAAAAATAACTGCCAACCAATGATGCATACATTTGACCTGCCTCGAGCACTCTCCCTTTGTGTTCCTATGGGATAAGATATTGTACCTCCAAAACAGATTTGATTCCTAGTGCCACTATCAATAAATAACCTATTCCTTTATTATTTCTGCTCTACTGTTGTGAGTCACAGTATAAGAATTTTTGGGGTACACTGCAAAAAGCTACCTGTTATGTTGTGTGATGTTTGCTTTTATGCCATGATAAAGTGCGCTGTTTATTCTATAGCACTGTGGAATGCCTGGGTCTTCATTTGAATATTCCAAGCAACAGTATGGAACAAAGAAATTTGGGGTTTATCACCTCACCATACAGGAAGCCAAACTGAATCACCAATCCGACTAGGACTACTTTTTTGAAGGAAGACAATTTGTCGACCACAGAAAGGACGGAGCTTCTCATGTTTTCTCCACAACTGGCTGCCCAGTAAAACACCATCATCTATAACAATTATCACATTAATATCTTTTTCAGCATTTCCTTTTTTACATTAATCAATTTGGCTGAGAACTGACTCAGACATCTGACAGATTTTTAAAGATATCTGTTCTTATTAACTCCTCCATTTAGCGTCCACTGATTTCATTTTAATGATCCCTGAACCTTGCAGGTTAAATGTAGCAGATCGACAGTCCACTGTCTGTAAAACTGTACACGCCTTCAACATCTGTATAATAGGGTAGACAAAGTAAGGCCTATCTGTTTGTCTGTCTGTATGTCTGCTTACAACAATTTCTTCTCTTACACATTAACTGCATCTAATACTTTCAAGTCTCATAACTTTAGAAGCTAATTTCACAACTCTAGACCTTCCACTGTATTAAGCACAACTCCACTCTTAATTGCTTATTTTATTTAAGTTAAATAAGGGAAAATCATTATATTCTTTTTAATCTTTCAGGGATCGACATTAACGGTTGTCCAATTGCCCAGGACAAGTAAATTCTCAGTTTGGGAAAGTGAAACTGTTGACATACGTGTCCGATCGGGCAAGTGAATTTTTCTGCTAGAAATATACATATTTATTGAGTTTACATTGATTCATAAATAAAACAATAAATTGAACAGTTGATTTCCGCTAGGTACCTGACTGACATTGAATTGCATTCGGAATTCCTCGGTAGTGTTTCTAGATTATACCACTCATTTAAATATCGGGTTTGTTATTCTGTTTTCTTTCTTGGTAAATACGCTCTACATCTAACAACTATGTTTACTTCATATTAAGAAATTAGATTATTTATTCCCTCAAAGATTATAAGTAACACAATGTATCCCAATCAAGATATGTATGTTTCGTAGCAACTAATATCTTCCTTTATCGTTGCTTCACAGCTATCTCTGAAAATCACGATCCTACCAAAAATAATATTTTGAAAATATGAATTTTATTAAAAGGAAACAGAGGTTATTGCTGCATGACAGTGTGTACGTTAACAGATTAAATTGGTGAGGACAGTGGTACACATATATGTGCAAAACACAGCATCAAAATTTTTTTCATGTATTTTAACTTGCCAAGTTGACAGTAGTGTATTTGGTCACACTTTTTCTTATCATAACATTTACAGTAATAATTAACATTTATCTTTCCTAATTTTGGGGAACCAAGTTTTGCATTGGAACAAGTTAAAGTTTGAGATGACTTGTCTGAAGGGCAAGTGAATCTGAAAGTTAATGTATATCCCTGTCTTTATTTATAGTACACTTCAATATATATATATATATATATATAAATTCAATTATTTCATTTTAAAATTCAAAACTTCACTGATTTCCCAAAAAAAGTTGATTGTTTATTCACAATGAAACCAAAGCTGTGTATATAGATCCTCATCAGTCATCACTGAGTTAGATCAATCAGAACCGAGCAGGGACACCAGCTTGATGCTAGCACTTAGAGGGATTCCATACATAGCTAACTGTAGCACTGTTGTCAAGCAAACGTCAACATGTCAAGATACACAGACTAGGGGTCAGATTCTCTGTTCATCACTCAGTGCCCTAACCTAGATAACATAATTATTACTTGGCCCCATAATCCACTGATAATTTCCTCATCTCAGCTAAACAGATGTAAGTCACTGTATATATATGTAGTCTTGTGTCAAAACCATTTTAAATAGGAAGTTAAAATTGATCCCATATTGTGACAGCGTTGGTTTACAAATTATTGTTACAGTAAAGGGTTTTATCCACGGTTTTGATAATATCTGAATAAATAAATTTCTGAATACAGTAATTTAAAAATGTTTATAAAATAGCAAAATTTTTACACAAAATCCCTGCAAACTATCACCTCATACTTCAACAAACTGCAAACTATTGAATAATTAACTGGATAACAGTGGATAATATAAACACTTTTGTCTGGTTCTTGTATCCCGACTACTACTATGTTTTACTGTAGGAATTAGGATAAATCAGTTTAGCAATTCAATACTGCACTGTTAGAAAGTTAAACCAACCAATATGAAAACTTTTTTAAAAACATCAATACCTGGCATGCCAAAGGATTTGTTAAAATAAAAATTCAATCTTATTCTTTATAAGAATATTTATAATTTTCTCTCTTTTTTTTAATTTGCTTTCCACTATTGGCCTTGCTCCATATTTCAGGCACTTGTCATAAAAGGCGAAAACTTTATATTAAATATTTCCATCAAAAGACAGCACAAAAGGACCTGAAGCCCAACCTAAGATACTGCTACACGGCAAACATTCTTATAATGAACCTGGGTATTTTAAATCTAGCACATTGTTCCCATACAGATGAAACTGCTCCCCCCACGTGTGTACTGTGGTCTTGACGCTCATTAAATTCAAATATCCTCTCAGCCAAATATGTAATTTATCATTCATTTCTTTCCATTATGACATGCACTTTGAGAAAAAATCAACTTTATCAAATATTATGTCTTTCAAGTTCTATTCAAGCTGTTTAAATGTTCCCTTTTTATGTTACCTGCCAGTCAACTGGAATTCTGCATTCCAGTGCATGCTCGTAATTCTTAAGAAGCATACTTATGTAAAATATTGAAATAAATTGTCCATTATATGGTATTTTCATACAGACACCAGGAGGCACCTGAACATTTTACAGTAAATGAGAACATTTTACAGTAAACGAGAACATTTTTACAGCAAGCAAGAACATTTTACAGTAAATGAGAACATTTTACAGTAAACGAATGTCTGGAGTTTTGCATTAAAATGATACAGAACTTGATCTACATGTGATCAAATTAACACTCATACTTTAGTGCACTTTTCACCATGTAACTGTGATCTGATGAATTAACAGAGATCTGGATTTCCACATACAGACATATCCACCTATCTAGATCTCTTTGGGGTGGTTATGATCTCATGAACTACAGACATTGATACATGTGGTTCACCAGATATGTACATCCTTAACAAGTTCTGATAAAATCCCTCTGTAGAAGTATTGTCTAGAAAACCACAGGCTGACATTGACTTACAACAAAGAAGCAGAGAAAATACTTAGCCAGGACCAGTTTTCAGAGAAGCAGCATAAGTCAACTCAGACACCAATGTTTAGTAATACCACTTACCACAGGAGCAGCAGACAAAACACTTGGTGTGGTAAAGATTCCCCATAGCTTGACACGCCTCTGTAGCACCAGACACCCTCTCCCCACAGGTAAAGCACTGACCTACAATACATACACATATCAGTTAATAAATGACATACAAAACACATATATCAGTTAATTACTGACCTACAATACAAACACATATCAATTAATTACTGACCTACAAAACACACATATCAGTTAATTACTGACCTACAAAACACATATCAGTTAATTACTGACCTACAAAACACATATCAGTTAATTACTGACCTACAATACATACACATATCAGTTAATAAATGACCTACAAAACACACATATCCGTTAATTACTGACCTACAATACAAACACATCATTAATTACTGACCTACAATACATACACATATCAATTAATTACTGACCTACAAAACACGAATCAGTTACGGTAAATACTGACCTACAAAACATGCATGTTAATTACTGATCTACAAAACACACACATCAGTAAGTACTACAAAACACACATGCATCAGTAAGTATTGACCTACAAAACACACATATTAGTTAACTACAAAAACATGCACATGTTAATAACTGTCCTACAAAACATACACATCAGTAGGTTCATAACTACAAAACACTGTATATCAGTTAATTATTGACCTACAAAATACACATATCAGTTAATGACTGACCTAAAAAACATACACATTAATAACTGACCTACAAAACATATACATTTGTACATCTGATAATTACTGATCTATAAAACTCACAAATCAGTTAATCACTGGTATATAAAACACAAATCTGTTAATCATTAACCTAAATGAAAATCATTTATTACCAACTTTAAAATATACAAATCAGTTAATACCAATTTACAAACACATATAACTAAATCACTGACCTACAAAACATACATATCAGATAATTATCAGTTATTCTCATCTACATACACATCAGTTAATAACTGACCTACCGACACAAACATCAGTTAATAACTGATCTATATACATATCAGTTTATGAGTTGCTTACTGACCTACAAACATACATATCAGTTACTGATCTTCCAACCTATCCATCATCTAATTATGATTACAAAACTTTAATTACTGATTACAAAACTTTAATCGCTAATTACGAAAAAAAAAAACTTGCACAAGTAACTGATATAAAAAACATACATATTGCTTAAGTCTTGATCTGCAAAATATACTGTAAAGTGTAAACATACTTTTTTCTGCGGGGTCATAATTCCATGGTATCACAATTTCTGTTCAATCAGCGGGTAGAAAATAACATGGATTTCTTAATTCCCATTATATACAGAAAAACAGCGTAAGCTTCAAAGCTTAATCTCACATGGAAAAAAAAGCATGTCTTCAGTATCAGTTAATTACTGACCTTTAATCAATCAGACATGAATATTATGAATGAAAAAGGTGAAAATAAATGAATAGTGATCAATCTCAAAAAAATCTATAAACAATACAAATCTGTGAAGAGGGCATAAAACACGGACCTCTGGAAATAATAGAGGTGGGGTCAGGTGTCTAAGAGGAGTAAGCATCCCCTGTTGACCGGTCACACCAATCATGAGCCCTATGTATTAGGTAGAGGGAACATTCTGTAGTCAATTTCAGAATAAAAATAAAGGCTTAACAATTGTTATGAAACACGTCAGCGAAAATATGATCCAATGATAGGTTATATTTGCTAAAAAGGTCATTATAAAGACCATAGAATTTATGAAATGCTGATCTTAAATGAGGTTAGTGAAATCCCTGAAACATCAGCTTATCAGTCAGTAGCCTGACTCAGTTTTTGCAAATTGATAGTACTCGGACCATGCCTGAGTATCAAATAAGCTAGGAGGTGTAAACACCATAGGCAAGTGATGTATTAAACATGGTATGTATATGAATCTTATATTATGTATATATAACTGACCTATACAACACGCATCAGGTACAAGGTATACTTGATGAAGCTTAGCAACAGTGATTGTTTATATCCTAATTTCAAGAGCAATTTATTTATATTGATATTATTTATCCCAAAATGAAAACCCAATACAGTTACTGCCTATACATGTACCAGAGAACTGTTCTGGTCTGTGTTATACATATTTCCACTCTGCATATATAATCTCGAGATAATATTTTTTGGAGTGATAGAAAGCATCAAGATTAATAATATGTACACATGTTAAGATTTACATCTGTTCCCTGATCACACTCTAAATGTAGCAAGGTTTGGTGTGAAAAGAAGTTACGTATGGAAAACATTAAGGGTGTAACCAACATACAACAGGTGCCATTAGACCTTTATATACATGTATTACATAACCATAAGCACTAAATAAGTAACCCTAAACTCTTTTATACATATATTGGTATTAGTAGTGTATTGCTAAGAGTCAAATCTAAGGTATGTTAAGTATACACACATATCTTTTTTTTATCACAAGTAAACTAGTAATGTGTATTTATCTAAAGTTATCTGCAATGTATGCAGGAAATGTGTCAAAATGAAGAGCCTTATCAAGCCAATGATTATGTAAGTCAAATACCTGTGTGTAGTATCAGGAACACCTATCGTAGTGCAGTATACTTAACAGAACCTTGAGGAGTATATGGGAATCCTTGAGATTTGTTTGTTTAAAGATTTGACAGCCATGTTTGTAATGAACATAAATTATGGTAGTGTTTACAGTGCAATGTGACAATAGAAAATGACCATCAAGGTGTTTATGCAAATATAAATGTCCCCAATGCCCAAACAGCCCCAAAGGTCACAGTCTCTTAATTACTTAAAACCTTTAATGCGGTGCACTACCTGTAATTGACAATGAATTTGAACATTTGACCTGGACCCTCAACTATGCCAGAGAAAATCCAAATTATGGCCAAGTTAAAGACACACAAAATGTCACTGATAGACTAAATTCATCAATCCCCAATAATTTGATGATTTATACAAATATCTCCATTAAAACAAATTACAGTCTTATTTGGGTGAGTACATGAATTACAAGAAAGGCTACAGGAATACTCCCCCTGCAGTTTTACCCAGTTGACAGTATTGTAACTTTTTTTAAATGATAATTTGCTTTAATCACTGCTTTTAAACATTTCACTTTTAATCTCATTGAACATGAGGAATTCCTGTGTCTCTTTGACAAGAAAGCACTCTATCTGAAGTGACTCATAAAATACACTGTATCATAGGCTCAGTTACGACCAAGCACCTGACAGGCTGTCTTAATCCAGTGATCTATATACACAGGACTATGTCATTACTTCTCCAAAACAACTACAGGTCTACAAAGGTCTCAAAGCTTGGATTTTACAAATATTTAGTTAAATCTGACCAGATATATACCTGGTTACCTTAATATGATACATAAACTACAACGGGATGTGTGATGTCTATAAACCACATGAAGTAGATTTCTCCGCTTTTAATGTTTTAGTGAGGTCTTCAGATTTTGGTTTTTGAGACCAATCTGGTGTCAATTTAAAATTCTTGTCATCAGCTAGCAGAATGAAGATTGCCTTATACATGAGTAAACTCGGAACAAATTGAAGCCAGCAAGCCACAACTATGTCTGTCATCTCAGGGTTTATTTTACTTTTGAACTTAGAATTTGTCAAGTAAGGCATCAAGTTCTATTTAAACTGCAATCTCTGCTAAAGGATATATATACATTTCTTTTACACTTAATACTATTTAAATGCTCCGTTATTTGCACTAAATTTGACCTGACAAATAAGTATCATATAGGAGTGTTCAGTTGTGTCTTTTATATTTGGTCAACAGTTTACAAAATAAATAACCAACCACCTCAATTTATGCTTTACGCGGCCCTAAAATTCGAAATGGCCTATCACGTCTTCATTTTGAACATCTAACTGTCCCTACTATGTGTGAATGTTAGTGACGTATTTCTTCCTTGTTCACTATCTTAGCAAGATACAACAACATTAAGGACATTAAATGAAGAGTATGTAAAAGATGAAAACATTAAGTATTTTCCTGTGGTGAATTCCTCCTTACACTCGGTTGGACTGTGATTCTTCGCCTTTGTCAGGTGTACAGACTTGGTCAGGCTTGACAAATCTCTCTGATGGGCAGCGGTAACCTGCCACAAAGTCAAGACATGAACCCTAAACAGCTGACCTCTTGACCACAGTGAATTTCAAAGAGAGGGGTGAATGGGTGGCAAAGAAATCCAGTAAAGTCGCCTCAGAAAATCAAAGCGAAAGAAATCATATAAATAAGTGTAAGGAATGAGCCCTCAAGACTTGCCCTCTGAAAGTGCAGTTTTAGATTGTAATAATAGTTGAAGACAAAATTTCAACAAAATATTTCTTTTCTATCATTTCATACAGAGATTCTAATGTATTGATAGTTTTCATATGTTACCTCTATGTACATAGTACATTTAAACTAAAAAATTTCCAAGCTGGAGTCTTGAAGGCACAGTAGTTTTTAATTTCCTGCTTATGAATGAATTTTTTAAAATCTTTTTTTTTTTTGGTAAAAGGATAAAGAATGTTAAGACTCGTGAATAATTTCCCATATACATGATATATATAATATTATATTAATATGATTATCCTTTTCTCTAGCTCAATTTGTTTTATTTCTGTTTTGAAAGTTCAGATGCCTTGCAATGAGCTTGAATATAAAATTTGGGTGGCGTGATGGGTGGGGGAAGCAGCAGAGATCAAGTCCTTTCCACACGGGGATACTAAGTTAACTTTTGTAAACACAGCAATAAAGAAAACAAGAGAAATGTCAGCACATGTTCAGACAAAGAATATCTCTGGATTTCCCAACAAAAACTTTGAAGTCTTTAAACTTTTAAAACTTATCAATTCTCCTGAGAAATTCATGGATTGTTAAAGTCTTTTAATCCATTAGGAAAACTGCTTTTAAAAAACATTTAAAATACATAAATCCCTTCGGGCTGCACATTTTTATACAAAAGCAGAGACTTTGCTGTGTAGATAATAGAAAATTGTTATTTTTATCATGTTTATAGCTAATCATTCCAAAGAGTCCTAACAAACATGACAAAAGACTATACTCAACTGGGATAAAACTGTTCTGATCTACAAAACTACAACTACTGACCTAAATGATCAGTTTTGATGGTAACAATTCCCTAAAAATCATCTAGTTATGCTTTGAGTGTGTATGTGTGTGTGTATGTGTGTAGGGCATGCTGAAAAAAAAACCTGATGTAAACACCTTCTACATACACAGGCTACAGGCTGCTAATCCTTTGTGTGAAGCTATAGAGCAGCTGATGTTCTCCATAAATAAAGCTCTTATTGATGCCTGGCAAATTAACATCAAACTGGGGATTAAAGCGGCATTCCTAGAATACCTGACAATTAATATGCCAGGTCAAAGAATCAATAAACACAAGACTGTTGCAGAAAATCTATTAATGGCCTGTTGCATGCAAGGTTTGTCTGACACTACCTACCCTTCATTACTCATCAATATATAGTGATTGATAGGTAAATGTTGGGATTTAAAAAGTGTCAAATTTGGTTATCTACGTCACTTTTCACTCTGAAAAGTCAAAGACTAAAGTGCAAGTTTATACCTTGCATTTCATAAAAATGTGCACGTTAATGCTTGTGTAAAACCGATTTGCATGCGTCAAACTCAAGACTTCAGAATAAAGCTTCCTTTTCGATTTCTCATATATTAATTATACAATTATTTATTAATATACCAATATTTCATTGATCCAATTTTAGGTCTTTGTGATATGTTACATATCTTATATCATAGTGTACTTAAATTTGATTATTTTGTTAAAATTGTATATGCCCCCCTAAGGGCCTTTGATTGGTGCATAAACAATAAACAATCTCAAAACACTTAGTGTTTACTACAGTAGCCTTACCAAAATATTCTCCTTGGGGAGATTTTTCCATGTCATCCTCTAGCTGTTGGGTGAGGGCCGCCACTTTTTGTTCAATACTGTCTGTGACAGATTTTCCAGGATGTGTTGTGATATGGAATGGCATCTGTGCCTGGGGTCTCACGGCCACAGAGGGGGGATTTTTACCAGCGGCGGGGACAGTGGATGTGACAAATCCAGCGGTGGATGTCAGAGGCTGCTGGTGATGCTGGCAGGTTTGGATAAGGTTAGGACTTGCAGTTGTGTACCGTGGATTTCTTGGTGGTAAACTAGGGACAGGTTCAGTTTTATGGGGACCATGATAAGGGGGAGGGGGTGGTTTGTGAACAGTCTGATCCACAGGAAAGTTTTGAGATCCAGCCATTTTCATGCTGTCTTCTAATTGTTGTGTTAACACTGCTAACTCCATTTCAAAGTTTTTATTGCTATTAGCTGTCTGATTTAGAGGGATTCTGGCAGGGATTGCTGGAGGTGCTCCCTGAGAACCAGGTAAGCTGTTCAGACTTCCAGACATAGAATTCAATTTACCATTCATCTGCTTGTGAAACTGAGATCCATTGAGATTTTGATTATTCATTTGAGACACATTAACTGGAGTAACATGCATTCTCAGTCTTGGATCTGAGTATGCAGGGGGTGCATGTGGAGCTGGTTCATTAAAGCGACTGTCATTCAAAAGATACAAATTTTTCGTAGGTCCCAAACTGACATTTGAATGATATTGTCCATAGTTGTCTAGAACCATACTGTTTCGGGGACTAGGTGGAAATTTGTCCAGCATTACACCTGACATACCCACTAGACTTGTCCTGGGACTAGATAGTTTGGATTCATATGATGTACCAGATATACTTGACCTTGGACTTGCCATGCTTGACCGAGGACTGCCAAATCTCTGGTCATAAGGAGGGGGAGGTGGCGGATTTGTAAGACTTGTTCGCGGACTTGAGCCCTTGGAATCTCCTCCACTGCCTACACTAGAACGAGGACTAGAGTAATTTGATCCTGGTTTCACAAGCATACCAGAGTACATGCTGCTTCCTCCCATTATCATTTGGGAGTTTCCTATTTGATGAGACATCTGTACATGCGATATTGACTGGTTTAACATAGAACCTCCAGGAGCAGGGTATGAGGTCCTTCCTATCATGATGTTACGATTTTCACTCATGTTATAGCCAAAAGTAGTGAAATTCCGAACCTGTTATGTTTGAGATGCGGCCCCTGTTGTCCGCTTAATATTTAGCTTTTATTGGAGACATACAACTCACAAAAAATCAGTAACTATTTTCCTTTGGGGTTTTCTGCTGTCAATGTGTTGGGATCCTACGTAACCTCAATTTTATGACCCGTTCATTAGATCCGCTGTGAATTTTCCCGAGTAACGGGATAAAAATTCCAATTGTTTTACTGAATTTTTCAGGTAAACAGAATTTTGGCTTAAAGACACATACTCTAACACATCTGTAGAGCTTAAAAATATGAAAATCATGGTCACTTAATAAACGACATATTCAAAGAATCACATGGAATCCTTAAAAACACGACGAACGTTCACTCAACCATCTCATCACCGTTGTGTTTTCTGTTGTGTTTGCAATGGCGGGTTGCGCGTAGGAATTTCATTGTTCACATGAGAACATGACAGTTCATGGTCTATTATCACAGATCTTGGAAAAAATCATTTAAAATATATATTTCAAATTCTTAAACACTTAAAATAATACCAACAATCTAATTCTTAATACATCGTGACTCAGAGGAACTATGTGGCTTGCAGCAGAACAGAAATATTGTAATTCGCCGGATATTGAGAAGGCTCGTGCGCGGATCCAACGAAGTTCAAATTGCCCATTGACAAAGTTTTAGAGTAAACGTGGTCAATGGACAATTTGAACTGCTTAATTTTCATTTTGAAATTTTAATTGTCATTTGATAAATATCAAGTTAATAGTAATTTAAAAATCAAAAAGGTTTTAAAATACCAACTCTGAAAGAAATATATTGGGGGGGGGGGGGTCGAGCGCATTTCGAAAAATCTGAGTGAACAAAAAAAAAAAGATCAAAAAGAAGAATTTCAGCATATAGAACTACTTGTATTCCTAGTGTATTAAAATACACCTTGAAAAAAAAAAAAAAAAAAAAAAAAAAAAACTTGGTTTACAGACGACAATGCACAAGGGGAGACAAGCTCAACAACCTACAATATTAAACAAGACTGAAGTGATAAAAGATTGATTAACCTTGTTGATTTAGATCGCCTCACCTAACAAATTATAAACCCACGCTCGATGTTACCAATTTAGGTCAAATATGCGCAGGAACTTTTTTTTAAATACTTTGTCTTACTCTACAGATTCAGGGGTGGGGGGTTCTTGCACAAAAAGAATAGTTTTTAAAAGTGTCAAAGACAACGTAGATCACTCAGATAATCAGTTTTGATGTTTATATAACATATTACCCCCCATTCCCCCTGAAAAAAGCACATACATGTTATGTAGAAACAATACTGAAGAAGTCTCATGCATCTCTCTCTCTCTCTCAGCGGAATAGCTACCATGTATGCATGCTTGCATATGCAAAAGCATCCAACATTTTTTTCAAATTAATTATTTAATTCATTTTAAAAAACAAAACTTTTTGATGAAAGAATATATTTCAATAAATTGTTTCAGTACTCAAAGGTAATTTGTTCTGTATCATTCTAACATTCCTAAATATTGTCTATTTTTGTGGAGTTTCCGGGGGGGGGGGGTTGTCCCCCCTGGACCTGCTGTTGAAGGGGGGCTAATGTGGTCCCAGACCCGCTGCAGTCAGAAAAACATCACCATTCTTTTTGCCTTTATAGCTAAACTCTCTCTCTCTCTCTCTCTCTCTCTCTCTCTCTCTCTCTCTCTGATTACCCTTTGAAATCAACTCACCAGACACAAAAAAGCAAACTTAATTTTGGTGAACGTGGGTTAAATTAACCGCATCTTCAACGTGTTACAGAGTAGCTATCGAGGTTTACATATTCCACTTACAACTGGATTTTCTCGATTTCAGGAAGCAGGATTCACTATGGTAAGATCTTCCTAAATCTTTTTAATTATTAAAAATAAAGTTTACTCATGCGTAATTAATAAAAGTGTAATTAGTTAGATAAAAAAGGCTGTATTCAAGCGTACATGTATAATATGGTTACAACCAAATTAAAAAGACAGATAATAATCTTTCAGTGGCAATTTTAGGGAGACCAGGGTTGGCCGCCTCTCAATGAAAACATAATTATATCTTTTATAAAGAATGGCATAAATATCCCCCATATAGCTTAATCCGGTTGATTTCCGAGTATCCCCCTATAGTTCTTAATCACCATGCAATCACTTTCCAAAATTAATTCGGGATCTGACATTTTCTAACATATTTTGGTGGTTTTTCTTTTAGTGTTGTTTTTGCACCCATGGTTCTGTAATGTAATACATGTAGTTAACACACATCTTTAATCGAGTCCTCAAAAGCCCGCTGAAAGAACAAGGTATGGTAACGACCGAATTTGATTTCTTGTTTGATGTGAGAATCAAAATGCAGTTAAAATTTTGATAATTTACAATATATATTGAAAACATTTATTTTCATTCGAATTGTACATGGAGGCGACAAGAGGGTAACAAATTAGACCATTTACCAGATTTCCTCAATTCTGGTGGAATTTAATTTATAGCACATTTGAGATACATTTCACTTTCATGCTGGAGGCACAGAGCACAAGCTTGCCTATATCCGTGATTTTTCATTTATAAATATATTAGATACTAGTTCATGAAATATGAAAATTTGGTAGATTGACTAGCTTGCGTCCCAAATTATGGGCCAAAAGGAGTTTTAGCCTTTGTCATGGATGCTTTAAACATATATCAAAACCACCAAATATCGTATGGTGCATTTGAAAAGTCTGTATTGCACTTACATTTCAAACACTCCTGGTGCAAAAATGCTTGCAATTTTGACCTCAGCAGTAGTTTATTCAATAACCTGAACAATTCGTCATTTTCAGAAACTTATTACCTTCGTCATTGTGCTGTTGTTGGCAACAGTGATTGAAAACGAGGCTAGATTCAAGGGCATGGCATGCCATTCTTGTGACTTTATTATGCGTTTCTGCCGTTTCCGGTGTCGTCATCAGCCGAGTTCGGCCCAGAATTTCATCTGCAATGACTTATGTAGGTGGAGGAACGAGCGGTGTTACCTAGAGTGTGTGGAAGATCGCGAGGGTTACGACTGATATACTACCGACAGAAATCAGGCACCCAGAAAGTGAACACCTCGACTTTTATGTCTGTTCTATAGGATCAATAAATATTTCACAGCTTTTTCCTTAGTTTTTGTATTTATGGCACGTGTAACATGATGTATAGTTGTATACAATATAGGACCTCAGGAATAGAATGCAAAGGTCCAGTAAGAAGAACATTATCTAGAGAAATCTCTTTGTTTTTCAACGGTATCATTAACTTATTTTATTCGGAACAAAGGTGTCCATGATAGCGAGGCACCACCATATTTGACAGTCATCAATATACGAGAAGCTACATGAGTTTCCATTTCATGCTTTTGTGATCAAAGCTTGTGTATTCCCCTGTCTGCTTTCATATCTACGTTACTTCTTGATATGCCATCTCAGCCAGCAAGATAGATCAAAAAAGAGGCCAATGGCCACAACGCTCACTTGAGTCACTATGTCCCTGCTGTTCTTCATAAACTGATTAATCTTCCTTATTTATTTTATTCCCATGTAAAACTTGATAGTTCATTGAATCATTGTAGCCCCTTCCTACCTCAAGGGGGTCGATCATGATTTGAACAAACTTGAATCTACACTACCCGAGGATCCTTCCATATCAATATGACTAAACATGGCATTGCAGTGCTTAAGAAAAAGAATCTGAGAGATTTTGTTACTATGTATTCCTATGTAAGACTTTGATCTGTGGTCCCACCTTAGCGGGGGTAAGTGTAGTGTATGCATGTGTGTGTGTGTGGGGGGGGGGGGGGGAGTTCATGATTTGAACAAACTTGAATCTACACAACCCGAGGATGCTCCCATATTAATATATGACTAATCGTGCCCTTTCTTCAGAAGAGATTTTCTAAGATTTTATTTTCTATTTATGCTTATGTAAAACTTTTATTGCCCATTGTGGCCCCACTTGCATTGTGTCTTAATCTGGGGAGTCATGATTTCAAAAAAATGAATCTACACTACCTGAGGATGCTTCCATATCAATATGACTAATCATGCCTTTACGGTTCTTGAAAAAGAGAATTTGAAAGATTTTTTTCCTAAAATATTCCTTTATAAAACTTTGATCACCCATTGTGACCCCACCCTATCCCGGGGTAATGATTTGAACAAACTTGGATGTAAACTATGTAATGTGGTTATTCATCAGAAGATTTCTGTAGAGATGTTACAAAATTTTCATTAATTTCTAATTATCGCCCCTTGAACGAGGCGCAGCCCTTCATTTGAACAAACTTGAATCTCCTTTACCTTTGCTGTGTGGCAAATTTGGTTAAAATCGACCCAGTGGGTCTTGAGAAGAAGTCGAAAATGTGAAAAGTTTACAGAAGGACGACGGACAAAACGTGAACAGAAAAACTTACGTGAGCTTCCAGCTCAAGTGAGCTGAAAAATTTCAACAGACTTCATTATCCATAAATAGCTTTGATTTCTTTAGTATACTATATATCGGCAAAATAATTGGAGGGGATGGGGGTCACCCTACGGGTCTGTTATTATTAAGAAGGCATTGACCTACCATAACAAAGTTTAATTATAAGGCACAATATTGAATTAATGTAACAAATATGAAAATAACAATCGCAATAATTTACCTACAGTAAACGTTTTAGCAAATTACACTTTGAAAAAAAATGGGTAAAGTGAATAATTCAACTAAATTGACTGCAAAAGTACATTAAATTCAAGTACAACAAGCAAATGCAAAGAATTGTGGTCCCCCGCTTTCGGTAACTTAGTGGATGGGATGCCATTATTTATGACATATTGTAACTGTCTTGCTTGTGTTTCCTGTCTTGTCTGTGCATTATACAAAAGAGACATAAATTATTGAATTAATAACAGTTATGGCAAAGGATATAACTACATCAAACTTCAAGATCAAGGTCATGAGGTCAAACATCATAATAAAATCCCAAAAGGTATTTTTCACAAGTTATGCACATGTGAAAACAAATATCAAAAACCAGAGTATACAATCGGAAAGATCTTGAAACAGATAATGCACATGTCAAATGTAAATACCATATTTTCTCTCAATCAAAAGTTATTAGCAATATTATTTTTTTTTTTAAATAAGGTCAAACTTCAAGTTCAAGGTCATGGAATTAAAAATCATAGTACATTTGGAAATGTTTGTCACAGGTAATGCTCTTGTCGAATAAGAATGCCCTATCTTCGCTCCTTCAAAAGTTACCAACACTGATGAAATGTTTGAAAATTAGGTCAAACTTGAAGGTCAAGGTCATGGGGTCAAATATCACGGCATATTCGGAAAAAATTGACACAGGTAATACACTTGTCAAATTTGTACGCCCTATCATATGTCATTGAAAAGTAATCACCAAAGTTAAAATTTTTAAAAATTAGGTCAAACATGAAGGTAAAGATCAAGGGGTAAATATCATAGCACGCTCGGAAACACCTTCTCACTGGTAATGCACATGTCAAATATGCCCTATCTGTTCCCAATCAAAAGTTATAAACAATGATAAAAATTTGAAAAGTAGGTCAAACGTGAAGGTCACGGGGTTAAAAACATATAGTATATCTGGCAAGGTCTTGTCACAGGTAATGCCCATGTCAAATATGAAAGCCCTACCTCTTCTCAATCAAAAGTTATAAGCAAAAATAACATTTTTTAAAAAGTATGACAAATTTCAAGGTCAAGGTAGATCATGGGGTCAAAAATCATAGTATATTTGGAAAAGTCTTGTCACGGGTATGTACATGTGAAATATGAAAGCCCTATCTCTTCTCATGCAAAAGTTATGACCAAGGTTAAAGTTTTTGTGACAGACAGACGAATGAGATTTAATGTCCCCTCGCTTTCGCGAAAGCGGGAGACAAAAAATACATGTATTGCAATCAATATAATAACAGAGATCTTAAAGGGCAATTAATTATAAACACATAATCCTACTAATAGACAATTCAAGATATAATTTATGTTTTTGCAATCTTCGTTGTCATTCTATTGATAAAATGTTAGAGACAGGTGGTATATGTTCTTTTTTAGGAGATTATGACGATGATGATGATGATGGATTACGTTTTTACACTGTATACATGTATCACTGTCTACTGTTTCTGATTGTACTTCGATGGGATTTCAATGTCAAAAAAACAACAACAACAACAACAACAACAACAAACAATAAAATATATAGCCCAATCAATTGCAAAATTTGAAGAAAAGAAATTATGTTTTTAAATATTTTTTTTATTAAATTGTTCTATATTATATATTAGATAAGTTCACCCTTCATAAATTGTAATCATTTAAATTTGACACCACGAACAATACATATATATGTAGTCACACATTCATTATACTGTAAGCTACGTTCTTAGCAGCTGGTCTAGCTATTACTTATCAGTTAATGATTTATATATACAAAAATCTATATCTTCGAAGCAAATCAATCATTTTATCCTGAATTTTTTATGACTGAAGATTATAATACGATTACTTAAAGCAAAAGTAACATACGGCGTCGATAAGGTAGCTTACGTTATGTAATCGAAACGTAAGAGAAAACGGTGAACATTATCTAGAACATTACAGAAGTTATCACTACAAAACAAGGATGAAAAATAAAATTAAAACTCATATGCTGTGTTTGTGTTTGCAAAATATTTTCGTATAGTACGTTTCATTATAATACACACTGTGACAGCACTTGTGATAACGTTACCATCTGTGAATTAATTTCAAAATAAAGTTATTTTTTCTTACCTTCTCCAAAAGTATGAAGAGAACGATTCCATAATTTGCTTTAAAAAAAAGATACAAACAAGATGTGTTTGTGAAAAACTGATGCCCCCGTATGGCAACTTATAGCAAAGGTTAAACTTTCTCAAATGCAAATCAAATATGTTGATACCCAAAGTAAGGTCTTGTCTCGAGGAATATATCTGTGAAATATAAAAGCCCTAGCAGCAACCATTGAATAGATATGGAAAAGGTTAACGTTTTTTCAAAAGTATGTCAAACACAAGGTCAAGGTCAAATGGTCTAAATTAATGGTGCTCAAGGAAAGGCATTCTCCCAAGAAATACACAGGTGAAATATGAAAGAAACAGCACCAGTCGTTCAAAAATTATGGCCAAGGTTAAAGTTTTCCAAAAGTAGGTCAAACTCCAAGGTCAAAGGGTTGTTGGTATCCAAAGAAAGGTCTTGTCACAAGGATTACATATTTGAAGTATGAAAGCCCTAGCACAAACCGTTCAAAAGTTATGGCCAAGGTTAAAGTTTTTCAAATGTAGGTCAAACTCCTAGGTCAAGGTCAAATGGTCAAAGTTGTTGGTATCCAAAGGAAGGTCTTGTCACAAGGATTGCACATGTGAAGTATGAAAGCCCTAGCACCAACTGTTCAAAAGTTATGGCCAAGGTTAAAGTTGGGTAAAATTTTGTAAAACTGGGTCAAACTCCAAGGTCAAGGTCAAAGGGTCAAATATGATAGCACCCAAAGAAAAGTCTTGGCACAAGGAATACATATGTGACAGGGCAAAAACTATATACCCTCGAATCTTCGATAAGGGGGTTTTATTTCTAAATGATGTTAGCTAGTGTCTTTTGTCTATCAAAGTTTATTCATATATCCAAAAGTTTTTTTGTATTTTATGGTTAACTTGTGTAGTGAGTGATGTTTTTGTAATCCACGTTCCCTGTAATCTACGTCCCCTGTAATGTACGTCCCTTGTAATCTACGTCCAGTCCCCTGTAATCTACGTTACAGTTATGATGTTGCGTGTTTCTATTTTGACATTTCCTTTAATAAATCTGTGTTTTTGGTATTACTTCTAGCTTTTAAATTAATTTATTTGATTTAGTTTCTTATACTGATAAAATTTGAAGAAAACGAAAAAAGAATTTTTGTAATGAACAATTGGTAATATATGTTGATAAGTTTGTGTTATCGTAAATGCTCTAAATTGATCAAGTCTTAGATATTTTTCGAAAGAAAGTAGATCTAGTACAATGTATAACAGTTTGAAGTTTGGTGAGGTTGATCAAAGCACAGGAGTCGCGAAGCTCACTGGTAGGATTTATGCCTGTTTATCATTTATTTTCAATTTATTGATAAAATTGCCGACTCCTGTGATCAAAGTTACAAGCGTTACAAAATGAACTGCACTCGCCCCAACGGTCACGCCGTAAAACATAATATACATAATGTACATGGAAAAAATGCCTGGTTATTCATAGGCCCACCCTTTACACGTAATCCTTTTCGTCCATATGTAATCCAAGTCGAGGATGTATTTGAATTCTTTACCTATGATGAGGACTGACTTGGTACGAAATCTTTCTGGAAATACGTATTCTGTACTTAAAGTTTTGTGATTTAGTGATAGCAATTTGTTTCCTGCATGAACATTTTTAAAGCGGTTTTAGCGGCAAGTGGACTAATGTGATAATATTTACTACAGTACAGCGTATGCAACAAAGCCATATCCATATAAAGTAGAAGAATACGTGTTTTTTACAGTAAGCACAACAATTTCTGGAACGACTTTACTTTACCGGTCCCCAGAAATAGTATCGCCGTAGTGCGCTTCATGAAAAATATGCCTACGTGCAAGTCTATGTGATTTACACACCAATAATTCACACTGAACTTAAAAACATTCCTTATATTTACATTTTACAAGTTTAAAAGCACCAATATGAATAATATACTCAGTGTTTGAATTTCTTGCTGCCCTATATGAGTATATCGTTACATTTTTATTTACGTCTCTAGCTTCATTGTGACGTCACTTTAGTGCGAGTTTCACAGTGTATATTTCTGCGTGTGAGTATACACAAAAAGACTTTCAAATCAATTTCACAGTTGGCTTATTAGAAAAACACAGCAAATGTAAATATTTATGGAATGTTTTTAAGTTTTGTGCGAGTTATTGGTGTGTAAATCACACAGATTTGTCATGTAGGCATATTTCATGATGCATCATGCTAGCGCTATTTTCATGAAAAATATGTCTACATGCAAGTCTGTGTGATTTACACACCAATAATTCACACTAAACTTTAAAACATTCCTTATATTTAATACATTTTACATGTTCAAAAGCATCAAAAATATACTCAATGTTTGAATTATTCGCTGCCCTATATCGTTAAAATTTTATTAACGTCTCTGTAGCTCATTGTGATGTCACTTTAGCGCGAGTTTCTCCGTGCATATTTATACACGAAAATGGCATTCAAATCAATTTCACAGTTGGCTTAGTAGAAAAACATAGCAAATGTAAATATTAGGATTTGATCCAAGTAACCAACTTCATGCCATATCCCAATGAAACTCTTAAAAATGATATCTTATTTCTTGAAATGTTTGAATTTGTGTAGTATCTAAAAGAAAATAGAAAGGTAAAAAGTAATGTCATATAGGATTTGGAGAATCATAGTAATGTTATATTTATCAGGATATGGAGAATTGTTTTGAGTAGTAATGTTATCAGTCTGGTCGAACCCCCAAACAGGGGTAAACGGAAATAGGAAAACCATACCCCCAAACAGGGGTATGAGCATGCGCAGATGCTTAAATATGTGCATATTTCATGCAAAAAGTAGGGGTTTACAAAAAACGCCAGTGCAAAGTAACGGATCATTTCGCAGGTGTAGAACCACTCGGAAATGATAGATTAAAGGTGTTTTAAAAGTTGTATTTTACAAAAATACAACTTTATTGTACAAATCGGGATTTATTCACTGGCAAAGTTGGCGATCTTTGGCTCCATGACATCCAGATAATTAAGATAAAATATTTGATAAACAGATATAAGCCACTAATATTAAATTGAAATTATAAAAGAAATATATTATTTTTCCTTATGTCTTTTATTTTTGTAATAAAATGCAAGAAAATGTGGTGTAAATATTGATTTATTTATGATCATGCGTTTCAGTCCGCGTTTCCTCTGACTAGCAATCGATGGTCTTTACTATCGATAATCATGCCCAGGAAGTGTAACAAAAATACAGTTTAAAATAAAATTCAAGTGCAATTTATCGTTTTATTGTCTTTTATATCTTATAAGAATTTAATAAAATGTTTGGCAATTTGTTTTTTTAAATAGCTACGATTGTTTGGGGGAAAACACAATTATATTTTATTTTTTTTAAATCTAGATTCTAAATTCATATTTTTCTCATTCTTTGAATATTTTTCCTTGTGTTTTAAGTTCCATAATTTAAAAAAAATTGTAATGACAATATTATCGATCTTTTTTCATAAGAAGATGATGTAGGCAAATTTGTTTATATTGGATACTGCAAGAGTTCCCGTTCTCATGGTTCTTGTGCATTGCATGACGGGACTGAAAACCCTCATTTGAGGGTATACTCCCGTTTGAGGGTTCGACTAGACTGATTATATTTTGCAGAGTTTGGAGAATGGTTTTGATTGTAATGTTATATTTTACAGGATATGGAGAATCGATTTGATTGTAATGTTAAATTTTACAGGATATGGAGAATGGTTTTGATTGTAATGTTATATTTTACAGGATTTGGAGAATCGTTTTGATTGTAATTTTATATTTTACAGGATATGGAGAATGGTTTTGATTGTAATCATGTTATATTTACAGGATTTGGAGAATGGTTTTGATTGTAATCATGTTATATTTACAGGATTTGGAGAATGGTTTTGATTGTAATGTTATATTTCACAGGATATGGAGAATCGTTTTGATTGTAATGTTATATTCTTCAGGATATGGAGAATCATTTTTGATTGTAATGTTATATTTTACAGGATATGGAGAATTGTTTTGATTGTAATGTTATATTTTACAGGATATGGAGAATCGTTTTGATTGTAATGTTATATTTTACAGGATTTGGAGAATCGTCTTGATTGCAGTGTTATATTTTACAGGATTATGGGAGAAATTACCTTAACAGTCTCCAATCTGTCAACCAAACTGACCGATGTCCTTTATCTGTATCAACAAAACAGAATCCTCTGTGACTGCTGTATACAGTGTAGTGACGGAGAAGTTTATGCCCATAAAATCATCCTGGCAATGTGGGGAATGTTTGGCTTCTACATTGATACTATTGACACAATTCAGGCTTCAAAATTCACAACTGCAGATGTTAATAACTTTATGAAGTTAATTTATTCAGGGAAGAGTTCATTAAATTTAAATGCAGCATTTAGAGTTGCTCAATTTGGAAAACAAATCGGTATTAAGTTACGTTGTATCGCAAATTCTCTTGCACATGATTCTTTAGAATCAGCTTTGTCAACCCTAAGATCATCTTCTTGTGTTGAATTTCAATTTAATAACAGTGAGAAAAACATCCTTTACATTAAATCCTTGCCTGATTATCAAAGCAGTTTTGCTGCCACAACAAATGTTAGATGTAGGGAGCCGATCAAGAAGACAAAGTCAATGTCTGGTAACAGTAGGGAACCCACCAAGAGGGCAAAGTCAGTGTCTGGTAACATTAAGGAGCCAGTCAAAAAGAGGAATTCAGTGTCTGGTAAAAGTAGGAAACAGATCAAGAGAGCAAAGTCAGTGTCTGATAACAGTAAGGAGCAGACCAAAAGAGCAAAGTCAATATCTGATAACAGTAAGGAACCTATCAAGAGGGCAAAGTCAATATCTGGTGTCAGTAGGGAACCAACTAAGAGAGCAAAAACAATAACTGGTAACAGTAGAAAGCCTACCAAGAGGGCAAAATCAATGTCTGGTAACAGTAAAGAGTCAACTGAGAGGGCAAAGTCAATATATGGTAACAGCAAGAAGCCTATCAAGAGATCAAAGTCAATGTATGGTAACAGTCGAGAACCTACCAAGAGGGCAAAGTCATTGTCTGGTAACAGTAAAGAGTCAACTAAGAGGGCAAAGTCAATGTCTGGTAACAGTAAAGAGTCAATTAAGAGGGCAAATTCAATGTCTTGTGATAGAAGGGAACCAGTCAAGAGGAGGAGGTCAATTATTACAGACAAAGGGAGTAAAAACTTAGACGAGTGTTCACTTTGTCAGTCATCAGATGTCAGTTCTACAGTACTCTTTGATGAAAATAAATCAGCTATATTTCCAACTAATATCACAGACCATAATGCTGAACTTGAAAAGAAAAATACCTGTATGTCTTATAATGAAGCACAACCAGAGATTGTGATAGAAGTAAAAACTGAAAACTGCAAGAACTTAATCCTAAAGACAGAGAAACAGGAAAATGAGGACTAGGACTTTGACGTGGAATCATTGTGTAGGAGTGTAGGGGCATTGGAGCTGCCAGAAATAATTCAGTCAGAGGGCAGTATTTAGAATGTTAATGTCACATGGAGAGTTTGTAGCCAATAATGCAGAATTGTACCAGACCATGTGGTTAATTTCAATATAAACAGGAACTAAGTTTTAAATGATTTTGTTACTTTAATATTTTGCTACAATTCAATAAAGGATAATGCACTTAACGCTGGGGTTTGGGTCTTCTTCCGGAGCCTCTGCTGCTTTTATATCTTAACCTTATATTACTTTTGTATATTTACTAAAGAATTCTGTCAATTTTGCACCAAATTTAAATGTTAAAATGATTTTAGACTTTGATACAATTAAATATAATTCTCTTTTTTGTCCTTACTGTTTTACAAATATAGAGAATTTACACTTACCTGCCCTTGATTAAACATTAGGTATGCATGAGAGGTGGAGCTAACATTGCAAGATTGGCTCTAAAATTAGACTAGAAAAATAACAATGACACATCGTTCACCTGAGCACATGAAAAGAGGCTATGAAAAGACAGAAATCAGTTCAGTATTGAAAAGTTTACAAAGGGGGGGGGGGGGGGGCTTAAATTTACACTACCTCAGGATGCTTCCATATCAATATTACTAATTGTGGCTTTGCTGTTCTTGACCTTTGAAAATCTTCTTCTCTGCTCCTGGGTAATAAACAGACTAATGTTATGAGCAAGGATGGCACCTGATCCCACCTCTGGAATGTCCAGGGGTTCCTATTTTATGCACTCGTCAGAAATTTGTATTGTTTAAAGATTTTTTTGAGATCGATCACTGTTCCTTATATCTTCGCCTTTTTCATTGTAAAATGTTATTTTTCTTTTAGATCCACCTCTCAGAGCTCCTGTCATCAATTGTCTCGAATCACTCTTAGGGGGAAATATCGGTGATAAGCGTTAATCCTGTTAATAGCACGTACGTTTATTGAGTTCACGCCAGAGCCAAAGCGGAATAAAAATCTTTGGATGAACAAACATTTATTTTTATTATTTATTGAGAAAAACTACATGTGGTGCAAGTCATACCTGCAGTATATAAATAAATCACATATATTTTCTTTTCTTTTTTAAAAAATGCATCACGTATAAAGTTACAAATATTTCTTTCAAAAACTCCAAAATTTCGTTCAAAACTAATACTCGTATGTTCTTCAAACATTTAAGAATTTTATAGTTATATACATTCATGTATTGTTATAAAGTTTACAATATTCACTTTGCAGTTGGTTATAAAGGACATACGAATAAAAAATATTAATCTTCAACAGCATTTTGACAGTTATTACAATATCTTTCATCCCTTGGAGTATACAACTGGATTACAGTAACTGCCAACCTCTATCTGTAATTTGTGGGCACTTATATTATTCAGTCTTAATTGAGTAAAAAAAAAAGAACGAAGCTTTTTTGAGATGGAAAAATTTCCAGTTTCTTTAAATTTTGTTAACTTGTTAATTGACTGTACATAGAATGACAATTTTCCATTACCTTTTTTTTTCATCTAGGCCCTACATTTACATGTGAGGATTTGACTAGGCCTATACTACAAAAAAGTAGGGGCTCAACTTGCCTTCGATGCACATTTACATTAGATTAACAATTAAACATAAGCATTTAGATATTAAGTTTATGAATCCACCCTGTAATTACTATAGACGCTTTGTTTCAGGATGGTGTATTTTGTGTATAAAGTGTTTTGCCAGGTGTGTCTGAATACACGCATTAAAATAAAAATCACTAAAATTATCACGTTTTAAAAACATCATATTACTGTATACACTCTTTTTTATATACAGTAATATGATATTTTTAAAACGTACTAATTTCAGCAATTTTTTATTTGCAATACGACCCACCCCTTCCCAATAATTTTGCAGATATATAGAATACTTTAGAAAGCATAGCTACTATTAATCTCAGCGAGATTCGTAGGGACTAAAAATTTTGGACTGGTGTCCCTACGACACCTAGGGACACCAGACCAAAATTTTTAGTCCCTACGAATCTCGCTGAGATTAAGCTACTATATGCTTGTGTCCCTTCAATAATAACGTCTGATTATTATTATCATTATTTATTATTATTTTTTTTTATTTTTTTGGCTTGTCAAGGAATTTTAAAGTTTTGGTAGAGCCCCCAAACTGAAAGTGTTTGGTTGTGCCCCCCCCCCCTTCCAACTGAAATTTCTTCCTACGAGCCTGTATTCAGGCACACCTATAAAAAAAAAACACAATACACCATCCTGAAACCAAACCAAGCACCTATGGTAACTACATGTTTGTAAAACTTTCATTTGGATTTCGGGCAATACAATCTCGGAAATACGATTGCCGTGCATGTTTTTTTTAATTTAGTGACAACAATTTGCTTCCTGTATGATTAACGAAACACAACTTACTTCGAGTCGAGTGTTTACAACGTACAGCGTCTGCAAGAAATCCATGTTCAGAAAGAGGACAGTTAACCTGAATAAGAACCTTAATTAAACCGTACTGTGACAGTGAGTACAGCAATTTCTCAAGCGTTAACTGTCAGAGGCCGACATAAACCTTTGTTTCCTAGAAGTTAATTCTGTGTTCCTCTCTAAAATTAGGGCTGGGACGATATATCGAGAAATCGATTCTGTGTGAGGACGATCGCATATCGATACATATGAAGAAATATTGAAAAATCGCAAAAAATTTCTGACTTAGATTTTGGGTTTAATAATATGTTGACGGTGCGACCGTTAGAGCAAGTGCAGATACCTTTCAGTTTTCATTACTTAGATCGGGCTCGTCAAACCGCACGTGACATTTGCTACGTCTAGACTTTGACGTCATATAACGTCGTATATATGTTGCATGAGCCTACCAAAACGAAGTGTGAACAATGCTAATTTTAATCAAGAAAGTTTATTCTACTATTTGTCTGCTATATATCCATTAAATCAAGGTGATTTTATTTTTTTGTTGAATTTTATTGCTACCGCGAGAACGTAGTTTCTGACGACTTGCAATTCCCTAAGCATTATGGGACAACAGGAAACTGCGGAAAAAAATTCATTTGGATCAGTGTGCAAAGTCCGAATTTTCTCTTCGCCCAGGCGTTGCTTTAAGAGCTTGCAGTGATGAGCGGCGCTTTGTGCCGCTCGCTGCACTCGCTATAATATGCTTTACGGTGTGACCATTGGGGTGAACGCAGTTGCCTATACACAGCTTACATTTGTAACGTTGAACTGCCTCTTCAAACAGCACGAGACACAGTCTAGACTGTGATGTCACATGACTTTGGAGACAGCCGAGCTGGTTGAACGAAGATAGAACGTTCTGTCTTTAAAATGATATTGTCCTACGGACCCAGTTTAACGATAGAATTTGTTCCGTGTATTGGCAATGTAGCAAAATAAATACGGGTGATAACTCGAACTCAGTGCATTTATTATCAGTGATTTTTTTAGGGCCGATTTGGGGCCGAAATTCGGTCCCAGACTCGATTGAAAATATGCCTGTATTTTCCCAAAATGTATTGGAAATTTTCCCAAAGAAAAACTTACAAAATATGTGATCAAATTCAGTTTGTTTATAGGCTAAGCATGTTTCTCAGTGAAGTTCAAGCTGGTTTTATTGTTCAGCCATGTTGGATTTCTTCAAAATTAGATAATCCATACAACTATTGTTCTTGATATAAGTAAATAGATAATTCATACCAAGAATAGTCTTGATTTGTTAAAAAAATTGTTTGTTAAAGTAATACAATGACAAAAACAAAGTTTTTTGACAATGCTTTTTATGTGACTGGGTTTTCTTGGAACTTCCCAATTTAGCCTAATTGACGCTGAAATTCCCAATTCCGAGGGCCCCAGCCCCCAGTCCCAAAGTACTGAAAAAGAACACTGATTATGATCAATCCAGAGAGTCCTGAATGTCAATATGGCGTGTAAATTTGAAGCGATAAAAAACGTTGAGAAAATGAGTTGAATATTCGTCTCTTTATGGATTATTTCTTAGGTTAAAAGGCATATAAAATCTCAGAAAGGTTTGTTATGATTAATTTGGTAGTTATTTTCAGTGCAACTCCTTTTGTATACTTCAAAATCATTTCAGAGCGGATCCGCTCTGATTTGCTACATTGCAAGTATGTGGGACATATTCTAACTGTGGTGAGGGCTTGTCTCGAGACACAGTTAGATTATTCTAACTAGTTAAACAAGACTACACGTCTTGTGCAATTTAGATTAGATGCAATTATTTTTGGTTTCTTTTAAGCTCTCTGCAAAGAAAGAAAAGTAAACGTATCTCTTGGTAAAAAACAATTATCCTTGGTCTTTTTTATGTTTTGTAATAATTTCGCATGGAATCCTGGTAGATAAGGAATTCTCTGAATGTTGCACAAGAAAAATTGCCTGACGTAGGTACAGATTTCATTCCGAATTTCCTCTGTTCTTACACATTAGTCTATTGAGGGTGCTTCATGCCCCTCGCTGCGCTCGCTATAAATATAAATATGAAATACATAAAAAATTGACAACTTTAAAAATTTTCTAAAATTTCAACTTGTGTAAAATAATTTTGTTTTACAACAGATATGCAACTTCTTTGAAAAAATTATTCGTATTTGTTAAGAAAAGTTTTGTTCATTTCAATACCAAAAAAAAAAAAGATTTTATAACCAATTCAACATATCAGGATACATAATGTATCATGGCTCAAATATTGTGATACATATCGATATAGAAAAAGTTGTATTGTCCCAGCCATATCTAAAATCGGCATTTGGCAGAAATAAACTCCAACTGAGGTAACAGCCTACATTAAAATACAATTAGTTGCAAAAATAATTAGTTGTGTATGAATTGCAAACTGACAAACAAATCAAATTTGCAAATGATGCTTGCTTTACAGTATCTTTAGTCCAGGTTATATAACTTAGTGAAGGTAAGAGATAGGTCTATTTTAACTGTTTTAAATCTATATTAACATTAAAAGTGTTAAAGTAATGACCTTCTTTTACAGGGTCTCTATAAATACTGAACAGATCTCTATAAAATAGTACAGAAAGGTGTATGACATTTTAAACAATATAAGAATTTGAAAATGTTCCATTGAATGATTCAATTTAGACCTTTGAAAAGTACATTGTAAATAAACATATTTTCTCTTAAAAGGTTTGAATTATATAAAATAGGTAAAAATGAAGTCATACAGGATTTGGAGAATTGTTTTGATTGTAATGTTAAATTTTACAGGATATGGAGAATCATGTTAATGGTAATGTTATATTTTACAGGATTTGTAGAGTTTTGATTGTAATGTTATATTTTACAGGATTTGGAGATTCATGTTAATAGTAATGTTAAATTTTACAGGATTTGGAGAGTCATGTTAACAGTAATGTTATATTTTACAGGATTTGTAGAGTTTTGATTGTAATGTTATATTTTACAGGATTTGGAGATTCATGTTAATAGTAATGATATATTTTACAGGATTTGGAGAGTCATGTTAACAGTAATGTTATATTTTACAGGATTTGTAGAGTTTTGATTGTAATGTTATATTTTACAGGATTTGGGGAATCATGTTAATAGTTATGTTATCTTTTACAGGATTTAGAGAATCATGTTAATACATGTAGTAATGATATATTTTACAGGATTTGGAGAATCATGTTAACAGTAATGTTATATTTTACAGGATTTGGGGAATCGTTTTAATACATGTAGTAATGTTATATTTTACAGGATTTGGAGATTCATGTTAATAGTAATGTTATATTTTACAGGATTTGGGGAATCGTTTTAATACGTGTAGTAATGTTATATTTTACAGGATTTGGAGATTCATGTTAATAGTTATGTTATATTTAACAGGATTTGGAGAGTCATGTTAACAGTAATGTTATATTTTACAGGATTTGGGGAATCGTTTTAATACATGTAGTAATGTTATATTTTACAGGATTTGGAGATTCATGTTAATAGTAATGATATATTTTACAGGATTTGGAGAGTCATGTTAACAGTAATGTTATATTTTACAGGATTTGTAGAGTTTTGATTGTAATGTTATATTTTACAGGATTTGGGGAATCATGTTAATAGTTATGTTATCTTTTACAGGATTTAGAGAATCATGTTAATACATGTAGTAATGATATATTTTACAGGATTTGGAGAATCATGTTAACAGTAATGTTATATTTTACAAGATTTGGGGAATCGTTTTAATACATGTAGTAATGTTATATTTTACAGGATTTGGAGATTCATGTTAATAGTAATGTTATATTTTACAGGATTTGGGGAATCGTTTTAATACGTGTAGTAATGTTATATTTTACAGGATTTGGAGATTCATGTTAATAGTTATGTTATATTTAACAGGATTTGGAGAGTCATGTTAACAGTAATGTTATATTTTACAGGATTTGGGGAATCGTTTTAATACATGTAGTAATGTTATATTTTACAGGATTTGGAGATTCATGTTAATAGTAATGATATATTTTACAGGATTTGGAGAATCATGTTAACAGTAATGTTATATTTTACAGGATTTGGGGAATCGTTTTAATACATGTAGTAATGTTATATTTTACAGGATTTGGAGATTCATGTTTATAGTAATGATATATTTAACAGGATTTGGAGAGTCATGTTAACAGTAATGTTATATATTTTACAGGATTTGGGGAATCGTTTTAATACATGTAGTAATGTTATATTTTACAGGATTTGGAGATTCATGTTAATAGTAATGTTATATTTTACAGGATTATGGGAGAAATTACCTTAACAGTCTCCAATCTGTCAACCAAACTGACCGATGTCCTTTATCTGTATCAACAAAACAGAATCCTCTGTGACTGCTGTATACAGTGTAGTGATGGAGAAGTTTATGCCCATAAAATCATCCTAGCCATGTGGGGAATGTTTGGCTTCTACGTTGATACTATTGACACAATTCAGGCTTCAAAATTCACAACTGCAGATGTTAATAACTTTATGAAGTTAATTTATTCAGGGGAAAGTTCATTATTAAAGTTAGATGCAGCATTTAGAGTTGCTCAGGTTGGCAAACTAATTGGGATTAGGTTACTTTGTATCTCAAGCTCTCTGACCCTACAAGAATCTTTAGAATCAGCTTTGTCTGCCCTTAAATCCTCTTCTGAATCAGGCGTGAAACTTAATAAGAAATACATTCTCTACATTAAATCATTGCCTGATTTTCAAAGCAATTTTTCGACCACAACAAATGTGAGATGTAGGGAGCCAATCAAGTCGACAAAATCAATGCCTGGTAACAGTATGAACAGTATCAAAGACAAAAGGAATAAAAACTTAGAGGAGTGTTGGCTTAGTCAGTCGTCAGATGTCAGCTCTACTATACTGATTAATGAAAATAAGTCAGCTGAATCTCCTACCATTGACAACAATGATGATGATACTTTTGAACATGAAAAGACAACAAGCCATACAGCTTATTCTGACCCACCACCGGAAATAGTAATAGAAGTCAAAACTGAAAACTGTGAACAGCCAGACTCAAGAAACGTAGATACTGAAAAAGAACAGGAAGATGACGACGAAGATTTTACAATGGAATCCTGGTCTGGGAGTGTAGAATCGCTGAAAACTGCCAAAAATAATTCAGTGAGGGAGTGGAGTGTAGAATCGCTGAAAACTGCTGAAAAAAATTCAGTGAGGGAGTGGAGTGTAGAATCGCTGAAAACTGCCGAAAATAATTCAGTGAGGAAGTGCAGTGTAGAATCCATGAAAACTGCCGAAAATAATTCAGTGAGGAAGTGCAGTGCAGACTTAAAAGATACCAGTCAGAAGTCAAACTTAAAAGATACCGGTCAGAAGAAAGCTGAGGCACAGGAAGGAGGGTGTAAATTAATCAAATGTAGGAAATGCCTCAAACACAAGAGGGCTCCTTTTATATATGCTGATACAACAGAGGGACTAGAAAACTTTTATAAGCATGCTATAGAATCTCATCCAGCTGCTTATATTCAGAATGTAAACTGTGAAATATGTGGAGCTTCTTATAAAAACTGTCAAGCAGTTATGTATATGGAACATTTAGTCAAAAAACATGGTATAGAATATGACTCTACAGTCTACCACAAGAAAACGTGTGATTTTGATGTATGTAAGCTGTAATAATATCTTTGATGTTTGAATAATCCTTATATTTATCAGATAGCCAAAACGTATCAATATTTGAATGAGATGTAGATTTCAGTGACATATTGATTGTGTATTTTGTAATTTTTGTTTCAGTGTGACCCTTGTATTTTATGTTGTAGAATTGTGAATACTGGACACTGTGTCAAACTAAATTCTCCACCCATAAAAAACAAGTGCATTCTGGGAAACGTAGCATTTGTGATGTGTGTGGAGAGTCGGTCAAAAACATCAGACATCACAGAGAGATTCATAAGGACAGGCCCAGAATACCGTGTGAAATCTGCGGTCACACCTTTGTCAGTGAGGCTTCTGTTAAGGTCTTTATTGATTTAACCATTTGACTTATTCTTGTATCCCTGTAAATAAAAATATGAAATGGATGTGAAAAAAATATCATTTTGACTTTGAATCAAAAACACACATACCGTATGTGTAATTCAAAAAGTGGGCATCATATTTTATCTGCTTTGGCGTGAACAATAATGTGCTAATTCATGACCAGTATGTGATGTTGACATTTGAATTTGGAGTCAAATTATTAGAATTTTAAAGAGTATGCTTTTCCTGGATAGAAAGTCTTGATCATTTGACTAGATTTTATTTTGATATACCGTACATACTCGCATATAAGGCGTTTGTATTTCTTAAGCTTATATTAGAGGGCTTGATGCTCTAAAATACCTATCTTTTTATAACTTGCCTATAAGTCGGACATAGAGTTTTGGACCAGAATTTAACTTCCAAAAAAACAACTTGTAGGCGAGTATATATGGTTAATGTATTATCATAAAAATCATATATTAATGAAGTTCTGTATCAAAGTACAGCTTACAAATCTGAAATGTTACTTTTCAGTCAAATATGGATAGCTTGAATACCATTGTTGGGACTTCCAATTCACTTGATCATAACAACTTTTATGTTTTTAACCCTTAATATCTTGAACCCTCAGATATTTCGATTTTTTCTCTCGGTCCCATTAAGTTCAAGATAAGCAGGTTTGACTGTACCTGGGAAATAATTGATACTTCAACCTAATTGTCTTTGCAGAATCATATTGCAAAAGTGCACGAAAAGAAATACAAATCTGTCGGTTTCTGCAAGTATTGTAATCAGAACTTCATAGAGCGGTACAAATATTTCAACCATATGTTCAGAGAGCACAAGGAGATTCCAAAAGGTATGAAAAGGTAAGTCTCAGGTGTCCACTTTGTATCTATTGCTTAACATCCTGGCCTAAATAAGATTTGTCTTGTCCATTTGACATTAGTCTTCAGTTTGAACATATGCACCAATGTTTTCAAGATTGATTCTTATTTATGCCATCCACAGATTTCTCTCTTTTTATTCTTTCGTGAGACTGATGCACCATCATGTGTCAAATCTTAACACTAGCTTTGCTTTTTGGCACAAATTTTGTTTTGGTCAAATCTTTACTGAAAAAAGCAAAAATCTTTTTATCTCATATTTACTCCTTTATTCAGTAAATATTTTTTTCATATCCTACTTGGACTGTGCAATAATATTGATATTCTGGTGCAGTGTATTTTGCGATTCGTTAACAAAAATTATCGTATTGTGATAAGTTTTTCCTGTATCTATATACTGGCAAACTGCTTGGGCTCTAGACTTCTTAAGTAAAATATGAAATTCAATAGGTTAGTAACATTTTCAGTCATGCCTAGCTAGTCATGCCAAAGAGTACCAAATGGTAATGTTGCTGTTGTATGGTTGCATTTCATTCCAAAACTGTAGTGAAATCAATAAGAATTTTTTTTTGTCACAATGAATTTATAATAATTTCACACACTCTTCTTATAGATGAAGGGTAATATTAAAATAAGAAAAAGAGCATTTTAACTGTCATTCATGATTGAAAATATTGCAATACATATTGCAATACAGTTAAAAATATCGCAATATATCACAATACAAAATGCCCCGCTGACACCCAGCCCCATTTCCTACACTATATATTTCAAAGCCCCATAATATTAATATAATCAAATACAAGTGTTTGCATTAGTGAACTTGGAAGACGGAGGTATAATTCTATATAGTTAAATTCATTAAACTATGCAAATCACAGATCTTGTTTCGAAGAATTTTTTTACCCCATTTTTTATTAGGCACTAACTTTAGTGGTGCAATATTGTTGAATTTTTATGCAATATTAAACAATTGATAGGGAAGACAAAAAATGTGTAATTAAAAAAACCCATAAAAAAATTGTTTAATTAAAAAAACCCCATAAAAAATGGTTTAAACTTGATAAAAAGAATCTCCCATGGTTTTTGTTGGGATATTTTTTATTCAATGTTTTTTCTCTCCCTTCACCAAGGCAAGAAAAATCACAACAAGGATTAAGATAAAAAAGACATATTCAATCATAAACCTCATTACAGACTTTATAGTTAAGACATTAGTTGATATTAAATAATTTAATCCATATTATTCACTCCTCTCTACATCTAAACTTTGATTTAAAATTAATGTGAAGGTGTAACGTACTGCACTAGCAATTTAATTTTAGTAAAGATGACAGTATACTGATAAATAAATTTACGATAATGTATTTACATATGTATTGTAACTCTCCCGGGTAGGACTTCATTATAATACCTGTACTTCATTATGTTTTAGGTACCAGTGTACCGAGTGTGACTTTGTGACTTACCAGATTGCTCTGTTGAAAAATCACAAGTTAAGACACAAAGAGCTTAAAGGTATTGTAGATAATGTACTCTTACTACATTATAGTCAAAGGCTAATGCCAAGCAATAGAGTATATGAATAGAGGTACTTGTATATTTCTGTACTGTCACTTTTTTTTGGGGGGGGGGGGGGATTACATTCTCATCAAAGTTAAATGTTCCTTGAATCCTCTGAATCAATTTTTCTGTCATGTTGAAGTGTCTAAATCACATTTCTATAGTGGTGAATTCTCTTAATCACTTTTTCTGTGGTGGTGAATTCTCTTAACCACTTTTTCTGTGGTGATGAATTCTTTGAACCACTTTTTTTTTGTGGTGATGAATTCTTTAAATCACTTTTTTCTGTGGCAATGAATTCTTTGAATCCCTTTTCTTAACAACAAGGATGTTATAATTTTTAAACTTGATATCAGTAACCAATGTGCTTATAATAATTTGTAGAAAACCATGATTTTTAAGTTTCTTTGATAATGAGATGTTTAAGTTTCTCCATAATCCTTTGTCAAAAAGAAATATTTGGTAAAGGTGAGCATTGTGGCCCAGGGGCCTCTTATTTTATTTCAGATGAAGCTGGAAAGGCAAAATACTAAGAATTTGTTTCTTTAAAATTTGTGAAGAAAACGTAGAATTTTTCAAATTAACAGGATTTAATAATGCAACTGTCTTTGATAAGTTTTGTTTTAAAAAAAAATCTTTTTTTTTTCTTTAATTTTTTTGTTGTTGTTGTCATTTTAGGATTGAAAATTGAACGAAACTACAAATGTCACTTCTGTGGAAAAGCATTTATTACGAACATTAGTCGCAATTACCACGTACAGCAGCATCATGGTAATAATTTAATAAACAATACATGTATGTCTTTCTTTGTAATGTTAGGATTAACGGTTGCAATTACTGTTGACGTACAATTTTGGGATTAGTTAGCACTATGTATGCGGCCAAAAACTTTCTGTGAAAATTTGTCTCAGATTACCTAAAGAGCATTTAAGTCAATTAAGATATACAATGGCAAATCAAGAAATCGATATTATTTTCTACCTGTAGAAATCGTGATTCTGTAGAATTATGACCTTGTGGGAAAAATGTATGTTTACAGTATTGCCAAAAAATAACCTGTGTAAGCACTGAAGAATTATATCTGGACATTTTTAGTGGGGGTTTTTGGATATGACAATTTTTCTGTCTACACTGCTGTGTAAACACAGCTGATTGATCTGTGGAATCTATCCCTGTCTGCTCAATTATGACACACAAATTCTTAAAAGCAATGAAAGCCATTCTAATTGCTTAAATTTTAATGTAACTATGTATATTGATTTTGAACACTTGCATGTAAAGGATAATTTTTATGCCCCGCCATGAATATGGCCGGGGCATATAGTGTTTGTCATGTCCATCTTCCGTCCTTCTGTCCTTCCATCCTTCCGTCTGTCCTTCCGTCACACTTTGCGTTTAGCCCTGTTCAAAGCTCAGTTTCAAACAAACTATCCAAGATATTTTTGTCAAACTTCATGTGCTGATAGATATTGATGAGAGCTATGCAACTGCATCAACATTTTTTGACCTTGACCTTTCCTTTGACCTTGACCTCACTTTTCTTAAATTAGTGTTTAGCTCAGTTTTAAAGATACCATTCAAGATAGTGTAATCAAACTTCATATGTTGACACATACTGATGTAAGCTATTCAACTGCATCAACATTTTTTGACCTTGACCTTTCTTTTGACCTTGACCTCACTTTTCTTAAATTAGTGTTTAGCTCAGTTTTAAAGATACCATTCAAGATAGTGTAATCAAACTTCATATGTTGATACATACTGATGTAAGTTATTCAACTGCATCAACATTTTTTTGACCTTGACCTTTCTTTTGACCTTGACCTCACTTAGTGTTTAGCTCAGTTTTAATGAAACCATTCAAGATATTTTTAACAAACTTCATATACTGATACATACTGATGAGAGCTATTCAACTGCATCAATATTTTTTACCTTGACCTTTTCTTTGACCTTGACCTCACTTTTCTTAAATAAGTTTTTAGCTCAGTTTTAAGGATACCATTCAAGATAATGTTATCAAACTTCATATGCTGATACATACTGATGAGAGTTATTCAACTGCATCGACATTTTTTGACCTTGACCTTTCCTTTGACCTTGACCTCACTTTTCTTAAATTAGTGTCAAACTTTGTATGCTGATACATACTGATGAGAGCTATTCAACTGCATCAATATTTTTTGACTTTGACCTTTCCTTTGACCTTGACCTCACTTTTCTTAAATTAGTGTTAAGCTCAGTTTTAAAACCATTCATAATGTTTTATCAAATTTCATATGCTAATACTTACTGGACATATTTCTAGTCTTTTTTAAGTTACATGTACTAGGACTTTATTTTGGCCTCTTATGAGGGTAGATTCGGCATATTAGAAAGGGGGGATGATCACTGATAGTGAAACTACTATTTATAGTGCTTGCCTAAGTACTATAAATAAACTTATACTAGTATTAGGATTTGTTACAAGTGTATTGCTTAAATGTTGGAGATTAGAAATGCTCAGATATCTCCATGTAGCAAAATGTCTGTGAAACTCAAAGATGAAAATCATGTATTCTTCAGTATATATTGACTGTAAGATAAGTGTTTAATTAACAGCATAAATTGACAATTATCAAGGAAAGGGGAGTTAGTTAAACTAAATTAAGGATGAAGTTAAAATGAACCTTGAACCTTGATGTGCTTTATTTGATATTTCAGTCAGTAAAGCCTACCTACAGTGTCCCTATGACAACTGTACTACAGTGTTTCAGAAAAAAAGAAGTTTACAGATCCATATCAGAGACATCCATGAGGTAAACATATTACAATACACACATCCATGAGGTGAACATATTACAATACACACATCCATGAGGTAAACATATTACACACATCCGTGAGGTAAACATATTACAATACACACATCCATGAGGTAAACATATTACACACATCCGTGAGGTGAACATATTACAATACACACATCCATGAGGTAAACATATTACACACATCCATGAGGTAAACATATTGCAATACACACACATACATGAGGTAAACATATTGCAATACACACACATACATGAGGTAAACATATTGCAATACACACACATACATGAGGTAAACATATTGCAATACACACACATACATGAGGTAAACATATTGCAATACACACACATACATGAGGTAAACATATTGCAATACACACACATACATGAGGTAAACATATTGCAATACACACACATACATGAGGTAAACATATTACAATACACACATCCATGAGGTAAACATATTACACACATCCATGAGGTAAACATATTACAATACACACATCCATGAGGTAAACATATTACACACATCCATGAGGTAAGCATATTACAATACACACATCCATGAGGTAAACATATTACACACATCCATGAGGTAAACATATTACAATACACACATCCATGAGGTAAACATATTACACACATCCGTGAGGTAAACATATTACACACATCCGTGAGGTAAACATATTACAATACACACATCCATGAGGTAAACATATTACACACATCCATGAGGTAAACATATTACAATACACACATCCATGAGGTAAACATATTACACACATACATGAGGTAAACATATTACAATACACACATCCATGAGGTAAACATATTACACACATACATGAGGTAAACATATTACAATACACACATCCATGAGGTAAACATATTACACACATACATGAGGTAAACATATTGCAATACACACACATACATGAGGTAAACATATTACAATACACACACACATACACAATGAGTTGAATGTTATCTCAAACTTTTGACATCTCCAATACCATAGATATGTCAGATGGAGTCCAAACTGTTTTTTCTTTATGTATTTTAACCTCAATATCTCAAATCCTCAGATATCTTGATGATTTTGTCTCAGTCCCAATGGGTTTGAGAGATATGCAGTCAAACCTGTCATAGAAACAACCTATATTAACAACTTCCTGTCATATTCGACTGTTGAATTTCCTTTCAAGAATTTTCATCATATTTTGCCTGCATTCAGTGACTCCCTGTCTAACTTGACATGCGACCATCAATTTCTTTCCTAAGGCGGTTTAAGTTCCTGAATTTAGCAACTTTCAGCCCCACATTTGGCAACAAGAGTGATAAAATGTTTATTTTTTGCCCCATCCCTGAATTTGTAGAAAGATGTTGGCAAAAATATAAACATTAAGTAACTGTACTTGAAGATTAACTTTGAAATGGTTTCAACAAGAAGTATATAAAACTTGTGTACATTTGTGCATAAAAATCCTTGTATTCATGATTATCTTTTTTGTTTTTCCCTTTTGGGCATAATCTTGGTGTGAGTAGTTTTTATCCTTAACAGTATCATAAAAGTTTAAAACGCTATAAAAACAAACCTATTTTGACTTTTCTTTCAAAATATTAATTTACACCTAACACAAAACAGGTAAAATTAATTTGTACAAACTAATATTTATTATAAGAATATATTTTATTCATCAAAATGAGTAAAAATGATTGTAAAATACTGGATATGTTGAATTCAGGAGACAAGAAATTATCTTTAGGGGTTTTTTTGCATGTCTTTGAAAATTTGCTAGAATATGTGACCATCCTAGAATTTTCTGTAAACTATTACTAATACACTATTTACATTTATGTGATATACTGGAGAATCACATATTTTCATGGGGTCAAATTTTTGTGTTTTGAGAAAAAAGCTATGGGTTTGTGGGGATTGGATTTCGTGGATGAAGAATTGTTGAGTAGTTATGTGTTTGACATTCTACATTTCATGGTGGATGAGAATTCGTGGGTCTCTTCATACCTCAAAAACAACGATAATTAACACACACACACCCATGAGTGTTTTCACAGTATCACTTTTATTTAGATGCATGTATTTTGTAGTAATTTAAATTGGTATATCTGATCCAAGAGGATTTTTCAAAAGGTGATTTACAATTTTTTTTTCAGATTGGAAAGATATTTCAGTGTCATGTCTGCCCATACAAATGTAATCGGCAAGGAAATCTTGTGAAACACATTCGTACTGTCCACAAAGAAGAGGTGTCTACTCGGGATTCTCGACGGAAACAGGCCATGTTGTCAGGGAAAGGTTACCATGAAGCAGTTGGTCAGATTCCTAGGGAGAATCCGGAAGATGGAAAAAGCAGTGAGGAGGAGGGGAACATTTCAATCTGAGCAGAATTTGTTTGAGGAGTGGATACATGAAATAGTTGATTTTCAACTAGAAAGTAGCTACCTGTAAATTTATTTGTCAGTGAAGAGAAAACATTTCTGCAATTATGGATATTGAGTTACATAAATGAGTTATATGAATATTTAGCTCACCTCAACAAAGTTGGGCGGAGCTTATGAAATACCGTCAGCATTCCAGGTTAAAGTTTTTGGAGAGATTTCTTTTCAAGTACTTCTGTGCCCTATATTAATCAGAGATGCATGGAATATGCTTATAGCATGCTTCACTGTACCAGTCAAGGTTTCAGCTAAAGAATGACCAGATTTTTGGTGCAGATGTCATTTCCAAGTAACTATAAGCTTATATTGACCAAACTTGTATGGATGATACATCTAAGGATGAACACTACCAGGCTTGCTTTAGATGCTGGATCTGACCTACTTTTTCTGGATGAGTGACCAGTTTAATGTTTTTGGAGCAGGTTCATTCTAAAGTAACTATATGCCCTATGTTGACTAAACTTGCATGGATGATACATTTAAAGATCCATACTAATAGGTTTGCTTCAGATGCTGGATCTGACCTACATTTTCCAGGTCGACCAGATGAGTGACCAGGTTAAAGTTTTTGGAGCAGGTTCATTCTAAAGTAACTGTTTGCCCGACCTGGACCAAACTTGCATAGATGATACATGTAAGGATGCACACTTCTGGACTTGCTTGGGATGCTGAATTTGACTTACATGTATATTTTCTAGATGAGTGACCAGGTTAAAGACTTTGGAGCAGTTTCTTTTTTAACTGACTATAAGCCCTATGCTAACCAACTTTGCATGATAAAGCCAAACTTACATGGATGATGCATCAAAGGATGAATACTCTCAAACTTGCTTCAGATGCTGGATTTGATGTACATTTTCTGGATAAGTGACTAGTTTAAAGTTTTTAGATAAGTCCATTCCCAAGTACTGTAACTGCAAGCCCTATCGGACCAAAATTGCATAAATGTTTGCATGTAGGGATGCACTCTGCTAGATTATTAGTTAAGAGTTGGACTTTGTCTTACTTAAAGACAACATTCATTTAAGTGAACTCTGTAATCTCTGATTACCTATGTTTTTTTTCGGATTAATGAATAATGATCTGTGTAAAAATACTAAGAAGTTCATTTACAAGTTAGAATTTTAAAATTGATTACTGTGTATTATATTACTGTATACATGGTTATTTTTTGCCCCATTTTTTGAAACTTGCAAATGATTTTGCCCTCTTTTAAATTTGCCCAGACACAGTTGTGTTAAAGAGATAATTCTGTTTTCATTGAATTTGCCAATTTTAAATTTGCAGACTTGCAAGGAAGGCAAAAGGGGCAAAAATTTCCCATATACAATAACTACATTTGTTTGAATAGCAACTACAAATCTGTAAGCACCAACCATTGTCATTTTCATTCTATTTAAAAGAATAAATGATTATAAGCCCTGTTTTTTTTTTGTTCTAATGGTTGAGGACCAGAGCGGCTTTATGCCGCTTATGAATGAGTTAGTGCCAATTGTTTGTCCATTCGTCTTTTTATAAAGTGCATATTAAATTTCCATGAATTTTGAAAAATTTCGTTCTTACATTTCTGCAAATTAATATGTAGCTGTCATTGTACCTTAACACTAGGTTTACGCAATTTACCTGTGGCAATGAGTAGCAAAAAAATTTTTTTTTTTTTAAATTATAATTAAGATTAAGATCCCACACAGCAGCAGCAGCAGTAGGCAAGATTGACAGACAAACTCAAGTTTCTGTGAAGAATGTTGGGTACAAATTCAATGCCAAATCAGACATAACCTATTCTGGCACCAAATTTATTGCCAACAGGGGGTTGAACTAGTAATTTTCATACAAATATAGAAAATTTTATGTATTATTTTACACCTAGGATGCATTTTGTAATTGCCAAATATTAGATTACACTAAGATACAGTTTTTGATTTTGATGATTATTGCTGCCATGATTACTAAGAAAAGAAAGGATCAGTGCACTTAACATGTTTAAGCTATGAGAGTTGGGTCCCAGTGCTTTGAAAAAAATAAATTTCTGAAGTTTTTAGCTCACATGAGCCGAAGGCTCAAGTGAGCTTTTCTGATCGAAATTTGTCTGTTGTCTGTCGTCATCGTAAACTTTTAACATTTTCATTTTCTTCTTAGAACCGAACTTGCAACAAAGTATCCTTGGGTAAAGGGGATTCAAGTTTGTTCAAATAAAGGTCCACACCTTCTTCCAAGGGGAGATAATTATGAATTTGTGAAAAATTAATGGCATCATTTAAAAATCTTCTTCTTAAGAACAACTGTGCTAGAAAATATGAAACCCATGTGGAAACATCCTCAGGTAGTGTAGATTCAAGTGTGTTCAAATCATGACCCCTGGGGCTAGGGTGGGGCCACTATGGGGATCAAAGTTTAACATAGTAATACATAGGAAAAATCTTTAAAAATCTTCTTCTCAAGAACAGTAAAGCTGTGAATGGTCATTTTTATATGGAAGCATCATCAGGTAATGTATATTCAAGTTTGATCAAATCATGTCCCCTGGGGTAGGGTGGGGCCACAATGGGTGATCAAAGATTTACATAGGAACACATAGGAAAAATCTTTAAAAATCTTCTTCTCAAGAACAGTAAAGCTGTGATTGGTCATATTTATATGGAAGCATCCTCAGGTAGTGTAGATTCAAGTTTGTTCAAATCATGACCCCCGGGGTAGGGTGGGGCCACAATGGGCGATCAAAGATTTACATAGTAATACATAGGGAAAATCTTCTTCTCAAGAACAGCAAAGCCATGATTAGATACACATGTATTTATATGAAAGCATCCTCAGGTAGTGTAGATTCAATTTTGTTCAAATCATGACCCCTGGGGGTAGGGTGGGGCCACAAGGGTTAATCAAATTTTTATACATTGGAAAAATCTTTAAAAATTTTCTTCTCAAAAACAGCAAAGCCATGATTGATCATAATAATATAAAAACATTCTCAGTAATGTAGATTTAAATGTGTTCAAATCATGACCCCCAGGAGAATAGAGGGACCATAACAAGGGATCATAGTTATACATAGGAATATAATGGATATATCAATTAATATTTTCATCTGTAGAACAGCAAAGCCATTATGTATAATATTAATTCAAAAGCATCCTTAGGAAGTGTAGATTCAAGTTTGTTAAAAGCATACCCTCCCCCCTTTCGAACCACTTTTATATTTAAGCTTTTCAATACTGAACTGATTTCTGCTTTTTCCTAGCCAAACTGCTCAGGTGAGCAATGTGGCCCCTGGGCCTCTTGTTTAACTTTTTGCATCAAAGTTATTAAACAATGTCTTAAGAGCAAAATTTGATTTATTATATCACATGAAAGTATTAAATAATGCCGAGCGACACTGACTTTTGCAACTGGGATCTAGCAGTTTTGTCACATTTCTATTCATTGTTTACATCGATCCGCAACTTGTCCATTCGTCTCATTTGCACAGAATATGTTTTTTAACTTAAACTTATACGTGTCCACAGGGCAGTGTTGGACAACTTGCGGCTCATATGCAATTTTTTGAAAAATTCTCCAAACTACGGTCGAGTTAGTTACTAGATTAACAGGTCATCGAGTGTAAACCCATTTTGACCCGTTTGAAATTATAATCACTTTATTTACGTGACATTCCACCCAGGCGCCTGAAGTGTGGATCGATACCCCCCCCCCTTTAAAATAAAAAAAAAATGTAAGAGCTTATAATTTGTCAATAATATAAAATTCCCTCATCAATCACATCCATATGTCGTTCTATGCAAGCAGATTTATCTTTTCTTACGTTTAGAGAATGGCCTTTTTCGGTATAATAAAATGTACCGTACAAGGCCATTTATTCTCTTTAGAAAAGTGGACAAGCTTTCGCCAACATCGATGTAGGCGAAAGCCTGTCCACTTCTCTAAAGAGAATAAAGGCCACTCTCTAAACGTAAGAAAAGGTACAATCTGCTTGCATAGAACGACATATGGATGTGATTGATGCCCAGGGGGAATTTTATATTATTAATAAATTATAAGCTCTTACATTTTTTTTTTATTAAAGGGGGGGGGGGTATCGATCCACACTTCAGGCGCCTGTGATTCCACTGCTCGATACGCTTTCATTGTGTCTGTCATTGGATGATTCTTAAGTGTCTAATCTATCGACTTCCGACTTTAAAGCATGGAAGATTTTGAAATTTGTTTTAGTGTTTTAAAGTTTACATTATCTTCTTTCACTATAATGTTTTCGTTTGGGGTATTTTTCAAGGAAATCCTGGTATTGTCAGTGCAAATCAGGTGCACGATTAGTAGGTAGCTGTCCTCATGTAGCCTCTGTATTGTGGTCTGCAGGCATCTACAGAAACAACTCATCCATAAACACTAATATCATACTTGACAATGTTTTGGATTGCCGAAATGAAACAGATAATATTGAAGACATAAGCGAGTGATTATCGACATTGTAACGTGGAAGAATTTTTGTTGACCATGGTTGTTGAATATCAAATATACTTGTTCCGTCAATAAAATGTTTGAATTACAAAAAGTTTATATTTCATGGAATTTTCATGTTAACCTAGCAACTTTAGAGTCACAACTCAAATTTGTATGTCATCAACATTTTTTACCTCGATCTTTCCTTTGACCTTGACGTCACTTTTCTTGAATTTGTGTTTAGCTAAGTTTCAAAGAATTTATTCATGACATTTTCATTATACTTCATATGCTGATACATATCAATGAGAGCTTTTCAACTGCATCAACATTCTTTTGACATTGACGTCTCCTTTGACCTTGACCTCATTTTCTTGAATTAGTGATTATCTCAATAACAAAGAAACTGATGATATATTTATCAAACCTTGTATGCGTATACATATTGATCAGAGCTGTTCAACTGCATCAACTTTTTTATTACCTTGACCTTTCCTTTGACCTTGACATTACTTTCTTACAAATTTATTGATTATCTTAAGGACCCTCTATACACCAGTGCAAAATGTTTTTTGGACATTGAGAAAATTATATTGAATAAAGTGTAAATATTGAGCTTATTTCTCTAATTTTCAATATATCAATATATGGTACGTGGTATTTACCCCCAGGAAAAATGTTCAGAGACAACAAAGTATCAATGAACAGAAATCACTATTGTTTTCTTCCGTGCATGGAGAAAATACTTGCAAATAAAGTGTTCAATTAATTTATCTTGGCCTTTTTCAAATGATAAGAATACTAAATTGATTACAAATTGAGTAATATACTGTAAATTTTAATTTATTGGAATTGAGATCTAAGGGCAGATCACTCTAACTGCAGAGAAATACCATAGAATCAGAACTCTTTAGTGTGCAGTTAGAGAGGGTTCTTAATTCCAAAGAAAATTGAGATATTTTATCAAACCTTATATATGCTTGCAGGATCGCTTTATCAGTACCTTCTCAGGGGGCGAATTTCGGCCCATTCCAAATGGAAAATTAGACCCAATTTTTTCCAAGTTTGTAAGGAAAAAATTCCCAAAATAAAATATTGAACATATAAATATATTTTTAAACTAAATCATAGAGTCTCCACATGGCTTAAAACTTTGCCAGCTTCTGAAGATAGAGAGAAAGATAGAGAAAAGAGTTAGATACCTTACATCTTTTAATTTACATTAATTAGAGGGCAAATATTATAATATTTTCTTTTAAAACCATTTTCTTACGTAGTTCTTTTCAGCCTGAGACCTTATCTTAGAGGTATAAATGATATTGATACAACACATCTGCTAGGTGACTGCCCAATGCTTTATAATTGTTACATTCAACTCAGTAATTAAAAAAATATTGTATTTAAAACACCCATTTTTCTTTTTTCCCAATTTTATCAAACTGTCATCGAATTTTCCCAATTAAAAAAAAATATGGCATTTCCCAAAATAGGGTGATAAATCCCTGGCTTGTGCATGTTGATTAGAGCTGTTTCAATGCATCAACATCTTTTCTTTTTTTTTTTTTTTTTTTTGGTGCAGAAAGGTAATATAAATTTTTGGCAAAACATATGGTGAACCATATTGTAAACCTTTCAAAATATTAATCCACCCACAATTTTATTCTGATTTAAAGATTGGTGACCTAATTAAGTACTGAGAATTGTCACTTCTGGGAAAAGTTATAAAAAAATTTCAAGAAGAATATTTCTCCATGACTTAGTATATAATAAGTTCAAATCAAAGTTCACGAGAAATGATTAATAAGTGATACGGGAAAAAAAATTCCGTTAAATGAACTTTAATTTTAGTACGCGTTGACTTTTTTCCTGAATGCGTTCTGGGCGAAAATTTTCAGCCATTTCAGAGTAACAAGGTTAGTTTTCTCTTGTTGTGTGATATCTTAAAGTAAGAATTGACAAATGAGATATGGATAAAAAATTTCTTTTACGTTGGTATATGCAGCTTAGATCGCAAATGTAATCGGCGCGATCCCACTCGTTACTTTTTTAAAAAATTAAATGATGTATTTATTGTTTGTTGTTTTCATTTAAATAAATATTCATTATTTTTAATTGATAAAAAAGAATTCCTTATTGAGAAGAGAATTCAAGAGAATCTAAAGAAACTTTGATTTTGCTAATGTTCTGGAAATATGGAAAGGAATCTTAGATGTAAAATTTGTGTGCATATTGTGCAAGTAATAAAATCACTTTTGTCAGTCGAGAAATGTTTAGATTGACAATTTGCACTTTTATTCTAATGCTTGGTATTCATATATCTTGCAAATGAAAATCATCAAATGATCTGACTTCTTCAAAATTTTTGTCTTTGAGTATTCTTGAATAATACTGTGAAATGTACATTTATATACACTGACATGTATTTAGAATTTTAAGTTTAATTAAGAAATAAACAACAATGTTAAAAAAATCTCTGGGAAATGAACTTGGTTGGTCACGTGATCAAATCCTTTGAAGCCTGAAGAGCTTCTCAGAAGATTTGATCACGTACCAACCAAGTTCATTTCCCAGTGAACTTTTCAACATTGTTGTTTATTACTTTTATTTACATTTGAGACCAATATTCTGAATGGAACTGCATTTATTACATGAGCGGCCCCCGTATTGCTATGTTGTGACGCGCAATGACTTAGAAGCTGTTTGGTCTTGAGAGTTCGCCTCGCTCCAACATTTGAATACTTACATTGATGTTCAGCAGTCCAGTTCAGGAAATATCTGTTCATAATGAAAAACACAATGATCGCTACTGAGAATAATCTTACTATTATTGTATGAGTTCTTTATATTATTATATGAATTTAAAAGCGGTGCTATCGTCTTCAGTTTACATACCTTCAAAGGAATTTCGGGTTAAAAAGGTAAGCATGATTTTAGGCTAATTAGAAACATTCTTCACACCCAAGGAAGATCTAGTGATCATTTGTTGAACGAAAAAAAAATATATGTTTCAATAATTTTATCTTTTGCATCGCTTTAACGGCTTAGAAGTTCCGAAACCAGTGTCACTGTGACAGAAATATATGTAGACAAGATATCATCTCGCTGTGTGATTCGGTCTTGCCATGACCTCTGACCCCCTAATAAGTTCATACAGAATTGAACATATTTTCTCTTCAATAAGTTCATCGATGAAAAATATTTGCAAATGTAAATAATAATGAATGTGCATGGCACACGTTAAGAAGTCTCCTTAGAATGAGACATTTCCCCCTAAATTTCTCCATGGGAGAATTATTAAGTGATTTTGGGTCTACGTTGATTCCTGTGTAATGCCTCAGTCAAGGAATAATTTAATGTAAATGCTTTACTTTCATTTATTTAAGAAAAGGTTGGACTGCTTTACTTTTGTTTTATTCAGAAAAGGATGGGACAAGCATATTTTTTGGTAGGAAAAGTAATTTTATGATAATAACCTGTTTGGAGGCGAGTACTGCAGAATTTTATTTGTCTACCCTATGGATTTTGCATGTTTACAATGAAATGAAGTTAGTTATTTGTAGGTTTACAGTAAAATGATTGAAGTAAGTAATTTGTAGGTTTACTGTATAGTGAACTGAAGTATGTTCAATAATTTGTAGGTTTACTGTAAAGTGAAATGAAGTAATTTGTAGGTTTACTATAAAGTGAAATGAAGTAATTTGTAGGTCTACTGTACAGTGGAATGAAGTAAGTAATTGTAGGTTTACTTTACAGTGAAATGACACATGAAGTCAACATATCTGTGCCTGGTCTTGGGGCAAAACTGAGTGATGTCCTTTATCTTTATCAACAAAACAGAATCCTCTGTGACTGCTGTATACAGTGTAGTGATGGAGAAGTTTATGCCCATAAAATCATCCTGGCCATGTGGGGAATGTTTGGCTTCTACATTGACACTATTGACACAATTCAGGCTTTAGGATTCACAACTGCAGATGTTAATAACTTTATGAAGTTAATTTATTCAGGGAAAAATTTCTTTACATATGCAGAAGCATTAGAAATGTGCAGATTTGGAAATCATATAGGCGTGAACCTTTTAGTACCTGTGTGTGTAAGTTTGAATTCACAAGAAATGACTATTGACAAACATTTAGAAACAGTTATCACAGATTTCATGTCATCTGGAGTCCCAGGAGTGTACTCCAACACTCTTCATGTTAGGTTTGAGTCGAGCTATAATAGGAATATAATGAGTTCAGCGAATGTCAGATGTAAGGAACCACAGAGAGATTCTTCTCAGTCAGTGAGGGAGGGGCATCATTCTCCTGATGTTGATATGACAGAAGTTAAGGAGGAAGATCAATGGGAAGTTGCTGAAGGAGAATCATCTGATGATGTCACTGTACCACAAAGTGAACAGGTGTCTATGACATCTCAAGAAAAAAACTTAGCTGAAGCCGGGACTGATGATACATCAGAAACAAATGAAAATAGAACTAAAGATATAACAGGTGAACAGAAAAAAGTGTATAAGAATGAAGAGGAAACAAAATCCCAGATACATTCAAATTTGGCTTTTACAGAAAGTACTGGTAATTTAGAACAGCTGGAAATACATGCCAGAGGTAAGGATACTGACTATCCTAGCAAGATAACAAGAAGAATCGTGAAAACAATCTTGCTGACGAAGTGTAAGCACTGTCGCAAAATGAAATTGCAAAGTCCCTTTCTGTACAATGAGAAAACAATGGAAGGAAAAGAAAAATTCAAATTGCATTGTGCTCATTCGCATGAGTTGGCACGGCTGAGTGATATTGCTTGTGACATCTGTGGCTTTAGCTACAAAAGATGTACTGCAGAGACTTACATGGACCATAGAGTACGTAAACACGGAGTCACTGATTATGATACCAATGTTTTCACGAAGAAATACTGTGATGTAGAGGTAAAAATATATATATATATTTAAAATTGACACATATTTATTAAATATACATACCGGTAACCAAAAAAAAAAAAATAGGCTTGATTCAAATTTTATAAGATACCTTTTTTTATTTTTACTTATTTTTTAGATGAATTATTACTAGTAAGTGTAATGTAAATTTTTGACACTTCTAAATCATGTACTCAACATGATGGTATGAACGTGCCAAGTTGTTTAACATAAAATTTTTCTCTATTATAAAATTTAATAATGACAGACTATTAGTGCCTCTGACTGAGGAACTAATGCTTCATGATGAATTCATGTAGTTATATAATGATACATACAGAAGTAGCTATACAAATCAGCTTTATTTTGTAGAACTGCCAATTTTGGGCAATATGTAGATGTAAAGTAAAGGTACACAAAGAAAAGGTTCACCTGAGTCAGTCGGCCATCTGTAACATTTGTGGAGCTGTGTTAAAGAACTCAGATAGTTTAAGAAGCCACGTGCTCCAACACAAAGAGACATCCCACCAGTGTGAAATCTGTGGCAAGACTCTGACTACACGTACTGGTTTGAAGGTATACTTGACATGATATTAGGCCTGCATGAAAATGAATATTCCTTACTGAGGCCACCGTGTCTGTCTGTCTGTTGGCTCTCAAGCTATCTGTTAACAGACTTTCATGTAATGTATCAATTCTTCCCTAATCTGTCCACATGTGATACACAGATGTCGCAAGCATTTTAAATTGATAATACTGTGACAGTAATTGGTAAATACATGTATTGTTTTTTTTATTGATACATCTAAAGTATCATAAAACACAAAGGTTACAGGGTATTTCCAAAGTAAATTTGGATTAACTTATGAATCCTTGTACTTCTTTATGAAAGGCAGTGTTTGTTTTCAAGGAAGATAGGACTATGAAATGGTGAAGATAAGGTGGGGTTGTATAAATTTTTCCTTAAGTTTTAAAGCTTCAAATTTTTCCACCAGATTGTTACCAATGGTAAATATGGTGCCATATATAGGGATTCAAAGTTACATGGGAATGTAAAGTAAAAATCATTAACAATCTTCTCGAGAACATCAAGGATACAATTTGACAATATACAAGCATGCGATATTATTGTTATTCACATGTTTTCAAAATTTGTTCCTTAGATTCAGAATTGTGACATGATAGTGGTCCCAAGCTATCTGCTTGACATTTAGAAAAATCCTTCAATTTTTTCTATTACTTTTCATTGCAGGTACATATTGAGGCAGTGCATGAGGGGAAATATAAGTCTGTAGGATTCTGTAGCCATTGTAATAAAAGCTTCAGAGCTCGGTATACCTACTTCAATCATATGTACCGGGAACACAAGGAGATTCCACAGGGCATGAAAGGGTAGGTACACATGTACCAAGAACACAAGGAGATTCCACAGGGCATGAAAGGGTAGGTACACATGTACCAAGAACACAAGGAGATTCCACAGGGCATGAAAGGGTAGGTACACATGTACCAAGAACACAAGAAGATTCCACAGGGCATGAAAGGGTAGGTACACATGTACCAAGAACACAAGGAGATTCCACAGGGCATGAAAGGGTAGGTACACATGTACCAAGAACACAAGGAGATTCCACAGGGCATGAAAGGGTAGGTACACGTACCAAGAACACAAGAAGATTCCACAGGGCATGACAGGGTAAGTACACATGTACCAAGAACACAAGAAGATTCCACAGGGCATGAAAGGGTAGGTACACGTACCAAGAACACAAGAAGATTCCACAGGGCATGAAAGGGTAGGTACACATGTACCAAGAACACAAGGAGATTCCACAGGGCATGAAAGGGTAGGTACACATGTACCAAGAACACAAGAAGATTCCACAGGGCATGAAAGGGTAGGTACACGTACCAAGAACACAAGGAGATTCCACAGGGCATGAAAGGGTAGGTACACATGTACCAAGAACACAAGGAGATTCCACAGGGCATGACAGGGTAAGTACACATGTACCAAGAACACAAGAAGATTCCACAGGATATGACATGTTTAGTACACATGTACCAAGAACACAAGGAGATTCCACAGTGCAAGACCAGGGATGTAGTGGGGTACACATGTAACAGGAACACAAGGAGATGCAACAGGGTAAAAAGTACATATGTACCAGGAACACAAGGAGATTCCACAGGGCATGGCAGGGTACTGTAAGTACAGGTGTCTCCATGTATTATCCTTTGGAATGCCCTCATGCAGATTTATAATTTAAAGTTTATATTCAATTATTTTTGCTTTGTAAAAATGAAGCATTGAGTTTTCAAAAAGCTGTTTTCTATTATTTAAAAAAAAAAAGCTTATTAGCAGATTTGTTATCACTATTTTGATGGTAGAATAAAACGAAGAACATTATCTGTAGTAAATTGACATTTATAATTAATAAACATTTAAAGTGACTGGAAATCAAGATTTCAAAATGGAGTGAAATCAGAATTTATTTAGAAAGCACAGAAATAATTTAGTAAGTATAAGATGAACACTGTAATAAACCTCTAATATACCTGTATATTTATCAGATAAGTGATGCCGGTAAATTTACATTCAACATGTATTGCTAATAAAGTGTGAGGAAAGCTATGGCATTTAAAACACTATTACACAAATGGGGTCCAAAGGTTATGCATTTTATTTTGACATCACAAACATTGAAAGTGCAACGTCTGAAGTGAAAATCAAAATTCATGCTCACATTGAACAGAAGCTATTGCAACAGCTCTTCCATTAATTGTAACTTAGGATAATACAGGGATTTTGAAATATAAATCACATTTGCAGCCGAGGCAAGGAGTTAAAAAATGTAAATACAAGCATTGAATTATTATTTTTTGAAAGTCTCATAACTGCAATGGTGTGTGCAAACAAATTTTCATGACGCACTTATGACAGTTACTCAATTTGTTTGCACACACCATTGCAGTTATGAGACTATATCTTTCAAAAAATAATGATTCAATGCTTAAGGAGGGATTCTTGTCTGGTTTCTGACTAGATGAAATATTCGAAGTACATTTGCTTATACAGTGTATGTCATATATATTTACATGTAAGTTATTTAAAAAATCATATTTTTCTTTCCTCATCATAGTTGTACAACTTTAAATAGAAATGGTAAACTGAGTTTGAAATCTAGCAGGGACTAATTTTTTGGGGAGTGACGGCATATGAAAAAATCTTTTTTTCTGCCTCTCAAAATTACTGTAGAACAATGAATTTAGTTAAAATTTTCAAACAATCAAAGACTTAAAGAAAATTTAAATGTAAGTAAAATTAATGATAATGGACTGAAGTTTTAAAATATATCAAATAAATATGATTTTACAAACAAACTACAATTTTATTAGCTTTTAAAAGCTTTCAATCTATGTAAAGATTTGAGCAAAAAAATCTGTAAAAAGTGTTTTTTCTCCCTTAGTAAACGGTCAAAACTTTTTGTTTTTGTATTAATTTGTATCTTTATTTGACTGCTTTATCATATGTAAAAATAAGAAAAATTTAAATATACGAAACATATGAAAATGACTAAAATATACATGTATCCTAAAAATTTAAGAAAAATTGAGGAAATTTGGATTAGCCAGTATCTATTTTAGTTGAATTATGCATGTCGATTTGGTAGTATCATCTGAAAGACCCTTACGTTAAATGGTAGTATCTTTTTACGCAAAAAGAAAAACATTTTAAATTTTGAAAAAGAAGTAGACATCACATGATTGGAAACAGTATTTTCTTTATTGTTAAAGTGTAGGAAAAAGATATGACCTTGACCTGACCTTGGTTCTAATATAAAACAGTCAAATTTAATCTTACTGATACATGTACCATCACTTAGCGATTATGTCTTCTTGATGCTATGAAAATTTTATCAATTTTTAAATACAAGAAATATGAGAAGAATCCCTCCTTAAATATAACATAAAATATTTACATGTAACATTCATGCATATTCATGATAATTCTGTTGTAGGTTCCATTGTGGTGAGTGTGACTTTGTGACCCCCCAGAAATCAATGATGAAGAGTCATGAGTTGAGACACAAGGAACTCAAAGGTAACACTCTGTATTCACTACATCAGATCTTTTTTGTGAATTGCATTTGATTGCACACAATGCATTATCAGAATACCATTCATATGCTTATTTGTATTGCTCCATACACTGTATAGTAACTGTTGTGTAGATAAAGCACTGCAACGATGAAAGAAGCTAAAGCATCAACATCATGGCAATGGGGGCTTTGCTCACTTATTACATTTGTTGTAACACTTATTACATTTGTTGTAACACTTATTACATTTGTTGTAACACTTTTACATTTGTTGTAACACTTATTACATTTGTTGTAACACTTACAACATTTGTTGTTACACTTATTACATCTGTTGTTGCATTCTTTTATATATGTTGTTATACTTTTCACATTTGTTATTACACTTATTACATTTGTTGTAACACTTATTACATCTGTTGTTGCATTCTTTTATATATGTTGTTATACTTTTCACATTTGTTATTACACTTATTACATTTGTTAATACACTTATTACATCTGTTGTTGCATTTTTTTTATATATGTTGTTATACTTTTCACATTTGTTATTACACTTATTACATTTGTTGTTACACTTATTACATCTGTTGTTGCATTTTTTTTATATATGTTGTTATACTTTTCACATTTGTTATTACACTTCTTACATTTGTTGTTGCCTCTTTTACATTTTTAGGTCTCCTGAGTCACTCAGGTAACCTATTTCTGTTTTCATCCATCGTCTTGTGGATGTGCATCGTGCGTAAATTTTTCACATTTTTGACTTCTTTTCAAGATCCACTTGGCCAATTTCAACCAAACTTGCCACAAAGTAACCTTGGGTAATGATGATTTAAGTTTCTTCAAATGAAGGGCCAAGTCTTTTTCCAAGGGGAGATAATTAAGAATTAGTGAAAAAAATAATGGCATCTGTTAAAAATATTCTTCTCAAGAACCACTGGGCCAAGAAAGATGAAACTTATACGGAAAAATCCTCAGATAATGTAGATTCAAGTTTGTTCAAATCATGACCTCTGGGGGTAGGATGGGGCCATAATGGACAATCAAAGTTTTACATAGGAATACAAGGAAAAATCTTTAAAAATCTTCTTTTCCAGAACCGCTGGGCCAAGAAAGATGAAACTTGTGTGCAAACATCCTCAGGTAGTGTAGATTTAAATTTGTTCAATTCAAGACCCCCTGGGGTTGGGCAGGGCTATAATGAATGCTCAAAATTTTAGATGGGAATACATTGGAAAAATCTTCTCCTTCAGATTCACTGGGCCAAGAAAGATGAAACTCTTCAGGTAGTGTAGATTCAAGTTTCTTTAAATCAAGATCCCCAGGAGTAGGGTGGGGCCACAATGGACAATCAAAGTTTTACATAGGAATACATAGGAAAAATCTTTAAAAATCTTCTTCTCCAGAACCACTGGGCCAAGAAAGATGAAACCTTGTGAGCAAACATCCTCAGGTAGTGTAGATTTAAATTTGTTCAATTCAAGACCCCCTGGGGTTGGGCAGGGCTATAATGAATGCTCAAAATTTTAGATGGGAATACATTGGAAAAATCTTCTCCTTCAGATTCACTGGGCCAAGAAAGATGAAACTTATGTAGAAACATCTTCAGGTAGTGTAGATTCAAGTTTCTTTAAATCAAGATCCCCAGGAGTAGGGTGGGGCCACAATGGACAATCAAAGTTTTACATAGGAATACATAGGAAAAATCTTTAAAAATCTTCTTCTCCAGAACCACTGGGCCAAGAAAGATGAAACTTGTGAGCAAACATCGTCAGGTGGTATTGGTTCAAGTTTGTTCAAATCTTGACCCCCTGGGGTAGGGCATGGCCACAACGAATGATCAAAATTTTACATGGGAATACATTGGAAAAATCTTCTTCTCCAAAACCACTGGGCCAAGAAAGATGAAACTTATGTGGAAACATCTTCAGGTAGTGTAGATTCAAGTTTCTTTAAATCATGATTACTAGGGGTTGGGTGGGGCCACAATGGACAATGAAAATTTTACATTGGAATATGCAGGAAAAATCTTTGAAAAATTCTTTTCTCAAAAGCGGCAAAGCCATGATTTGATATATTTACATGGAAGCATCCTCAGATGTAGTATAGGTTCAAGTTTTTCAAATCATGACTTGGGGGATAGAGTGGAGCCACAATGGACGATCAAAGATTTACACATGAAAACATATGAAAAATCTTTAACAATCTTCTTCTCAAGAATAGCAAAGCCATGACTTGTCTTATTTATATGGAAGCTTTGGGTAATGTTAATTCAAATTTGTTCAAATCTTTACCCCCTGGAGTAGGGAGGGGGCACAACAGGTGATCAAAGTTTTAGTTAGGAATATATATTTAAGATCATTTAAAAATCTTCTCAAAAACAACAAAACCATGATAAGTCATTTTAATATAATTTAATTTTGGTTGCAGGGACGGGCACGATTACTGAAAAATGTAATCGATTAATAATCGATTACTTAGAGGAATTTTGTGTAATCGATTATTAATCGATTACACTCATTTTTGTCCTGTAATCGATTGTAATCGATTACTTTGGAAGATGTAATCGATTAATAATCGATTACTTCCAAGTTTTTATCCCTTTTAAATATCAAAGCAATATTTAAATGGTAAATGTTGATTCCACTGAAGTTTGAATGTGTTCCTGCAATTTTAGTGCATATTCTTTTAGGGTTTTATTCTGGCTAACATTCTCACTATATAAATGCCCAAGTGAGGAATTCTCTACCATGGAAAATGGAGACATGATTCCTACAATAAAATATGCCAAGGAATTAATTATTTCTTTCAACCTTGGATCTGAACCTCCATATTTATTGACATATTGCAAAAATTGTTTAAATTAATATTTTATTGTGAATTACTTTATTACTTTATTAGAAGTATTTGGGCTGCCGGTATGTTGACAGTTCACATTAAACATTCCTGTACGTGTCTTTTTCAAAAAAATAAGTAAATTAGAACTCTTAGTAACAAACATGTAAATTAAATGTGTCTTTTAGTAATTAAACTAATAGTACAATTTCATTCTGTATTGAAATAAGTGTTTTGAGAGCTATTATAATTATTTTAATAATTCTTCAATGGAATGAAAGTTAACGCTAGGTAGTTCACAGTTTACACCTCATTATCTGCAAATCAGGGATGTCTCAGTCAATTAATTAGCCAAGATAAGCAAACACAGTGACACACTCCCTCTCTTACTGACACTTATAACCTCTCACTGATGTAAAAGCAACCTTACAATTTTGAATGAAAACTTGAGAATGCTTTTGCAAATTTTAAAGTTACTAAAACACAAGTTTGAAGTAGTTTAAACATTTTCAGATATGAATAAGTGTTTCCATCTTCATTTTTTTTTTCGAGCACAATATAGTTTATTTACCAAATAAATTATTTATATTTAATACAGCACTTAAATCTGTTTTAAAATTTGCTGTTTATAATTTTCTATTACAAGACAAAGTTTTTCTGATCAACATCTGAAATATGAAAAAGGACATGCAGCAAGAGGACAGTGGGTCAAATGTACAATGCACACGAAAAATCTGTATATTTTATTAATAAATGATTGAAATACACTTCTAAATTATTTAATACTAGACCAGTAGGTCTATAATGCAAATTTTATTGACAACATTATTAAACTTATGATGATAAAAGTTAAGAAATCCAAACATAACACTAGGTGGTTTATATTTGATATTTATGTGTGACTGACTGGAAATAATTCTCCAAAATAACATCCATTTATGTATAAAATAATCGAAAGTAATCGAAAAAGTAATTATAATTACATTGAAAATTTTAGCTGTAATCGATTAAATTACAATTACAAGTAATCGAAAATCTCTTCGATTACAGATTACTGTCGATTACTTGAAAAAAAGTAATCATTACAATCAATTACGATTACTCGATTACGATTACCCCATCCCTGTTTGGTTGTAATGCGTCATTTGATTGGATAAAAAATTAATTTATATTGTATAACCTGGGTTTGTTTTTGCAGCCTTCAATTTATACTCTATGGATCCTCTATGGATTGTTGTTTTATACTCAGGTGACTGTTAAGGCCCTGTGGCCTCTTGTTTGTTATACTTTTCACATTTGTTGTTACACTTATTGTATCTGTAGATACTCTTTAAAAAATTGATTGTTACACATTGCATTTGTTGTTACAGTTATTACATTTGTTGTTACATATTACATTTGTTGAGGTGAGATATGTAATCTTAGATTACCTATACGTGTACTTATTTTTCCCTTTTACATTTTTAGGGATTAAGATTGAAAAGAAGCATAAATGTCAAATTTGTGCTAAAGCGTTCTTTTCCGAGGTCAAGCGAAATAGCCATGTACAGGAGTATCACGGTAATTATGAGAAGTGTGTGTTTTACTTCTACTGATAAATTTTGGTATTTCAAACAACTACCAGGAGTATGTTGATGTGAGTCAATGATATGAACCTTATTATGAGTATATGTATTCAACAAAAATATCTAGACCTCTCAGATATCTCAGTTTTTTAATGTCAGTCCCACTGTGTCTGATATAGCTGCAGATCTGTAGCTCACTGGTCTTAAAAAAATGGGTTAGACAACCACAGATGTATGGTGCCATCCTTTGAAAAAAAAAGTGTATATTTTTTAGGCACAAAAAAGTGTGATGTTTCTTGCAATCTGAAAATATTCCTAACTAGAACTATGTTAATAGGAAGTGAATGCCCCACCCAATGTTCTTCAGTAATGTAATTGTGAGTGGTGCTAAAGCTCTCCCATCTGTTAATATGTTTTTTTTTTTTTCTGAGAGCTGTTTTGAGATTAGAATGGTCCTGTGGATTTGCAGATTGGGACATCACTAATTTGTCTGTTTTCTGTCTTTCGTCATCAATCTGTTATACTAAGGCCAAATAAAAAATTTGTGTGGTTGCAGTTACCTGACCGTCCCTATTTTATACCCCCGACCCTAAACTTTTTTTTGGCAATTTTCATATTTTTTCCGGAATTTTCCCCAATTTCCATCAATGGCTCCGGTTTAAGTTTTAGTTTCAGCAATGACCGCCCCGTTGCACAACATAGTGCAAGTGTTTATTTGTGTTAAATCCAAAGCAAGCTAGCATGTAGGTGTCCCCTACCAATATTGACTAGTATATTATCACACCACATCTAAATGTCATTTGCAAAGTAGTGATAAGTATTATTTAGAAAAATTAAGAAAATCATTTTGTTAAAAAAAAAAAAAAAAAAAAAAAAAAAAAAAAAAATTCCCTACCTACCTACCCTAATTCTTTTGGAGGTGTAACCGGAACCACACATATTTTTTTGTTTGGCCTTTATTATGAGTTATGCTTTATTGAACTGGTTTTTGGAATGCTTCATTTTCAGAAGTAACTTCATTTTTTCCCTCAGTTTTCCCCTGAGCTAGCACCAGATTTACCATTTTCATTTTTGTAATGAGTGAAAGATCTTTTAAAAAGCTCTGAGATTAGAGATATTTTAAAATTATATTGATGAGTTTGAATTTATGAGCATCAGTTTGCTCTAGAAATAATTAGATAATACCTGTAATTAGGGATGTCAATTTTGTCAATAATTAATATTCGAATATTCAATGAAAGTATTTGAATATATTCGAATATTTGATAAAATAAATAAAATTCTGGTTTATTTTAAATACCCATATGCATCATCCTACTCTCATGAAAGGTTTAGCATAGGTATTCTTATATTGGAAGTAAAATTGTATGAAGACTTTTGTATATGTACAATAAGGAATTCCATTTGATATTTGTCAATGTTTGAAATAAATAATTGATTTAAATGTAGAAAAGTATAATCTTAACAAATGATACATGTGTTTTTATAGTAGCTCCGAGGAACCAGTCGCCTTAACAAGGATAGTGGTATACTGTTCAGATTTCAATACATGTAATTACATGTAATTACAATTATCAAGTGAACCTAATAAGAGATATGATTATAATCTTTGATACAATGTTTTTAAAATATAAACAAATATTACCATAGACAATTTTCATAGGTAATTAACTAATTTCTCGATAATGAATATAAAATTCAAGATGATGTACAACCCGAGATAATCAAGTAATATACACATTTATTCCGAAATTGAGCCCTTTACAGTATTAATTACAGACTAAATCTATCGGACAATCATTTAGTGATCAATTAAAATTATTTTGATAAGTTTACTCTTCAGGTCTTTTAGACATTCTAAGAAGGTTTTCATTTTGTTGTCCTCGATTCTAGATCCAATTGTATTTATTTAATAAAAACTATGAAAATACGTTTTGTATTATACATAAAGCATTGTTGTATAATTCTTTAATACCTTACCCAAAACAAAATAATTTAGTAGATATATATGATAAGAAAGTAGTGAAAGAAATCAGGCGATCGAAATCGATCGCTAGTAAATTAAACGGGGATAATTCCAGTACTGTTATAATCAAAATTTATTAAACACAGTACTTCTTTTTATGAAATCTGAAAAAAAACAACGAATATTCGAATCTTAAATTCATATTCGAATATCAACTCATCGAATGAATATTCGAATGTTTTAATATTTGTTGACATCCCTACCTGTAATGGATTAAGTTGTCAAAGATTGAATTCTTTATATATAATTCATACTGGGTGTGAATATTCTGAGAACTGCAGTAAAATTATAATCCATTTCTACCAAAAATAAACCAAACAAAAGATTCCTGTTACACAATAGAGTTTATGTACCATTGCTTTATGTTGTATTTATTATTCCAGTCAAAAAAGTTTACCAGCAGTGCCCTTATGATAACTGTAACAAGGTTTTCTACAAAGAGCGGAATTTGCTGACCCATGTCAGAGCCCTTCATGAGGTAACAGTATATTAGCTCGCCTGAGCCACAGGCTCAAGTGGCCTTTCTGATCAAAATTAGAATTATCCAGTGTAATCTTTATGTCTGTCTACTGTAAGCATTTCACAATTTCAGTTGTCAAATATTTGTCCAATTCTAGCATAATTTGCCTCTAAGCATTCTTAATTAAAATTTTCAGATAATGTTTGTCCGAATTAAGGATCACTTAACCCTAACCTTAGGAGGGGGATAGAGTTGTGTCACTTAATATTCTTCTCAGGAACCACAGATTCAGAAAAGACAAAACATTTAAAATAAGTAGAAAATATCCTATGCAGTGTGAATTCATTTTTTCAATATCCATATTGTATATTGATGAGGCCGTATTACTAGTGTCGGATTCTTAAATAGAAATATAAGAAAACTCATTTCAAACAATTTTTTTTATCTGAAGGTCAACTTAGGACCGTAGAGTCAAATTTTGTGAAAGCATTTTCATGTAAATTCAAATTTGTATGAGGGTGAGTTAACCATGCATCGAACACATACCTTGCTTCGGACAGCTTTAAGCTGTAAACTTTCATTTAACCTGAGGCTCTCCATGTTTTTACTTGTTTCTGTCTGTAAGCTAAAGATTGAAAGTTTTTAATGATGCCAATTTTTATTATCATGTTACGTCATATTTTACCTCATCAAAGGGGAGTAACCAGAATTTAATGATTATGCAAATTTTTAGAGTTGTCGTTCTTTTTATTAGATTTCACAAAACCAGTTGGACTTGGTTGAATTTGTCAATGATTGATAATTTTCTGATGCATGGGTAATCACTTCCATTTTCATTATAAAAGACCCAAAGTGACAGCCGTTTTTTGCGGAAATAGAAAATAAGAACTCTAAATTTCCAGGGAAAATACAAGTTATCAATATATGAGGACTAGAAATGGACTCAATTTATTTCTACAAACTAGAGGATGATAACTCATGAGACAATGGCCCGAGTTGCCGTATAACTAGCATTGTAAAGCCTTTGTAATGCAATGTGATGCACCTAAAATCTCTCCACATTTGTGGATTGATGTAGTCTATTTTAATGAGAAGGTTAATGTTTAAATTAAAAGATAAAAATATTTCTATATCACTAATTTTAAAGCAGTAAGATAAAGGTTTGATATTTTTCTAGTTCAAATACTGTTTGTCCGATGCATGGTGAATATTGTCCGATCCATGGTGAATTCTTACTCATTTCAAAAAAATTGGTTTTTATGGATATTTTTTCAATAAATAACACAAAATCATGTAACAAATTTATATTTTAATGACATACTATATGTTAAGATCCATTTTGTTAATATTCGGTTCATAGTGATATCGCTAGAACTTGTTGAAGTACGAGGGTGTCCGATGCAAGGTGAATTCACCCTATCATTGCCTACTGGTATTAAACATATTTTAACCCTATTTTATTTTGTTAATTGCTATTTTATTATTGTTGTGTAAGAAAATCACAAAAATGAGAAGTGGTAGATGTAAAAACTGATCCCAAGAAGGCTTAAACAAGTGTGTGCATAGGAGTCACCTTGTCTGTCTAGACAGATGCACTTTTGTGCAATATGTCCATTCCATGTCTTTGTAAAGGAGAAATACTGGAAGCTCATAATTGACAAAAACATATTATCTCAGGTTGTGTCATGAACTCATTCAAGGTATTTTGGACAATTTCAAGGTCATTAGCATAAAAAGTGTGTAAGTCATGTCTGATTTATAACTATCATGATTGATGACCTTGAAGCAAGGTCCTTTGTACAGGTTCAAGGTCACTCTCAGTAAAAATATTTACCATAGATCACCAAATTTCCCAAGACCTCATTTTTGCAAGATGGTACCTTACTCTTTATTAGCAAGACAAAATTTTCACAAATTTTGGGTATTGCTCTATATAATCTTTAAGAAAACAAAGATATGTAAGAATGGAATTTTCATTAGCACACTGTCTCACTTAATTATGCAAAAGTAAAGTTTTCATAAATAAAAAGTGATTTACAATATTTCTGTCCTGGCCATATCTTCTAATTGAGAAACATTGGAAGCTCAAACGTGACACAAAGATCGCTTATGACCAGAGGGATGTGTAATATAATGACTCAAATGTCACTAGCAGAAAACTGTATAATTCATATCTGATACTTATCCATCTAATGGAAAAACACTGGATGCAACAATTCAGAAAAATTGCAAGGAAAGAGGGGTCATCATTTTCTAAGCTTGCCTAAAGTACGTCTAGGTGATATATGTACTACAATTGTAGCTTATTTTAATATAAAAGAACTGTTTTGTAAAAACTAGTAAGATATTTTAGAATCTACATTGAAAGGTTTAAAACTGAGGACATACTGTGTATTATTCATATTTCAGATTGGAAAGGTATTTCAGTGTCATGCCTGCCCTTATAAGTGTAATCGGCAAGGAAATCTTGTGAAACACATTCGTACAGTCCACAAAGAAGATGTATCCACTCAGCATTCTCGACGGAAACAGGCCATGTTGTCAGGGAAAGGTTACCATGAAGCAGTTGGTCAAATTCTTAGGGAGAATCCGGAAGATGGAAAGGGCAGTGAGGAGGAGGGGGACACTTCACTCTGAGCAGAATTTGTTTGAAACCCAGATCACTCAGAGCAGGGGGATAGTTCACTCTGAGCAGGGAGAGAGTGCACTCTGTGTAGTGAGGCAGATCACTCAGAGCAGGGGGATAGTTCACTCTGAGCAGGGAGAGAGTGCACTCTGTGTAGTGAGGCAGATCACTCAGAGCAGGGGGATAGTTCACTCTGAGCAGGGAGAGGGTGCACTCTGTGTAGTGAGGCAGATCACTCTTAGCAGGGGGATAGTTCACTCTGAGCAGGGAGATAGTGCACTCTGTGTAGTGAGGCAGATCACTCTTAGCAGGGGGATAGTTCACTCTGAGCAGGGGGTACAGTTCACTCTGAGTGAGGGGAAATTTTACTCTGAGCAGAGGGATAGCAGGGGGGCAGTTTACTGTAGAAGTTTTATTTATATTAAATTAGACTCTGCATATACCAGTGCTTCAATAAGCACCATTGTCTTTATCCCCTTCAGTTTGTACACTGTAAAGAGTTTGCTTTGGATGCTGCATCCCACCATATATATTTCTCTGATAAACACCAGTAGAGAGCATTTGGAGTTTTTCCTTTCCAAAATCAGTAGAATCCCAGGCTGGATAAACCTTAGTGCATCTATATAAGTGAATGAAGTTCCTGTGTCTGACCTACATTTCCTATTGAGTAGCCTGGAGAAATTTTTTTCAGAGCATGCATTGGTCAGGTAACTATGTCTTAGGATTTTCTGGTGGCCCTGGTTGTTATTGGAGCCCATGCATTTTATTATAACAAGAGATCGAGTGATATTAAGGTGTATCATCTATGAAAGAATGTTCATGTTTTTGCTTTTATTGTTTGAATAAAAGTATGCTTTTGTATGAAGAAGTTTTTGTTGTCTTTAGGCATATCATTTCAGCACATTACGGAATGTAAATTTGATCAAGTGCATTCACAAGTGATCGATGAAGGGTTGAGTTCCCTCTCATGATGATTTAAAAAAAAAAAAAGAATATCTGTCATCAAAAATAGCAGTTTGATTGAAAAAAAAAACCCTGCCACTTCACCACATGACAACCAAATGAGCAGTAAGTGTCCAGATATTCTTTACATTAGCTTCTAAAGTATAGGCCAGGCAGTAGATTAAGATCAAGGAATATGATATTGTTTGACTTTAATTCAATGTGTTCAAATTTCACTTTTTTCTACACTGGTTCATTTCAAAGTGGTTTTAATTTTGCAGACACTAAATTTTTCATTATTAGATATTTGTAATTTTAAAAACAAAGTTCGTGAACTTTTAAGAAAAAAACTTCAAACAGCTTTGTTATTAAACTGGCTTTTCCAAATGATTATTTATGCTTAACTATTTAACTAATATGGAAAATTACAGTTTTTAAGGTGTATGAAAAGTATTTGAATTTAATATACGAGGATAAATCCAAAAGTAATGTTACAACTGCTATAAAATCTTTAATAATCAAATGTTATCAATAAAATTTGACATATTAATACCCCCATCTATTTTAATTTTTTCCTTAAAATTTCATTTGATTATATGAAATATTTTGTAAAACATCAAGATAAACACAACCTTAGGTTTTGTCTATCGCCGCAGGGTAAGAATGTTACCGGCATCGTTATGATGTTACTTTTTGCCACTCACTTCAGTTCATCTGCATATCTTTAAAACCTCTCGGATGCTTCTTTTTGATAATCATTACTGGTATTTTGTTTTAAATACCCTGTTCTGAGTTGTACTATTAAATTTATTTGAACTTTGTCCAAATGTAATTTCTAAATTAATTTCTTTGTGTAGATCTTCTGTATCATCAGATTGAAAATGAGTGTCGAAAAGCCACATCATAAATGTCAGTAAATTTTTGCCATGCAGTGGTAAACAAGACCCAACGTTGTGTTTATTCTAATATTTTATAAAGTGTTGCCCTTATCCGAATGAAGATGCAGGGCAAAAGTCAAAATAAATAGAGGTACATTAGTATATAAAGTTTTGTTGAAAACTTTTGTTTATTAAAGATGTCATAGCAGGTGTGACATTTCTTTTGGATCAACCCACGTATGAATACTATATTGACATGTCAGCAATATTCACAATGTTCAAGGAAAATTCTTTGATTGCCAACATAGTTAAATTACAATAATTGCCACGTATTCCACTTTTACGGAACTAAGTGTTAAATATGAAGTACATGAAATAAATCAAGGTTACGACACAAAACTATAAGGCGCAATTTTTATATTTTTGAGGTATTTTTTGATATCAAAAAAAGAATTCTGGATATCAATAATTCAAATTCTTGATATCAAAAAATAATTCTTGATATCAAGAAATAATTCTTGATATCAAAAATTCGATTTTTTGATATCGGAAAATGATTTTCTGATGTAAGGAATTCAAATTTTTGATATCAGAAATTAATGTAGATTTTCTGATATCAGAAAATCGAATTCTTATAAAAAAAATCATTTTCTGATATCAGAAAATCGATTTTTTGATATCAGAAAATAAATTTCTGATATCAGAAAATAAATTTCTGATATCAAAAAATGCTTTCGAATTTTTGATATCAAAAAATCGATTTTTTGATATCAGAAAATATGAGTGAAATAAATAGAACTTGCATTAATGAATGCTCCCTTATTCCGTATCAATGGTTAGTTTACTCATATTAGTGTCATCCTGAATACCGATCCTGCTGCAACATTGTAGGTTCTGTTTACTGTGATTAGTGTTATCACTTCATAGTTGTTTGTCTAGCATAAAGCCTTGTGTTTTTTAATAAAATTTTTGTATAGATTAATGCAGAGAAATAAATGTACATAAATTGATACATGCATTTACAATGCTGATAAGTTTGAAATGTCTGAATTCCAAATAAGTCTTGAAGCCTCCTTGAGTTGTAATGACAAGAGATTCGTAGGAAATGACAGTAGAAATGAATAGAGTAATTAACACTTTATGCATTCTGTAAGTTTTATTTACATCATAAACACTGAAACTTGTAACACTCATTTTGTAACATATACAAGTTCACCTTTCCACTAATTCCATAGAAAATACTACAAAACCCAAACACAGGGGAGCCCTACTTCTGTGAAAACAATCTTGGTGAGAATAGTATGAGCCTAAACACTAATATTTGTTGAATTTCTGATTTCAAAAAAATTGATTTTGTGATATCAAAAAATCCAGTTGAATTTCTGATATCACAAAATGATTTTTTGATATCAGAAATTCAAATTTTTGATATCAAAAAATGATTTTCTGATATCAGAAATCATCAGAAATTCAAATTTTTGATATCAAAAAATCTCGCTTATTTTCTGATATCAAAAAATATATTTTCTGTTATCATAAAATGATTTTTTGATATCAAAAATTCAAATTTCTGATATAAAAAAAAATAATCATTTTTTGATATCGGAAAATACCTTAAAAATATTAAAACGGCACCTCATACAAAACATACGCAAGTGTGATGGTCAGACGGGTCCAATCACCGGTGACCAGATAGCTCAGTAGACCCCCTGGCTGGAGATTCAGGGGGCCAGGGTTTAAATTCTGGTTCGGTCTGTTGCACTTTTCTACTTTACTGTTACATTTGGTGCTGTGCCATGCTCTAGAAGTGACGGGTGAAAGACCTGCCAGGGAAGAGCTTGGATTGATGTCTTCAGAGGTGAAGGCTTTAAAGGAGGGAGGAATGTGGTGGTCAGAGGGGTATTGCTGGTGGCCAGATAGCTCTGTTGGTAGAGCACCTGACTAGAGATTCAGGGGACCCAGATTTGAATCCTGGTCTAGTCTGTTGCATTTTATTTCTCCCCATTACACAAGTATTGTTAAGAATTGTATTGTATTGTGTTGTAAGTATTGTCAAGGATTGTATCTTTATAATAATACCTTATACAAGAGGAGTTTCATTTTGACAACAAGTTGATCATGTACGACTGATGACTTTGCCCCTGTTGTATTGGCTGTATATAATTCTACCCATAAACTTCTTTAACATTTTCTGTAGATCATTTCAGAGTTGTCCATATCAGATATTAATATAACAAATAAGATGTCAAACATTACTACTGGCATCAAACTGTTACATTTATCTACTAAAGTATATTCTTGTTGGCTGAACATTATAAATTTCACGTCCAATGAGAGAAAACTACAAAATGTCGTATTTTGCTGATTTATTTTCAAGAGTATCAAAAATGATGTAAATCAACAATACAAAAAAATGCAACAATAGAAAAAAAATGTTAAAATATTGGACGGTGCTATTCTGAAATGTTTATACACTACAAAGTACAGTTTTAAAAGAATAAAAATATAACCTCAATTGTACTTAAATAAAGCTCTCGAAATAAATTTAAAATCTTTAAATGCAATCATATGGTAAATTTTTATCCAAGTACTTCTTTACAAAATATATGAGTGTCCCAGACACACAGTGCAGTCTAAAGGAACACGATAGATACGCAATAGATACACCTGCATGTGTAATCTCAGAAATGAAAGACAGTCATATAAAGGTGTATATAATCCACAAAAAATATTACGATATCACAAGGCAAGTTGACTACATAAATTATGCAACTGAATATAAATTTCATCAGTAACTGAATATAAACTGTGATCAGCAACTGAATATACATGTAAACATTATAAGCAACTGAATATATTAAACATTAATCAGCAGACTTTTCATAAAATGTCACATGTAGATGATGTAGAATATAAAACCTATAAAAATACGGAATTCTTGGCTCATGAGACAATGCTGTGGTTGGCAAGGCAGTCGATCACAGTCATCAGGGGAGGCGTTGTTAAGGCAGTTAATGTCTACTAAGGAGGTGTTGTTAAACTTTGAGATGTCTCTTGGCCAGTAACTCATCCTCTTTAACTCGAGATGAAGCCTTGATATGTGATGATGTATCCCACCTGTAAAATCCAAGCATGTCCATTAATTAGACTGACAAAAGTCACTTGATTAAATATTAAAGTTGGAAACTGAAGAAAGACTGAAGTATTAATTCTTACTGTCAGAAAATCATTTTATACCTGGTTCTACTTTTTACACAACTCAAGAGTCTTAAAGAATATAAAATTTTCTCCTTTTTTTCAAAATATATAAGGATGCACTAATTCTATCTATAGGGACAAATAAATACTAATATACCTTGACAGAAATAAAGGTTGATGAAACACAATCTTCAAAATATTATCTAAACTACATCAGTTTCAAATAAGCTACTTAATGTGCATAGTTCTATATGCAACTCCAAGACTGGTACATATACTGCAAGAAACTTCTATCTCTGATGGATTTCATTAATTGAAATTATTTCCAAAATAGAAAACCTGGATCTTGAACTGGCTGCTGTGTATAAATATTGGCTTTTAAGCAAATTATAAATACCTGTACATTCTTGCTAGTACACACCTACTGTACCAAAGTTTTCAAGACTTGGTGTAATTACAAAGCTGAAATACTAGACTATACTAGTATATTAAGCTATCTATACTATGTTGAAGCTGTAAATTGCAGAGTTGAGAAATTTATATTCAATATGTGTAGAATATTCTATTCAATTTGTATTTGTGGCCAATGAAAAAAAATATACATATGAATAAAATAGAAAGTTCAAATTGAAATGTACTTGTTGTGCATGAGAAAACCTTTTATTTTTGAAAAAAAGGGTTTTCAAAGAAAAAAAATCCAACTGAAATAAGAAATCTTGTTCCTGAGGTCTATAAAGCTGCATATACATGTACTGCTATGATCATAAATGGACAATAATGCTTATTATCATCAAATTACCAAACGGGGTTGGAAACAAATCTATTTTCTTGACCTGTGAGAATGGAAATTAAACTTCAAGGTTAAAAATAATTCAGACATGGACAGACATACATGGTAAGTATATGTTCTCTTTCTAGCATATATTATATTATAGCATTAAATATCAAGGATTCTGTATATCTCAAATTTAACTAACAGTATATCATGTCTACATATTTTAAAGGTCTTGGAGTAATATGACTATCACTAGCAGAAATCAATTGGTACAGCTGTGATAAAGAACACATTTTTGGACTCTTAACTTCTCGAGCAGAAGTAGAATTTTTTATCAGATGTTCATTACAAGTGTAATCTCTCAATATATATTAATTTTACAGAAAAAATATATTCAGACTCCTATGATATCAGAATAGGAGACATAAGAATAGGAGATTTGGAAATTCTGTGAACATTGGTAAGAAAAGCTGAAACAAAAACCAGTCTGCTGAGGATAACAGATATATAATCAATGGAAGCTGTATGAAAAATGGATGAAATCTTGGATACGTATGAATTATATTTACCCAGGGTGAATCCTTTGGAAGAACAACAATGTACAGTTAATTTAAAGAGCATTATAATATAAATGTACATCATTTTAACCTAGTGACCTGATATTGTACAGTGGTGACTTCTGTTCACTAACTGATTGTAAAATATAAAGACTCAAAAGGGACATTTTCATTGAAAGTTACTGGAAATTTTTGTAGATTTTGAATCTAGGGTTGATCATATAACTAAGGAATAAATTTAATAGCTACCCAAGTTGCATTGTATAACCTGGGCTAGGGCAGTTTATGCTTTATAAACTGCAAAGCATTTTTTTTAATTAAAAAGTGTAAACTGTCCCAACCCAGGTTATGCAAGTGTAACTTGGGTAGCTATTAAATTCATTCTTATAATTTAACTTTATCAATTAGAGAGAAAATAAATTCCCTTTAAAAATGACTTCCAAGTGCCCAAAATTTAAATGTAACGTCAAGCAGATTGATATGTTTTTGATGCATTAATATTGTGATGTAATTAGGCAACACATACAACTTATATGATATTTATTAATTTTTTATCAAATCAAATGGCATGTTACAACCAGAATTATTATAACAGATTTGTTATTTACAGCTCAAGCTTCAAGTAAAATAAGGATTTCCTAAATAAAATACACATGCATAATGACCAATAATTGTGCATACAAATTAAATGATGTAGTAGAAGTCAACTGTAATTGAATTAAAATAAATGAAATACTGTTTAATAGAACACAAGAACAGCTTTTATAAGCAGTTTTTATTTCTGTTGTCATCCCTGTTACAAAATGAGTATTGATTCTAAGTTATGGGATTAACAAAGGTCACAAAATATGTCAACTTCTGAACTTTCTCATTTTATGCAAATTTTCATTAATTTTAAAACACACTTTGTTTCAGAAAACAGAGAGCACAAGCTTGCATGCCTACATGTATCTACCAGAATTATATATTTCATGCACTAGTTTCAGATGCATCTTGTGTTTAAAAATCTCAGGCAAGCTTGTGCTCCATCAGAATTGAGGAAGTTCAGTAAAATGTCCAACTTGGGCATCCTTTTGTGGCCTCTGTGTACACTTTGAATCAAAATTTAAGTGCTTGTTTTAATAACAAGCAATATTTAAAGTTATTATGTGTATTGATTTTATATCAAATAAGGGGCCAAATTCAGCTATTACCATGCCTTGTCTTTTGTAAATTATTGTAGTTAACTTACTTTTTAGTTTCTCGTTTAAATTCCTTTGGAGGTTGTTTAAGCTTCATTAGAAGAAAGTCAGACTCTAAACGTCGGTTCATAAATGGTGGCTCAGTAACGTCCTGGACTATTAGAACATATTCACCTGAAATGAAATAGCGCGCATATTTCAAGTACTGTCCTAATATGCAATAAACTGACAAATCTATGTGATATTCTTACTTAATTAGCCTTAATCACCTTAATAGCAATACATGTACATGAGAAAGCACACTGCAGTCATTTGAATGCAAAGTCACAACACTTAATACATGTATTACATCAAAAAATCCTAAGGAAATTTCATACAACTGTTGAAACTGTTCATATACTATAAGAATTACATGTATCTCAAATGATTTAAAATTGAACAGTCATTACACAGGCTGTGGATATACTTGTCTCTCATTTTCCAAACATTAAAGAATTCAATATCCTACTCAGTTATTCAGTAAGTAAATGAAAGAACTATGATTGCTTTATAATGTAGGATGCACAGAGAAATACATACCAAGTTTGGCAAATTTCTCCTCCATAGCTTTTTGTTTCTTCATTCTAAATTTATCAACTGAAAAATACCAAGTCAAAATTAAAATAATACAACAGGTACACTTAATATACAATTATGGACTCTTTCGATGGTAATTATGGTTTGATATTTACCAGAAAAATAACAATATTGACCAAAGTGAAGCAGTCAATATTGATATTTTATGGTGAATATCAAACCATATTCACCACCAAAAGAGTCCCTAATTGTTATATTATATAATTCAGTTTTGAAGAAATAAGACATTGAAGGCTGCAAGAAGACACCATTTTCATTAACAAACTTTGAAAATTCTGTCACGGAGAGATTAAAATTTCCAGATTACAAATTTCAACTTCAGTGTTTTCCTTTTGTAGTGAGTACGATATATCATTTCCAATCAAAATGTTTGGATAATAATCTGGTGATAGGCTTGCTTAATGATTTACACAGCTGGCTCTGGCCATTAGAACCATTGTTTACGTTATTTGGGTGGTTTGTAACGTCACAATGCTGCTGCATGTGCACTGACCCTCCAGTGCGTAAGGCTTCAAATCCAGTGAATATGTAGTGCTATGAACTGTTTGCACTTGTATAGATTATATAGGGACTATAAATAGACTGTTAAAACATTATCAATATTCCTATTAATGAATAGATTGTTATTCTGAATCAAATCATACACACTTCTATTGAAGTTGTTTTAAGTTGTACGTGACACCAGTTCCACCCACATGTGAACTGTGTTAGACTTCAAACCATGCATGGATTTAGAAACGCTGGCTCATTAGAGAATTCTTTTAGAATAATTTTTACTCAACAAGTCATAAATGTTTAATAGGTGATGAGATAAATTCACAGGGGAGAATTTTTCTTCAACTTTATAGGAGACTGCATAATTAAGAAGATCACTGGGTTTGGTTAAATTTTGGTCATATTAATTTGTTAGAGGTGACAATAATTGGAGAGTGTTCGGGTAGTCTAACACGCCTTACACATCGATGTGTGAGGGGGAGTTTCCCTGATGGATGATCGTCTCCTGCTTGGTTGATCTCGGAATTCAGCTAAAGGGGCAAAAATAAAGGCAATTTAACTCATATTCTAGAGGTTAACATTTTAAAACAATTTATACTTTTCTAATTTACATGAACATGTCAATTTAAAAATATATTTTGGTTTGATTTACTTAAAGAAACATAAAGGTACATTAATGTTAATACAATTTTTATAAAGTTCTGATTTTTCTGTAAAAGTTATACACAGAATTGTCTACAGAAAAAGATATTCAGTTCTTGTCTGTTTTGACTCTCTTAATTACCTGGTAACATTAAAAGTAATTTCATGCATTAGACAAATGTTGTGAACAGGTTATGAATTATTATGGCCCATCAAGGGAAATTTACCCCAACAAAGTAATTTTTCATTCCCTTATCTGGGTATTTCACACAATAGGTAAAAAAAATATAAACTGTAATTAGGGTATGAAAATATACAGTGATTTGGAGTAAAACATCCCATTTGGGGTATCATGGGATATATATCCGTGACCTTGAGAATGACATGCAAATGTGACCAGTGGAAATTCATGCAAGGTGCTTGTCAAAACTGCTCAATACAAAATGTGGATTACAATCTTAAATGAGTAAGAAATAAAATGGGATTTAATAACTGCTCCCACATATTGAAACCAGAGGTTATAAGATTCGTACATGCATGTATAGTCCTGAGGTTTAGATTTCTAAGTTATAAAGTTGCAGTCACTCAATGACATTCAAAAGGTTTGAAATAAATACCGATACATGTATCAAATAAATGAAACTTATGTAGTAACATAAACCTGAAATCTTTCTGTAGCATGATATCAAAGAAGATAATATATATACCACAAAAATACATGTACAATGTTAGTTACTGATCACACACACTGTAAATACATGCATATTTAAAGTGCACCACAGACAAGTATTCACACAAAATCCACCTTTTTCTGATAAATACAATTCAATGCAATAAACCACATTCAAACAGGTATGTGTGATAATAAGGGGATGTGGGGGGTAAAACACGCTTATAATAATGGAGCACCTACAGACACTGGGCTGCCTAGAAACTGACGGTGTAAAAAGCTCTGAAACAAAATCAAACACCTCATGCCATTGTAACAGTCTAAGTACTACATGTACATCACAGTCATTGTTGTCATTTTTCCATTACTGTGTAAGTTACCACAAAATTGGCCTAAAAGAACATGCAGTGCATTATTCAATATATATACTTACAGGAAATTATTAATTAAGCTTTATTAATATAAACATCATCAACATATAAAATTTCATAGCTGAAAGCCTCAAACAATTTAGTACTGCACAAAATTGTACACAACTTGGGTTAACATTTTTAGAATATTCATCTTTTACCTACATGCTGCAACAGATTAAAAGAATTTCTAAATGGTATAAAATTTTTTAATAAAGAGTCAATTTTACGATTCTGTGGAGAAACCTTTTTTTATCCAAAAAAAAATTTTTTTTTAGAGAAAGTATCTCTCCTCTATCATAAAATCCTTTATACAAAATGTAATACACTGCTCTGCATGTATTTGGATAAGTTTGAAAATTGTCCAAATCAAGACTTACATGGCTTTATTATTCACTCTAATCACAAATGTTTAATACCAATTTCCCCTTAATCACAGATACAGGTATAACTAAGATTTCATTTTTATTTCAGAATCTAATTAGGTTCATTGTTACATGCACCCTAAGAATTTCACTAATTAATTTTTATTCTGTGTACCTTTTGATCTTGATCTACTTTTGGATTGTGTTTTGAGTCTCTCTGCCTCTTCCATACGTTCAAAAGGTCGGTATTTTGGAGGTGCTGGGGTCAAATGGAGGTCATCAAATGTACATACACCATCCCTGGTTCTTAATGTTGTTAGGGGAGGGAACTGAGGAACTGTGTTTTCTTTTTCTACATCAGGTGTCTCCTCTGTTGAAAAAATGACAAGATTTTAGAAGAATTTGAGCATTTGGAATATAAATGAGTTATGTCCCTTTAAATGCAAAGAGAACAATCAGTGCTTGTTAAACACAGTTCCCATACTGACTGCATCTTCTTGACCCTAACATGACGTAAAGAATGTCCTTGACCTTTAACCTGGCTCAGTGAGATGCATCTTTAACCTATAATTCAACTTTCATACCCTTGAAGTTGTGGAACAGGCAGATTTAAAATAAAAGACACATAAAACAGTTTGCCTATGTCCCTCAGTACTGGACATACAAATCAGAACTCTACATATTTAATCAAATTTTCCTCAGTTAGCCAGTACATTTTAAAACTTGAAAGTTAATTTTCTGTTTTTGTCAGACATAAATCTTCTGTATATTCTGAAATAAATCACATAAGGCTAAAAATACATATGTTTTTGTGTTTAAAAAATTATTACACTTTATTACACTTTATTTACTACTTTAAACAATATAGATAAATAAGAATATCTGAACACCTCCTCAGTCCAAGAGTCTGTGTATGACTTTTATAGAACAATACCTTATTTCAATCTGATGTGATGTTCAGGGTTGTCCCTAAGACCCGGGGGCTGGGGAATTTCCCCACCTATAATGATGTTATCCCCCGGTATTCCCCCTCAACCCCATGTTAGGAGAGGAAACCCAGACCCCTTCTACTTTTTTAATGTACCCTCCTATTTCAAGTCTTAGAGACAACCCTGGATGTTACCTACCATTTCCACTCTCATCGCCCCTGTCCTCGTCATCTTTCTCCTCAGCATTCTCTTCAGTGTTTTCCTCCTTCTCGTTTTCTTTGTTTTCGTTTTCCTGTTTTTCTTCTGAGAACTCTTCATCTTCTGATTCCACTGTAGGACCTACAGGTACAACTCAAAAATATAGGCACTGTGAGAATAATGGTACAACTCAAAATTATAGGCACTGTGAGAGTACAGATACAACTCAAAATTATGAGCACTACGAGAGTACAGGTACAACTCAAAATTATAAGAACTGTGAGAGTACAGGTACAACGCAAAATTATAAGAACTGTGAGAGTACAGGTACAACTCAAAATTATAAGCATTGTGGGAGTACAGGTACAACTCAAAATTATAGGCACTATGAGAGTACAGGTACAACTCAAAATTATAGGCACTGTGAGAGTACAGGTACAACTCAAAATTATAGGCACTGTGAGAGTACAGATACAACTCAAAATTATAAGCACTGTGAGAGTACAGGTACAACTCAAAATTATAGGCACTGTGAGAGTACAGGTACATCTCAAAATTATAAGCACTGTGAGAGTACAGGTACAACTCAAAATTATAAGCACTGTGAGAGTACAGGAACAGGCAAGGTGAACCTACAGATTGAGCTCATAATCATAGGAAATGTGAACCTACTAGTATTGCTGAAAATTGTAGGCAATGTGAACCTATGCTAGAGTTCAAAATTATAGGCACTGTTAACAACAAGATTATGAACAATGTAAAACTACAGGTATAGCTAAAATTTGAAGTCAATGTGAACATGCAGCTAGTACTCAAAATTATATGCAATGTGAAGTTGCCATAGCTGAAAATTATAATAACTGTGAATCTACAGGTAAAGATGAAATGTTAACCTACAACTATAGAGCTCAAAGTTATCTATAGGCATTGTGAACTTACAGGTTTGAATGAAAGTTATAGACAATATAAGACTACACATGCTGCTCAAAGTTATAGGCAATGCAAGCCTACACATACTGCTCAAGATTATAGGCATATAAATCTACAGCTAGGGCTTATTGGTATTATGTATTAATTATATTTATTATCATTATATTTCTATAATATGACATTGATTTACCTTAAAATAATAGTCCATTTGAGTGTACATTTGATTTTACAGATTGTCAAAACTGTAGACTTTTCCACTACTTCAAAGCTACTTAAAGTAACAGAGAAGTTAAAGCATATATGATTTCATTTCTTACAACTTTGTCTCTTTTTAAAATTTTTCTCAGAGAATTCCTAACATGTTTTTTTTTTTTTTTTTTATTTAATTTTGAAAAAAAAGTCACATAAAGCAGGATTCGATCTGGATTTGTGTATTAACCTTTAGAAGTTATCTTTTTTAATGTGTGCTAAGTTATCTCCCCTTTTCAGCTCAAAAAGTGTCAATTTTACAATGTTATTTTCTTGATTGGGGTCAGAAGTTTTGATGAAGATAGCCTTAAATCTATCAGTGTCAAAATTTGAATAAACCATGCAAGATGGTAGGGCTGGGATGATACAGTGTTTTCTATATCAATACGTATCATGATATTTGAGCCACGATATGACATGTATCATGATATGTCGAATTGGCTCCTCTTCTTCTTTTTTTGTATTGAAATAAAGAAAACATTTCTTTGCAAATAAGAATGATTTATTCAAAGAAGTTGTATTTAAGGAATGAAGCTTATTTTAACCTATGTTATATGATATAACATAACTTGGGGCAGCTTACGCTTTATAAACTGCGAAGCAGTTTATAAAAAAGCGTAAACTGCCTCAAGTTATGTTATATCGTATAACATAGGTTTAAATAAGCTTCATTCCTTATAATTTAATTTCAGAGAAGACAAAAAGACAATTTTTCCTCCAAAAATGGCTTCAAATTTAGCATATTATTTTAAAAGCAATGTCAAGCGGAGTAATACGTTTTTGACGTAATTCATTATGACATAGGCAACTTATTATATACGATATAAATTAAATCTTTTATCCAATCAAATGACGTGTTATGACTAAGATTAAATTATATCTGTCGTAAAGCAAAATTAGTTTACGCAAGAGGTGTTAATTATAATATATTTCATATTTATATTTAGCATATTTATTTTATACATTAAACCAAAAATGTTAGGTAAACAAAGAAAAACATAAGCCAGAATTTTTCGATATGCATATCGTCCTCAAACAGAATCAATATAATTGATATCTCAATTTATTATATACCTAACTGTTTTCACTCAGTTTTACTGTTGAATTTATGCAATCACGTGACAGGTGTGATCTGATGTTCCGGATCACCACACTGTGGTTTTTGAATCCATATCACCCCTCTCTGAAACTGATGATGTAGTACACAGACAAATGACATTTTTATGCCCCGTTCACGCGGAGAGTTTAAATCGCAGTAACTTAATGCGAAGCAAAATTTTGTGAATTAAACTAATGCGAATTAAATTGCGTTCACACGACAGCTAATGCGAATTAAATTTTTATTTCTATAATAAGGCTATTCAGTAAGGCTATTATGACGTCATTTGTGAATCACGTCACATTTACCTAGCAGATACATTTGACCACTGATTTGACATAATGTCATAGTGTCTGTACACATTTTAGTGATTAACATAGTTTTCCTTTGATTTAAACTCTAAAATAACACAAGTACCTATATCTGACCACCGCCACGTGGCCTGTGACTTAATTCTGCCCTGGCTTACGCATGCATCAAAATTTAATTCGAATTAGCTTCGCTTAGCGTTCACACGGAGCTAATGCGAATTTAATGCGCAGTAAATTAATTCAAATTAAACTAATTCGCATTAAATTCTCCATGTGAACGTGGTTCAAATTTAATTCGCAGTAACTTATGTTTAATTCAAATTAAACTCTCCGTGTGAACAGGGCATTATTCTGACGCATCAAAAAGTTCCTTGACAAAATGGTTTGTTTAATGGATAAAAGTTATGTAATTGATCCAAAAAGTTTTCTTTTATTATATTTTGCTAGTTGTAAAGGGGTATATAATAAATTTATCATTATATCAGTAACTTGATCCAAAGAGCCGTATCATGTCTCGTTGACAGGCGCGGATCATCAGATCAAACTCAACGCTTCGCGTCTCGTTTGATCTGATGATCCGCGCCTGTCAACTTGACATGATACAGCTCTTTGGATCAAGTTACTGTTATAATAATATATATATATCGTCCCAGCCCTACAATATGGATCACATGGAGAGTCAGAATGTGATCCAAATTTATCATGAAAAAAAAAAATGGATTACTGTAGACAGACTTCTTTCACATGGGATTAACTTACACTATGTACGCTGTCACAAATCCATGGAAATTGTCACAGCATACTTAATAACATTAAAGATACACAATGGTGATTAAAGAAATCAGTGTCATTTTCTACCCATGAATTGAAGAGAAATTCAGATTCTGCAGAATTATGACCTTGTGGAAAAAAGTATGTGTACAGTGCCTTGATTTGGCTGATTAATTGATTTGGATATATAATAGATGGATTACCGATGGTTTACCTTGATCTGGATGATTAATTGATTTGGATATATAATAGATGGATTATCTTGATTTTGGATGATTAATTGATTTGGATATATAATAGATGGATTACCTTGATCTGGATGATTAATTAATTTGGATATATAATAGATGGATTATCTTGATTTTGGATGATTGATTTGGATATATAATAGATGGATTACATTGATTGGGATGATTAATTGATTTGGATATATAATAGATAAATTACCTTGATTTCATTAACTGTTTTGGATATATAATACACTTAACAAAACTTTTAAGTGTTCACTCTAATAAATGCATTTATATGAAAACTACATGATGGAATATTATGATATTTTCAAATTATTATAACCAATGAGTCTTCTCAACAATTGTCAAAAGAAAATCACTTATCACCGATGAAAACCAATGTCGCGTGACGAAGCTTAAAAACAACAAGAGGCCCAAGGGCCTTATTGGTCACCTGAGTACAACAATTTAGAGGATCCATAAACTGATAAATGAAACTTTGTTGCCCAACAAGAAAAATACTCTGATTATGATCAAAAAAATAATTGGTCTAGTATCTATCTGTCCCCCATTTACCACTATTACCATGCAAACTATTAACAAAATGTCTATATTATTATCTCTCACATTGGCCTCACTTGGCTTTTGAAGAACATTTAAGAAGATAAGTTATTTTTGTTTCATTTTTATTCATCTATTATTTCCAAGTTACCTGATTATTAAAACTATGAAAGTACTTTTTGTATTATACAATAAAAGTTCTTGCATAATTCTCTTATTCTATTAACCTTTCAAATACATTTTCTACAGTGATTAATTATCAAAAGTGAATGGCAAAGTGAATAACTTCACTCAATAGAATAGAAATTAATAGATCCCTGGCCAGGACCAGAACACTTGACTAAATGGTCCAAATTTCAAAATTCTGGTAAAAATACCCTTGCTCATTAAAACTTTTACTCTGTTTACTCTGTTATTTTGTTCTATGCTGACGATACAGTTATGATGTCTGAGTCTGCTGAGGGTTTGCAACACGCTCTTAATGAGTTTCATTCGTATTGTTTACAATGGAAACTGAATGTCAATGTAGACAAAACAAAAATTATGATTTTTTCGAAAGGTCCATCTGTAAAAAATGTATTCTACTACAATAATTCTGTTATTGAAATTGTGAATGAATTTAAATACCTAGGTATACTATTTTCCCGATCCGGTTCATTTTGTAAGGCTAAAAAACATTTATGTGAGCAAGCTCAAAAAGCCATGTATGGTGCTATACGAAAAATTAGACAATTTAATTTACCAGTAGATTGCCAGCTTGATTTGTTCGATAAAGTTGTCACACCAGTACTTTTGTATGGATGCGAGATATGGGGTTTTGAGAACATTGAAATAATTGAACGCGTCCATCTCAAGTTTTTGAAATATATTTTTAATCTGAAAAGTAGTACTCCTAGTTATATGGTTTATGGCGAAACGGGTCGATTCCCTTTGTATATAACGGTGTATATAAGAATGATATCACATTGGGCAAAATTACTGGTAAGCCCTGAAAATAAGATTGTTTATGTTACATATAAGAATTTATTTGAACAGTTTTGTTCAGGAAGTCATAAGAACCCTTGGATTTTATGTATTAAGAATATACTTGATACTTGTGGCTTCTCAAATATATGGAATGAACAGGCCTTTTTAAATATAAAATGGCTAAAAATTATAGTTGAACAACGTCTTAAAGATCAGTACATACAGAAATGGCAAAGTGATATGCGCGATTCGTCTAAAGGTCATATGTATAGTATCTTCAAAACAGAATTTGGATTTGAAAAATATTTAGACTTTCTACCTAAAAAATTTAGAACAATTTTAATTAAATTAAGAACAGCAAATCATCATCTCCCAGTTGAGACTGGGAGATGGTTTGGAATTCCCAAAAATGATAGACTCTGTAATATCTGTAATAATGGACAAATAGCTGATGAGTATCACTATATTTTAGAATGTCAATTTTTCTCAGAATGCAGAAAAAAGTATCTACCGGGTAAATATTGTAATAGACCAAATTTCTACAAATTCTCAGAATTGTTGTCAACTGCTGACTCCAAGGTATTAATCAAACTATGCAGCTACATAGATAGGGTATATGAACAAGTCTGTCCTCCATAATTATTATTATTATTATTATTTTTTTTTTTTTGGTTACTTTATAATTTGAATGTATTTCCGCCATTTCACGTGTATCTTGTATATTGTTTGTGTATATATTGTACATAGAACCTCATGTACCATTAATTGGTTTGAGTGAATAAATTGAACTTGAACTTCCAATATGCCCAGGACCAGAGGAGATTTTCAAAGAAATAATGCATATTTGATATATATAATCAAATAGAGCCCCCCCCCCCCCTCCCCCCCCTTTAGAGAAACATCAGAACTCCTGGGACCACAAGTTTGAAAAATTTTGTAAAAGCATTCTTGCTCATCATAACTATACACTTGTTTCTTTGCGTTATAACCAGGAGCATCTTCGCTAGCCAAGGGTTTCTGATACGCTACTCTCCTCATAAAACAAAATTTAACCAAACCGGAAGTGATCTGGATCTTCGTCTGAGGCCAAGGTTTCACGTCACAACCAGGTTAAAAGATTGTTACATGGTCCTGAGCCACTTTAGAAACATTTAAAGCAGCAACTTCAATGGTAAGAAATTGGCAAAAAATTGGTGCTCATGGCAGTCCAATATCATCTAAACAGTCTGAATCATCCTTAAAGAGGTACACTTACTTGCGTAACGCCAAAGGAGGGTCTAAGTGTTGACAAAAAAGGCATCTGTGTGATGCACTGGCCTGCCAAATACCCGGATCTAAATCCCATTGAACACATTTGGGACTTTCAAAAGGAATGTCCAAGCCCCCCCCCCCCCCCCCCTCCACACAATTTCAACGGTTTAGATAGATCCATGCAGTAGGTGTGGCAGCAGATAGATCAACCTCCTATTCAAGGGTACATAATATCCATGAGAAAAGGATGTCTTCCAATATTTTGAACTAGTGGTGGTCTTACTCCATAGAGATTATTTTATGTTAATTTTCATTTTGAGGGAACATCATGTCCTTGACACTTTGCTTTAAAGTCTGACGAGATACTTACATGAAATTTATGCAACATCGAACTGAAATATGCATCATCAACCTTGAATTAAAGAAATTATTTATTGTATGCATTTGTTCTTTATAACTTAAAAAATGTTAGGTGAACACTTAGAAGTTTGGTTCAGTGTAGATGGATTACCTTGATTTGGATGATTAATTGATTTGGATATATAATAGATGGTTTACCTTGATCTGGATGATTAATTAATTTGGATATATAATAGATGGATTATCTTGATTTTGGATGATTGAGTTGGATATATAATAGATGGATTACCTTGATTTGGATGATAAATTAATTTGGATATATAATAGATGGATTACCTTGATCTGGATGATTAATTAATTTGGATATATAATAGATGGATTATCTTGATTTTGGATGATTGATTTGGATATATAATAGATGGATTACCTTGATTTGGATCATTAACTGATTTGGATATATAATAGATGGATTACCTTAATTTGTATCGTTAATTGATTTGGATTTATCATGGTTAGATTACCTTGATTTGGATCATTAACTGATTTGGATGTGTCATCTTGATCCTCGTCATCTGGCAGGTCCTCTATATTGAAGTTAATCTGGTCTGTGATGGGATATGGAACTACAGAATAACCACTGAAAAATAATGTATCATAGTATGCAAATTAGAACAATTAGAAACATTTATTATGCACAAAGGCAAGCAATTATAGGTCAAAAGGGAGGGAAGTATGGCACCTATGTGTTTACTTAGAATGAAGGAATACAGTAATAATGATATGGTAAATAAAAAGATACTCAAGGACAAAAGAACAGATATGTATATAGTTTTATCTATATCAATGAAAATCAAATGAGCATTATCCTCTGTTAAAAATGACAATGTTCTTAACACATGTACTTTACAGTACAGGAAACACTACTAAAACAACTTCAGATCCAGGCCAAATAGATACTGCACTAATTCAAAAATGTCTATACAATGACAATGAATTACTTAATGTCAGCTTTGACAGCTAGTACTAGTTATTGATATATGTTTTATGTTCACTGGATGTGCAACAGAAACGTCCACAATTACCTACTGAAGACGGTCAAACTTGTATTACAACTTAGGACTTTTTGTTGAGCAAATAACTTTCACAGGAAAATTTTTAATGCTATTTTATGTACATGATATTATGATCTATATAAAACCAACTGTCTGCATGCCATTCACTACAAATGTTTACAATTAAGCCATATCCCTTTTACAGAGGGGATTTATACTTCTTCATAAGATATTTTAAACATTAATTCCAAGTTCTTTAAATTCTTCATTATACACTTACAATGGAGTTTCTATGGGCTTTTATATACTTACAATGGAGTTTCTATGGGCTTTTATATATACTTACAATGGAGTTTCCATGGGCTTTTCTACACTTACAATGGAGTTTCTATGGGCTTTTCTACACTTACAATGGAGTTTCTATGGGCTTTTCTACACTTGCAATGGAGTTTCTATGGGCTTTTCTACACTTACAATGGAGTTTCTATGGGCTTTTCTATACTTACAATGGAGTTTCTATGGGCTTTTCTACACTTACAATGGAGTTTCTATGGGCTTTTCTATACTTACAATGGAGTTTCTATGGGCTTTTCTACACTTACAACGGTGTTTCTATCGGCTTTTCTTCTGCATCATCTTCAATCATATCAAACAGGGCATCTTCCTTTTCACTGTTTGATACAGGGGGATAATATTTAAATCCTGCCAGCAGTCGAATTTCTCGACCTTGATCTGAAATTGGACGACATATTATGACATCTTTTATATTTCAAAACGGTATTGCAAACAAAATCCAGCATTTAAGGGAGAGAAGGAAGAGATACTCTCAGAATAAACATATTACTTCATAGTCAGCAAAATATTCCTTATTTTTAAGTGCCTACCAAACATGTGATAAATTCACAATTTTAATTATCAAGTCTTTTGTGATTAATCTGATTATCTGACAAGACTAATTAATATAAATGTTCATTCTTCAGCACAATCAGATTTTTGTAGATTTCTGAAAATTTACTCATTTTTGTGCTTGATTTTCCCCGTTTTTTTAGATGCTTACCAGGGATAACTCTATCACTCTCATTACGGCATTCCACTGTCACAGTAAATCCAATACCCTGAAATATTGACACCTTGGTCTTGTCTTTTGGTTGTTTCTTCTTTTGATCTATTTCTGAGTTATTGTTCAGAGTTACTTTCAGTTTGGTTGCCATTGTTTCTGGGAAGCCATTGACCCACTGACCATCATAAATAAGGCCTGAACTGTGATGCATTTTGCCTCTTCCATTAAAATTATCTGCCTTAAAATCTCCCTAAAACATTCAGAAATATTCAGTTACACAAATAACACTGATTCAGAAGATAATATCTCATAATATGTAGTACCATGATGTATTTTTATTGGACATTAGAAGGTCATATCACAATGTACCCCACTAATTTTCACTGAATATAACCATTATTTACAGTTCCAGTTGTGACTTGCTGCAAGTTTTACCTCATAAACTGACCCATCAATGATGTAAAGAATCCCTCGACCCTCACGTATGTCTCTAAGTCATTCCTCATAAACTGACCCATCAATGGTGTAAAGAATCCCTTGACCCTCAAGGATGTCTGTAAGTCATACCTCATAAACTGACTCATCAATGGTGTAAAGAATCCCTCGACCCTCGCGTATGTCTCCAAGTCTTACCTCATAAACTGACCCATCAATGGTGTAAAGAATCCCTCGACCCTCTCGTATGTCATTGACCCATATTCCTTCATAACGGTCACCATTTCTAGGAAACAGAAAAACTTCGTGAGTATAAGTAATTTATTCATTGTGAATTACTGTTTTATTAGGTTCTGATAATACACTTATCAAAATTTCAATAATACTTTGGTCTTTTTACTTAAGTTACTCTCCAGCTTGACCAATGACTTGTTTTTCAACTTGAAAAAATAACTTTTAAGTCAAATATCAGATAAATCAATGTCAAAAATCTAAAATCAAAACAGCACAGAAATTACTTTAAAATACAACTGCAAATGTTAACACTAGTTCAGCTTGATTCCAAATCCAGATTTAACAATTGTTTATTAGAATTAGTTGTTAGATGATTATTCTTTTTTCACAGAGAAATATTTCTTGTATAATTAATTATGTACTGTATTATTACAGACAGCAAATTAAAGGTCAGTACAGTAAATATCTCATGCATTATTGAGATAAAGAGAAGTCTTTATACAATGGATTAAAAGTCAGTAAATTTGTTCAACTCCAAGCCCAAATATTTATTTTTGGAAATAAATTATACATTATTCAAACATCTTAATGAAATACCTAAATGGCTTATTTTCTCTAGAATTAGTAGCTTGATGCAAATATATATGATATACACATTATATTTACTGAACTAAACAAGATTTCCTTTGTTAACTATTGTGAAAATAAAATCACAACATGAAAATATATAAAAGCACTGCTGCTAAACCTGGAACAACCTAGCAAGATAAAAGTCTTATGATCATCATATGTATCCTCTTCCTGATTCACTGTATATGTAGATAAATAAAATTCCTAAATTACTGTGGTCATCATGATGTCTACAATTTTAATTTACAAATTATTGAGCTTAAGTCTTTGTGTTGTACAAGTCTAATTAATACCTTTCTATGTAAAACTTTGTTCCCTTATGTGTGGCCCCACCCCTAACCCCAAAAGCAACAACTGAACTTCGATCATTATCTTGAACACTGATATCTTGAATACCTGGGATATGTTGAAGTGATTTTGTGGTCCAAACTATCTTTTCTTCACGTTTTTACCTCCTTTATATCTAATCCTTGGATATCTTGAAGTTTAATATGTGTCCATTCAAGTTCGAGATAACTAGGTCCGACTATATTTATATGATCAAACTTGAATTTACAATTAAAACATAGGAATGCTTGCATGTGAATTTGACTAAGCTCTAGACAAGATTTTCAATGTTTTTTCTCTCTGTTTTTAAGTCCTATGTAAATACTTGACCTCAATTATGACCCCACCCTAGCCCCAAGGGCCATGATTTAAGCCAACTTATATCAACACTATATGAGGAGTTAATAACTGAGCATTTCTTGGGGGGGGGGATTTATTTTTTCTAGCTATCCCAGCCATGCCTGTCAGACAAGCTAAAAAGATTTGGATACAAGAAAGTAAAATCAAAAGAAGCATTGACATATAGTAATTTACAAACAACAGAGTATAAGGCTTTTACTTTGTACTGCCACAACAACCAAACAAGCAACATACATTGATATTGGACTAAAATTAAAATTCTTAAATGAAATGGCTAGTTCATTAAAGAGTTATGATCTCAGTTTCCTTTACATGTATTAATTTGTTAAGATCTGAATATTAATTTAAGGATGAATGGCACCACCAAATGGAGCAGCCCGCCCTCATTCAAAGCTGAGGGCTAAATAGATGGTGTTCACAATATCATAACTAACAATCAATAGCCTCAACACATTGTCCTTTTATCTCCAAATAAAGTGTGTCTGAAACTGAGCTCTTTCAGAATTTTTAAATTGAGTCTAAACAACTGTCAAATTTTTGTCACTGGTCTTGACCTCTGACCTTTTGACCCTTGAATCATCTCTAGACTGAAAAGATCAGGTTGTGCTCTTTAAACTGTGTCTGCATTCCACAACATTGAAATGGAAGTAAGCATGTTACCTGCAGACACATGGTCTCACACAAAACCCACTTACTATGAACCTTCAAAACTTTGTTGGAAGGGTTGCAATACATAAACTTTGAATCAATTAGTACTTATGAAATGAAATGTGATTTAAAAATACAGTGTATTATTATGTGAATAGAAAGATTAGTATTAAAAGGCTTAAATTTTACTTCCACATTAAAAAAGCATCCTTAATACTAGGCATTTTACATCTTTTAATGAATTTATCTTATTTATTGATTTCTTATTGATAATTACCTCAGACAAATGTATATATTCCTAATGCTAATTATTACAAATTAAAAACATATATATATATATATCTGTTAATTAAGTGTACAAAAGTATGATCAATGGATCAAGCTACAATGGATGGTTTTTTCATGCATGAAAAATACGAATATTAGTCCAATATCTATCCATTCTGAGTAGACAGAGAAATAAAGCTCGATACATTGTTCCGATTCACACATAGAAATATACCTGCACCCGTCAGAGCGGATCTTCTTTCTAAAATTAGTATCAGAGGGGCTCACACAGGGTGACAAACAAATAGAAAGAAGTAATGCAATTATGAATTCTCCACAATTAAATATACACTGTGTGTTTACATGATGTAGAAACATAATTATATGGATGAAAAAACATATTATTCCACCCAGAAGTCAGAGAAAGATTTAAAAACTCATTAATATGATAAAAAAAAATTCAAGGGAACTTAAAATTGTGAAAGGAGTCAATCATTTTATGTATCTAAGGAACAAATGAATGCAAAACTCTCATTTAATCTTCAAAAAGTTAGATTTGCTGCTAAGGTATGCCTCCAAACATAATACAAGTATACATGTACACACAGAGTGATTTAAAGATTTACCAGGCCTAATGTCAATCAGTTCATATAACACTGGCCTTAATCTTTTTGTTTTTCATTTTGAATTCATAATAAAGTTTTGCTTATACAAAATTTGGTAAAGATACCTTCTTTGCAAAACTTGATTAAAATATTGGAGTTGGCAAGATTTTAGATAAATCCTCTCTGAGGAACAACAAAATTTAAAAACATTGACAATTGAAGTTTATTGAACATTGGTTGAAGGTCTTTGGCCTGATAGTGCTGTTGTTGTGTTAATTAAATGGACATTTTCTGGTATAAACTGCTAAATAGTGACAATGATACTTACGCATACATCATGACACCCACGCCATGTTTCATGTTACCCTCATACCCTCCCTCATACACTTCATCAGAGTCCATCCCCAAAGTCTTCATTACACCATAACCTACATAGAAGGATCAAACTTGTTATCAACAAAACAAATCAACAACTTTATTTCTTTTCAGATACAAATACTGTTTATCTTTTATGTCAAGAAAATATTTATGTACAGCATTTATGAATCCAATGTCATTTTGACTATATGCTTGTTTTTGTTGACAAACTATATGTTGACAAAAAATGAAACTAGACAGGATGTTTCTCAAAACAAAGTACTTGATCAGTATCAGGATGATTTCAGTAGTCATCGAAGAATTACTCTTTAAGAGTTTGAAAAAGTTTGATATTTGAATGTCTGTATTATGTAGTTTTTCAATTTTGTCTCAACCCTATGTTCTCAATACTTTGGACAATAATGTCCTGATATTCATTATTTATCTCACAATATTACACAAAATTGTACAAGAACAAACAGATTTAGTAAGCTTAATTTTTTGTCCCCCAAGTTGTAAAAGCAGAGTCAGAAACTTTGTTTTTAATTTTGGTATTAAGGACTGCAACTCTTTTCTAGATAAGATACATTATATTGAAAAAAAAATTGTCTAAAATATATAGATCAATGTCTAAAATTTATGCTATTTATATTATATATTTTTTTATCCCATGTTTACCCCTTTATCCCGTGGATATGACTCATTGGATAATTTTTTCATAATCCACAGTTAAGTGCAATTGTGACGTCACAATGGTTTTTGCGTTAGCGTGAGGAAGTAAAATAAAGTGGAGTCCTATATAAAACAGTGTAAAACATTGGTTGTGAAGTATTAAACATGGGATAAAAAGAATCTCCCATGATTTGTAGTTGAATATGACTTTTATCCAACTCGTTGTGTGTTTTTATCCCCTCGCCAAGGCTCGGGGATAAAAAACACACAACTCGTTGGATAAAAATCATATCCAACTACAAATCATGGGAGATCCTATATATATTATTTACATAATTATATTGTCTAATTTAATTATTCAGTTTTATATATTCTAAATATATTTATATCCAAAATGAGTAGTTCTTATGTAATTATTAGACATTATGGTGTGGTTTCATCATTTTTCGTGGAACATCAATTTTTGTGGATTTCGTCATTGAGCCGATCCATGAAATTAATTTAATGTTCATTGAACTTTGGTGCCTCCATTTTAATTTATGATAAACCTTTAAAAAGCCTATTACGACTTTCGTTCATATATAAGCAAATTCCTCCCCCCCCCCTTTTCCTCCAACAGGTTGGCTTTATAAAGGTCTAGAGTTTTCACATGCATTTAAGCAATATGATGAAAAAAACAATCATGTAATTTTATTTAGCAGGTGGTGCTTCTTACGAAATGATGCGATAACGAATTCCTTGCGTATACTTAGGAATCTACAGTATATATATTTGTACTTATTCTTTAAGTATTTTACCCTTAATATCTCGAATCCCCTGGTATCTCGAAGTTTTTCCTTAGCCCTATCAAGTTTGAGATAACAAAGTTTGACTGTATTTGCTTGAAATCAGACTGTGCAATTTTGATATTACCGGTATTTGAAATATTCAATTGACTCCTGTATGCTGTTTTGTTTGTTTGCTTTATGCCCCCCTTCAAGAATATTTTACTCATGTTGGAATGCCACCAATTACTGGTGGTCAGCTGCAAATTTAGTGCTAAGCACTTAGAGTGTATGACCAATGTGCAGTGAGGCATCTCCTTCAGGCCAGCACTTAGTGGGACACAGGACTATGGTATATATAGTCTCATATGAAGGACAAGTCTTCATGATTCTAAGAGGGCTTTGAACCTTTATCGTACAGATCAACTCCTTACTCCATGAAGCTAGAATGAAGCTCTAGATAATGTGCCACTTAGGCTTGCATGACTATGTACATAAGTAGCATTAAAATATAGCATGATGAATATCGCAAGGGTCTACTGCACAGACCACTAAGACTTTTCAATTTCAGAATGTTACAATTTTTAGCATTAAATGGGATAGAAATTCACAGACAAGTAGTAAGCTATCTGTGTATGAGTGATGTTTTTGTTTAGTACAGATGAGGTCTTACCATGTTTCCTGTTTTTATACCACTCCCCATCATACACAGAACCATCAGCATACACCATCATCCCCCGACCATGCAGCTCCCCCTTACAAAACTGTCCTGTGTATTTATTACCAGTCTGTGAGAAGTACCGCATTCCTTTGCCATCAATTTCACCATTTGTAAAGGTTCCCTCATAATAGCTACCATCGGCCATCTGAAGTTTTCCCTGACCTTCAAACAGAGACACTGGGTGGTAACACATTTGTAATTTTTGCCATTACTAAATATACACATGTAGCCTTGCAAACAATTTTGGAGCTCATTTGAGGGTGCAATGAAATTTTCAGGAGCCCATCATCCCGCCCATGGGCCTTAACAGTCACCTGTGAATATTTTAATGTACTCCATTGACAACTCTATGATCTAGGCCAACTTACGACTAAATTTTATTACAAACAAGATGACTTTAGCTTTTCCATCATCAAATTTCCTTCTTTATGTAGTAATATACCGCTATCACCTGCATATTGTATCTATGTCTCCCAACTTCTATGATACTCAAGACCACGCTCTGAGTATGATCTTTTTAAATCGAGGCATGCTACTGACAGATAAGTTGATGTTGCAGGACTTTCAACAACCTTGTTTAAAGTCAGCATTTCATAAATTCTATGGTCGATATATTGACATTGTTAACAAAAATAACATATCATTGCATCCTATTTTAGCTGATGTGTTTCATACCAATTGTTAGGCCTTTGTTTTTATAATAAATTTGACAATAGAATGTTCTGTCTACCTGATCAATATATAGGGCTAATGGCAAAATGACTGATTCAGGTTCTCAGTTACTTCTGGTCATGTCAACTATGAACTACTAATACTTTTCTTAGTTACAATGTTATGATCTTGAAAAGAATGTCATACTTTTCCTCTTAATGACCCTGACTACATCTAGAGACTTATGGACATTTCTGCATCAAAGTTATAGATCCACTCTTGGATTTGACTATGTCTAGAGACTTAAGGTCATTTCTGTTTCAAAGTCGGAGACAAACTCTTGGTTTTGACTGTCTAAAGACTTAAGGTCATTTCTGTATCCTCTTGGTTTTGACTATGTCTAGAGACTTAAGGTCATTTCTGTATCCTCTTGGTTTTGACTATGTCTAGAGACTTAAGATCATTTCTGTATCCTCTTGGTTTTGACTATGTCTAGAGACTTAAGATCATTTCTGTATCCTCTTGGTTTTGACTATGTCTAGAGACTTAAGATCATTTCTGTATCCTCTTGGTTTTGACTATGTCTAGAGACTTAAGGTCATTTTTATATCAAAGTCATAGACAAACTCTTGATTTTGACTATGTCTAGAGACTTAAGGTCATTTTTATATCAAAGCCATAGACAAACTCTTGATTTTGACTATGTCTAGAGACTTAATCCAATTTACTACTACGTCAAGCTTATACTTAAACTGTGCTTTTAAAAATACTAGTATATGATTTTAATGAATTATGCTGTGTTTTGCATTTAACATTTCTGAAACAGTTTAACTATAAAGCCAGGGATTTGGCACTCAGTTCATGATTCAAAGTGGCAAGTGACAGAAGTCAATTTTTTTGGCAAATATATATGTTTATGAAAATGCATCTCTCTCCATTGGTGAGGGATGAATTAAGACATAGAGATATACTGTATGTGTACTTAAAAAATTGGGCTTCATATTTTAGCGGCTTTGGCGCAGACAATGATGCGCTTATTCATGAATACTGCAAAGAAATCATTTATAAATAAAATATACAGACGGACATGTAATTTATGATTTCACCAACAACTCCATACCCAGTGATTGCGCTAAATTTTGAATATGCCAATTTATGTACATGTACAGTACTTACTGTACTATTTTATTCCATCCCTCCATTGGTGAGGGATGAATTACAGACATAGATATATACTTACCGTGTTTAATTCCACCCCTCCATTGTCCCTCGTATCGGAAATATTTATTTTCATACTGGTATATACCATGACCTACAAAGTACAACAGTGCCAGTCTTTAACGTAAATTAATAAGAGTTTTAATTATTTGTGTGAAGTGAAAGTATCATTTCAAAGATCAATTCCTTGTAAAGTCCAGCAAATTCTTATTTAAATGCAACAACAGTAAAGGCTACAGCTCAATCTGATTGTGTACATTTTATTTTACAATGTATCACAAATAGTGTTAGTACAGTCACATTCACTGAAAAAAAAAAATTATTACGTTAATTACAAACTAAGCCTCTTAAAATTTAAAAAAAGCAAGTAAAAATCTATAATATTCTTCAGTTCTTTTATATTTAAGAGTTTTCTAATGAATATTAACACCTGTTTCTTATTTATAATATGAAGTAACTTTGTGTGAATAAGCCTGCCATTGTTCATATTTGTCTTGGCTCAGGAGGCTTGGGGATACTAGTGTTTGTAGAAATTCTTACCAAACTTAAGATGGCTTTTTAAACCAATGTTTATTTTTTATGCAATCTCAACAACTGTGTACATATTAGTTCAAACATACAAATATCTGAAGTGTCGCTTTTAAATGGCATCTTGTTATGCATTCTGATAATGCAATTTTTCATTAATGGCATTTTCAAAGTTCAGTTGCTCCTAAAGGATTCTAAACATGATCTCTGAGAGCCAAGTTTGTGAAATCTCAACCATGTACACATTTATACCATTAATATTGACAATGTTATACTTTTTTATCAATACCATCTCATAAACTTGAGATTGTTTAGCTTAAAACATTTAGTATTAAAAAAAGAAATTTGATGAGGTCCTATGTAAAGTCTAATATTTATCATTAAAGCTTCCAGTGGAAATCTATTTCCTTCAAATATGATTTAGCTTCTTAAAACACATTTTGTAAATACCTCAACCAACTAAAAATTGTTAACTTTCACCTTATATCAGTTATAAAATTTTTAATATCATACACATTAGCAATTCATTAGGATACACTGCACAAATTTTAATCCCATTTTTAGAAATAGCTACTGTCAAAAAATGTTGTTACAAACTGAACCTTGACTGCAATCCTTCACAAGACAGATGAACTCACCTGAAGCTCGTTTTGGGAAGGGATTGACGGTATATTCCCTCCGCTCAGAAATCTGACGTCTTGGCCTCACTGGAAGAGTGCTAGGGGGTTTTAGATACGGCAACTTAAAATTATCAAAATTCTCATTCTTAGAAAATGCCAGTAGTCCTTTAGAAGGTTCACTAGACATATCTGATGATGTACTTCCATTTTGTTTTTGTATTTCACGATTAAATTTCTTTTTATAATTTGTATATCTTGTTGCATTGATTGTTGGCATTATGGTGGTTTATGATATGACTGGAAACTCTGTAGATCCTACACAAAGACGGGTAAAATGAAAAACAAATATCATATGCTTAAAAGAGCAACTCCCTTCAAGAAGCACAATGCTTTTCAAATGAATTAATAGAACACAATTATTGTTATTTCCAGAGGATGGGTTAGGAGAATAAATTTCACATTCATATATCACAAAATTTCCATATTTATTATGTTTGTTTCTTCACATGCTTCCTTCATTTAACCAATACAATTATTGCGACTGAACACATAGCACTTGTACATATGAAGTTTAAATCTCTGGCATAAGCCTGACGACTACATTAAGTATATTACACTTCAGGATTTCTTACACAGTTTACGATGAACCCACCTTGAACCATTTACTATTTAGAGTTTAGGAATTAATCTTCTGTAGAAAGTACAGTTAAAACATCAATCCAGATTATTCCAAAATTGACACGATTCTGTATACCTGTTCTAATCATGCTTTTGGTCTCACACTTGTTAACTTATATACATAATCTGTTTCGGATACCAAAATCTATTTTCAGCAGCATTTTTGGTAACTGCAGATATTTAATGATTAATTCACTAAGATACTTAATGAACTTGCTCACCAATCAATTTTAACAGTTTGAATTTCAATACTTTGATTAATGTATGAAAATAAGAAATCAATTTTAATTATTATTACAACCACAGCACAAGTCCTGTATATAAAATGTTCCTAAATATTTATCTACATTTCAGACTTATAACAGATTTATGTCTGCTTTCACATCAAATTAAAAAAGCATCTTTTAATTTAGACATAGATATATCACTAAGGATGAAGCATAAATAAAAATGTCCACCATTATAATTTATCTGAGATTAGCCTGGATAAAAATTAAATATGTGTGAATCATATAAAACACGGATTATGTTCTGTGCTTGGAGCCATTATATTGACTTACAGCTAGATTACTGAATTGGGCTATGTGTCTGAATATGATATATAAAACTTAATTAAATAATCCCGGATTAAGGTACCAATCGATTTTTTTGTTGTAATAAGCTTTTGCAAGAGCTGTCCAATTTTACTTGTCAGAATAAGTTTACAATCACTTATTCAGCTACAGTACAAACAGACAACAAAAAACAGGTAGGAAATCATCAATATAATAAAAACCCTCTAACTCTTTAAAAAAAAAAAAAAGATGAGTTGTAAATCTAAAATCTGATATAGTCACTTTAAATAAAATGATATGAATTTAAGTTAAGGACATAATTAATATAAAATTGCTGGTTGTTGATAAGTAGACCTGAGTTTTTGCCCAAAAAAAAGTACCAAAAAATTACAAAATATTTGAACAATTTTCATTCTTTTTTCTCAAACTTGTGTGGTAGTCAGGAAGGTTTGATCGCTGGTGGCCAGATAGCTTAATTAGTTGGTATAGCACTTGACTATTGATTCAGGGGACCTAGATTCAAATGTGGTCTTATCCATCTTAATTTTCTCTCTTGAAAGTTACATTTGGTGCCATGCCACAACCTGCAAGTAAAGGTGAGAGACCCGCTAGGGTTGGTGTCTTTGGGGGCAAAGACCTTTAAGGAGGGAGGAATGTATCAGTCAGGCAGATTCTATCACCAGTGGCCAGATAGCTCAGTGGTTAGAGCACCTAGTTTAAATAATTCAGGGGGCCTGGCCATGGGTTCAAATCCTGGTCTGGTCCATTGCAATTTTTTCCCTTGCTGGTTACACTTGCTTATTTTTCTTTTTTAAAAGATTTTTTTTTCTTTGCTGATGAGTAAGAAAGAAATTTTTAACAGATGAAAACAGGCAAAAAAAATACTTCTCAGGCCATGAAATTTATTTGAAAGAAAAAATGTTAAGCATATTTTAATAAATGGTTTCATCAGGTAATATACATTTTTGTATTACTAATAAAATATCAGAAGAATTATTTTTTATAATCAATAGAAAAACCTTTGAGAACAAAACATTTGGAATCAATATCGTACACTGTGGTTTCCAGAAATAAAACTTTTACAGGGCTAGAAATAATTATTTTTGTTTACTGGTCACTCGGGCTATTGCCTAAAATTTTTACTGGTCAGCTGAGTACTTTCACTGTCCCACTGGGCCAGTAGATTATAACAAGAGGCCCATGGGCCACATCGCTCACCTGAGCACATTGGCTAGACAAAGGCACAAATCAGTTCAGCAATGAAAAAGACTACCGGTGGGGGGGGGGGGGGGGGGGGGGCTTGAATTTTAAACTACCTGATGATGCTTCCATGTCAATATAACAAATGAATTTGTCGTACTTGAGAAGATTTTAAAAGAATTTTCTCATTTATTTCTTTGTAAAAATTTGATCCCCCATTGTAGCTCCTCCCTATCCCAGGAGTCATCATTTGAACAAACTTGAATCTACATTACCTGAGGATGCTTCCTTATCAATAAGACTAACATAGCTTTTCTGTTCTTGAGAAGAATTTTTTTTTTATATGTTCTTATGTAAAACTTTCGATCCCCCCATTGGGCCCCACCCTACCCCCGGGGGTCATCAATAAAACAAAATTGAATCTACACTACCTGAGGATGCTTCCATATAAATATGACTCATCATGGCTTTGCTGTTCTTGAGAAGAAGATTTTTTAAAGATTTTTCCTATATATTTCTATGTAAAACTTTGATCCCCCATTGTGGCCCGCCCTACCCCCGGGGGTCATGATTTGAACAAATTTGAATCTACACTACCTGAGGATGCTTCCATATAAATATGACTCATCATGGCTTTACTGTTCTTGAGAAGAAGATTTTTAAAGATTTTCCCTATATATTTCTATGTAAAACTTTGATCCTCCATTGTGGCCCCGCCCTACCCCCGGGGGTCATGATTTGAACAAACTTGAATCTACACTACCTGAGGATGCCTCCATATGAGTTTCATCTTTCCTGGCCCTGTGGTTCTTGAGAAGAAGATTTTTAAAAGATGCTATTCATTTTTCACTAATTCTTAATTATCTCCCTTTGAAAGAGGACGTGGCCCTTCATTTGAACAAACTTGAATCCCCTTCACCCAAGGATGCTTTGTGGCAAGTTTGGTTTAAATTGGACATGTGGTTCTGGAGAAGAAGTTGAAAATGTGAAAAGTTTACAGACAGACGGACAGACGGACTACAGACAAAATGTGATCTGAAAAGCTCACTTGAGCTTTCAGCTCAGGTGAGCTAAAAAGGCTGGCCCAAAACCATAATAATAATAGTAATATTTTTTTTATATTTTGATACTTAGAAACACAATTTAACAAAACAAGAAATGGCAGAAGTTGGGACACACGACCCTGTCAAGTTAACTAGCCCGAATGTGAATGAATTTTATTATGCATAAAGAAAATGCTGACCCAAAGGGCACATGCCCTCTGCAATGTACTAGCCCAGATTGAAAATTCACTGGCCCCAGACTAGCAGGCCATCAATTATTTCGAGCCCTGTTTTATCAAGCATGTCATTAGGTATTTCCTCTGAAATGAACTACATGTATTTTATCACACGGGCCTTTTTCACTCATTGGATTTTTTAAAATATTTGTTAATAACAAAAAGAGGTAGCTTCCGCAAATAGATCTCTGTAAATAATAATGCTTCATTGTTGGTTAAAGAGAAATTTAAAAGACACACATACATGCATTTATATCATGTTTAGAGAGAGAACAAAATATTGATTTGCACTTGTCATCTACTTATTGTGTCTAGTTTGCTTATCATTCATGAAATAATGCATTCATTCAACAATAACAATTCCCTTCATGATATCAAATCTCATACCAGTAGATGTAATTTGATAAAAATTCCAAATCTTTTTTTGTTATGACATTTAACAAAATATTAATCTAGAAAAGAGATATAATTACACAGTTCAACAACTATAAATAGGGTTTAAGATAATGATCACACAAAAGGTCCATACCATTCATTTATAAACAGATTTAATGGAGGTTATTGGGCATTTAAACACATTTTTTGAAATTTACTTTGAATAAAGAAACTTTTAAGGATAATATCTTGAAGATAAACACACATTTTTTTTTACCTAACCATATGCGATGTTCATTCATTTAAAGTTGGACATATTTTACATACGAATTCACACCTGCTGAGTCATGTACATGCACATTAAACGAATCCATCTTTCATGATTAGTATGTACCTGTTTTAAAATTTGAGAATTAACAATAATCAATAAATTATGCAATTCAAAATCCTCTTTTCATTGGAAACTTATAATTACCTCTCTTTTATATACTGGGTATACATATGTATTTCAAAGAAATTAAAATTACAAATTGTAAAATAAATTAAAAGTATTTTATTTATATTAAACAATATAAGATAAAAAAAAAACCCTCACTGGAAATTTCAGCAATACTTAGAAATATGTATTTTATTTTGTTAATTACTCTTTCATGGCTACCAGTACCCTGAAATCTCCTGACCAGTAAAACTAAATTTATACTTGACAAGTAGTAAAGAAATCCTAAAGATAGCAAAATACTGAACACAGGATTCCGCGGAGTATGTGTACATATAAAAACCTACCAGAATGTTAACTTATTCATGTGCTAAGCATATAAGATAGCCTAAATCAGTACATTGTCTATCAAACTGTTACAGACATGCTTACTCAATTATCATAATTTAAACCTGTTACCTAAAGGCAAAAAATGATGTGATGATATTGTGTCAAAATATCTTTAAAACCGGCCTTGAACTCTTTGCCTTTATAATTAAACACTAGGAGAAATTTTTAAAAAATCTAAGGACATTTTATGTGTGGGGAAATGCCCAAGGGGATTAATTCCTAGCTACTGAGTTTTGTATTTGACAACCAGAGACTGGTCATATAAGGACTCTAAGCCATATATGGATTCAGGAATCTATTTTTCTGTACCTTTCCTTGCTTGGGTCTACCTTATGAAGTGACTAAAATTATTTCTTTTACCCTCCTTACAGTGACCCAGTATTACACTCAGATTTCATACAATCTGCACGATGCATGTACATGCAGACTGTATAAATATAGGCTCTAAAGATAAGATTTATTGAAACCATATCTGGGGCCTTTGAGGACATACAAGTAAAGAGTTACATACAAAAGAAGAAAGTCAAAATTGAAAGCAGCAACATGTCAACATAAAAAAAGAGAAAGAAACTATATACAGAAGATTATAGCAGATGGGAATATTATCTATAGACTATATACATAATGAATGCTAATAATGCCTATATAACGTTACAGCTTTGGGAGTTATAATAAATACCGGAATAAATATAGTCTTGCTTACTTGTATTATATGATACTTTCACTATATGGTTAACTTACCATCTCGTTTATCTCTGAATTTTTCTCCCGCGTAAGTATTGCTCCTGATTAACTTCAACTCCATGATGTTTATGCTGACGACGATTCTCGTGATCTTTTTTGACTTTTCTTCAAATTAAATAGATAAATCAAGATACGATCCGCAGGGTTCTCATCTCGCATTCATCGAGAACAAACGAGATCTAAACTGACAAAAGATGGAAAAGGGAAAGACGATTTTTCTTGATGTAAGTTGTAAATATTCTAATGAGATTTAATGAAAAAATCTCTTTTGCATATATGATTATTAAATCTCATCTATATTTTGCAATTTATACCAAAAAAGCATCCTCACTTAAGGGTGGGGCGGATAGATTTGCCCGAATTTACTCTGTTGCCGAATTATATACAAATGACGTTTAAACTGCTGTCTGAAATTGTTTTATTATTTCAAATTTGTTTAGAAACTGGATAATTCTAAAAATACACCATAATTTTGTTAAAAGTGTGATCCACAATATTTTAATCTATTGGATGCTGGATGCAGCTAGGCATGTTGTGCCTGGAAACCACTAATCTCTATTCATGAACTTATGATGTACCACTTGCTATTGTTTAAGGGCGCCCAAGTACATGTTGTATGTTTGTTTTATCATTTCAAATTTATTAGAAACTGGATGATTCTAAAAATACACCATAATTAGTGATCCACAATATTTTTTTTCTATTGGATGCTGGATGCAGCTAGGCATTTTGTGCCTGGAAACCACTGATCTCTATTCAGGAACTTATGATGTACCACTTTCTGTTGTTTAAGGGCGCCCAAGTAATGTAATATGTTGACGGTGTGACCGTTAGGGCGAACACAGATACTTCTATAAACTGTATTTAGTCCCATCTCTTCAAACCACATGTGACATTTGGTACGTCTAGACTCTGACGTCACATGACGTCGTATGTAAGTTGCATTACCAAACTGAAGCCTGAACGCTGGCAGATTTTAATGAAGAACGTTTTATATACTATTTATCTGCAATGTATCCATTAAATCAAGACGAGTTTATTTTTTGTTGAACTTTTGTTGTCTATCTCGTGAGAACGTAGCTTAAATAAGCGATGCATTGTGGGTCCAAAGTTACTGCAGAAAAAAATTCTATTGAATGAATGTGCAGTAGTCCGAATCTTCTCTTCGCCCAGGCATTATCGTTAGAGCTTGCAGTGCAATGTACCAATGCTTAATATAAAGTTTGTGAGTGTTCTTTGCATGTTACAGGACAACAACCAAGCATGATGATGTAGTTTTACAAATTAAACTCCAAGTCTGGTGTCAAATAGTGAGACTTTCCCCTTAGTGAGACTTTCCCTGGAAGACTATAGCTGGCCTATATAGTGAATCTTCCGACTAAGGGAGAAGAGTGGCTATATAGTCAGGGATTTGTCAGTACCTTCTCAGGGGCGAAAATTTGGCACAATTCCCAATGGAAGATAGACTCAATTTTTCTCAGTTTGTTGGAGAAAATTCCCAAAATAAAATTAAGTGAACATGTAAATATTTTTTAATGAAATCATGGACTCCAAGAGTGACTGAGGCCAAATAGTCATCACATGACTTAAAACTTTGCCAGCTTCTCAAGATAGAGAGAAAAAGAGAGAGAGAGTTTGTCACCTTACTTCTATTAATTTTCATTTATAATCATATTACTTATCATGCTTATCATCTAAATTAATTAGAAGGAAAATTTTATAATCATTTTTTTAAAGCCATTTTCTTTCATAGTTCTCATCAGCCTGAGATCTTCCTCGAGAGAAGTCTCACTATATAGCAAATCTTTCGGGGGGAGTCTCACTATAAAGTCAGGTTTCCAGGGGTAAATTTCACTATATAGCGAGGACTCGTGGGGGGGGGGGGGGTCTTAGTATAAAGCCAGGCTTCCAGGGGAAAGTCTCTCTGTATAGCAAGGCTTATCGGGGGGAGTCTCAGTATAAGGCCAGGTTTGAAGGGGGAAGGTGCACTAAATAGCCAGGCTTTCGAGAGGAAGTCTCACTTTAAAGCCAGGCTTCCAGGGGAAAGTCTCACCATATAGCAAGGCTTCCAGGGGAAAGTCTCACTATATAGCAAGGCTTCCAGGGGAAAGTCTCACCATATAGCAAGGCTTCCAGGGGAAAGTCTCACCATATAGCAAGGCTTCCAGGGGAAAGTCTCACTATATAGCAAGGCTTCCAGGGGAAGTCTCAGCATATAGCAAGGCTTCCAGGGGAAAGTCTCACCATATAGCAAGGCTTCCAGGGGAAAGTCTCACTATATAGCAAGGCTTCCAGGGGAAAATCTCACCATATAGCAAGGCTTCCAGGGGAAAGTCTCACTATATAGCAAGGCTTCCAGGGGAAGTCTCAGCATATAGCAAGGCTTCCAGGGGAAAGTCTCATTATACTGCAAGGCTTCCAGGGGAAAGTCTCAGTGTAAAACCAGGCTTGCAAGGGGTAGATGCACTATATAGCCAGTCTGCATAGGGAAGTCTCACTTTGGGGGAAGTCTCACTATACAACATAGAACAATCATACATTAAGCTACGTAGCTTAAATTACCTTCATAGCTTTTTTAGCTACCTGAAGTAGCTTTATTTAGTGACTAAATCATACTTATTTCTTAAATGAGCATTTTATTTTGCATGAATAAAATTTGCACTTTGGTGCATTGATAGCTTTAACTATGAACTGATCTGAAATAAATTCAGAATTAAATATCATCTTTGATGATTGAAATCCCCAACTTTTACACTGAATTCATGGACAAACTGCCTCATCGATACATATTGGAAGTTAATATTTCAATAAAATACACTTGAATATTGATGCATATTGATATATAATTGAATCAGCCTTTACTTGGAGTAACAATACAAGGTCACTTCATCATCACTAATGTTTTATTTTACAGCTGTTTGTCAGTAATGGTACTTGTATTCTAACACTGTTGTGAACAAAGATAGTCAGAGACAGTGATTTCTGGAGAGTTTAGACTTCTGCCCTGAAAAAAATTAGTAATGATAAACATACAAAGTATCAAGTGATTCAAATTATATAATTTTTTTTTTTCAAAAATCAATTGTGAGGTGCACTTCATGACCAATTTTTAAAGTTAGCATGTTCTGTTTAATACCACTACATGTACATCAATATCATTTAACAGAAATGTTTGAAAGAAAGAATTAGTTTGTGTTAATGTGAACAAAAATCCTGCTACAGTATCATTCCATGTTCTTTTTCAGATATTCAGAAGAGCAGATAAAAATGGTAAGTATATCACAGGAACGTAAAATATATACTAAAGATAATTATAGTATAGTATATGGTAATTATAACAGTTGCCACAAATTTTCTATCACAACTTATTTAATCATATGATTTATTCAAGTTGACAAAACATGCAAAAAAGAATTGAACATGTATATTTGTAATTAATTATGTGAATATATATTTCTCAGTCAGTTTAACAGTAAGTATTACTGAGATGTGCTTGTTTCATTTATTTCTAAAACTACATGTACATGATATATAGCTTGTCGATAAAACAGAAATTATTTTCCACATTTTTACAGGTAATTGAATAGGGCAGTGTCTTGGGAGGTGTTTGTTTATTTTTGATGTTATTTACAGATGACGGGAGCAATATTTTGGGAGGAGTTTGTTTAGTTTTGATGTTATTTATAGATGACGGGAGCAATATTTTGGGAGGTGTTTGTTTATTTTTGATGTTATTTACAGATGACGGGAGCAATATTTTGGGAGGAGTTTGTTTAGTTTTGATGTTATTTATAGATGACGGGAGCAATATTTTGGGAGGTGTTTGTTTAGTTTTGATGTTATTTACAGATGACGGGAGCAATATTTTGGGGGGAGTTTGTTTAGTTTTGATGTAATTTACAGATGATGGGGCAATATTTTGGGAGGATTGTTTTGGTTTTGATGTTACAGTGCAGGGAACTAATTTTGTTACATAAACCAGCATCAGCATAAGCATTAGTAGCATCAGGATCGAGCTAGCATCAGCATCAGCATTTTAAAAAACAGCATTACCAGGATCAGCATCAGCAAGCAAAGGATAAAACCAGCATTGACCTACATAAAATCAGCATTATCCTACTAGTATCAGAAAATCAATGAGTTTTAATTCAGTAAAAAATTAAAAATGAAAAAAAAAATATTGGTTAAAGTATTCACATTATTGATACATAGTGAGATATTATGATCAAATAATTGTAAAAGGTACTTTTATTGCTTTAAACGGCAATGCTGAAATTCATTATCTACTTCCGGTAGCATGATGCTACTTCCGGTAGCATTGACCTAATTATAAAACAGCATCAGGATAAGGATTACTAGCATTAAATCAGCAAGCAAAGGAAGCATTCAAATCAGCAAGCAAAGGAAGCATTCAAATCAGCATCGATGCTGTAACAAAATTAGTTTCCTGCACTGTATTTACAGATGATGGGGCAATATTTTGGGGGGAGTTTGTTTAGTTTTGATGTAATTTACAGATGATGGGGCAATATTTTGGGGGGAGTTTGTTTAGTTTTGATGTAATTTACAGATGATGGGACAATATTTTGGGAGGGTTGTTCTAGTTTTGATGTAATTTACAGATGATGGGGCAATATTTTGGGAGGAGTTTGTTTAGTTTTGATGTAATTTACAGATGATGGGGCAATATTTTGGGAGGGTTGTTCTAGTTTTGATGTAATTTACAGATGATGGGACAATATTTTGGGAGGGTTGTTCTAGTTTTGATGTAATTTACAGATGATGGGAGCAATATTTTGGGAGGGTTGTTCTAGTTTTGATGTAATTTACAGATGATGGGGCAATATTTTGGGAGGATTGTTTTGGTTTTGATGTTATTTACAGATGATGGGGCAATATTTTGGGGGGAGTTTGTTTAGTTTTGATGTAATTTACAGGTGATGGGACAATATTTTGGGAGGGTTGTTCTAGTTTTGATGTAATTTACAGATGATGGGGCAATATTTTGGGAGGAGTTTGTTTAGTTTTGATGTAATTTACAGATGATGGGGCAATATTTTGGGAGGGTTGTTCTAGTTTTGATGTAATTTACAGATGATGGGACAATATTTTGGGAGGGTTGTTCTAGTTTTGATGTAATTTACAGATGATGGGGCAATATTTTGGGGGGAGTTTGTTTAGTTTTGATGTAATTTACAGATGATGGGACAATATTTTGGGAGGGTTGTTCTAGTTTTGATGTAATTTACAGATGATGGGAGCAATATTTTGGGAGGGTTGTTCTAGTTTTGATGTAATTTACAGATGATGGGGCAATATTTTGGGGGGAGTTTGTTTAGTTTTGATGTAATTTACAGATGATGGGACAATATTTTGGGAGGAGTTTATTTTTGAACAATAATGTAATTTATAGATGATGGGACGATATCTTGGGAGGAGTTTGTTTATTTTTGATCAGTGATGTAATTTACAGATGATGGGGCAATGTCTTGGGATAATTTACTGATAATAGGACAGTATCTTGGGAGGAGTTGGTTAATGTTTGATCTCAGAAAATTGTATCTACTATCAACGTATATGTCGACCAAGTGCTTTTAAGTTTTCAAATTTATTTTCATGTAAAAAGGTATCCATCATCAATAATCTTTGTAAATTTATACATCAATATAGTTAATAAGAGAGTTACCCTTCCAGGTTATTAATGTAAACTGTACACTCTTGCATCATGTATTTTGTTTTATATTGTTGTTGTATTTTCTCTATGTTGTTTTACACAATGTGAGAATGAATTGAATTGATGTAATTTGCAGATGATGGGGCAATATCTTGGGAGGAGTTTGTTCAGTTTTTTGCTGATGGAGTCATTGGAAAAGAAGAAATGGAAAAGTTATTCAATGACATTGACACACACAACACCAAGTTAGTCCAAATTTAAATACTTATGATAGAATATTGTTTTTGCTCTGTTTTGTTTTCTTTTTGTTATTTTTTTCTTTCAGATTAGAGTTTTTAAGAGCCTAAATGGCTAATGAATAAAAATCAGTAAATACATGTACATGTACTGTTAATGTGATTATTTATACATGTTGTTAAATATGCAAATTAGAAGCAAAAACTGATGAATGGGTGTTATTTCCACCATAGCAGGATAAGGTATCGTTAATTCCGAATGAAGTACATACAAAGGCATGGTACACTGAATTATAGCAAGTTTAGTGAAATTACTCCCACATGTAAATTTCCATGTTTTCAGAAATGTGTTAAATACAGTCAAATCTTATTATCTCAAACCTGATAGGAACCTATAAAAAACTTTCAGTTGAGATATGTGATGTTTCGAGATATCGAGGTTAAAATACATTAACATAGAGCTGTGGGACTTGTAACTCACTTTGACATATACATGGTACATGTATTTGATATATCTGTGTTTGTATTTTTAGTAAAATTGACACAGTAAAGCTGTGATATTTATTATTAGTAACATTGACACAGTAAAGTTGGGATGTTTATTTTTAGTAACATTGATAGCTGTATGTTTATTTTTAGTAACATTGACACTGGGGAGTTGTGTGAGTACTTCAGCAACCACCTGGGAGAAATGAAGGAGATCTATTCTTTAATGGAGGACCTGAACCACAAAGTTACCAATGTACTACAGTCCACAGCCAAGGTAAATCATGCGTCTAATTCTGTCCCACGTAAATCAAAACTTATTGACAAAGAATGCATTCTATGATAATGTTTAATGGAAAATTTATTTATACATGTTGGATATTTGGCTAATTAGGCACTTCTTTTACCATTGACTTATGAAAATTGTAGAAATAAGAAAGTTGATCCAGGAGTAATGTTACAATGGCTATAAGAACATCAACAACATTTACAGTTATGTAAAATAATTTTAAAATATTAAAAAAAGAATGTGCCCGGAGGATGAGATAAGTCTTTGATGTCACTTCCTCTTAAAGCCAATGTTAACTCAGTGAAATGAATATGCAAATTCAATATGTCAAATCATTTTTCATGAAATAGTCAAATTAAGACCCTCCAGCACAAATTGGGAGTGTACATGAAATAAAACATATTTGTGAGAGATTTAGTAGATTTTTCCTAGAACTAAAATGAGGGCTGCTGAAAAACGTAAAGACATTGGAACATTCTTGCTGTGCAGCAATAGATGGGACCTAATGTTGTGTTTATTTTAATATTGAATATTTTAATATATGTATCTGAATGAAATTTTAAGGCAAAAAATCAAAATACATATTACATGTATACATTGGTATGTAAAATTTTGAATATAATTTTCACTTATAATTATTAAAGAATTGCTATTGGATCAACCCTCAGAACTGCAGTACATTGTGTGCATGTCACTCAAGAAATATCTGTAAAAAGTGTGTTTTTATGCACAACATGAAGATAACTCTTATATTCTATATATCTGCCTGGAAAATATTGCTGTGTTTATGTGGTTTCAGACTTATCCTGAGAAGAACAGAACTGACAAGTTTATCACCCGCTTCCTAATGCGTGAGTGTATTGGTCAGCTGACTGCCCTACAGCGCCCTCTAGAGTCAGCTTCAGACCACATGGATGAGGAAGCTAGAGCAGAAAAGTATGTATCTGTTTTCATAAAAATACAGGAGAAAAAAAGTCATCTGTGGAAGAATTATTTCATATATCCTTTTTCGTTCAAAAGAAAGCAACTGCTCTTGTATTGTGTAATGATATTTTTTTTTACCAGCACTGACATCAAACCCATTGAGCCTCGTGATGTCTTGCCGAAGCCTGATGTAATACCAGGCCGAGTCGGTCGTCGCACCAAACACCAGATCAGTAGTCAGACCTCAATCCCTTCAGAAGGTAGGAATTTTAAAAATCTCTTTTGTCTAAAAGAAATATTTTCACTGGTGGATTTTATTTTACAGTATTAACCATTTCATTCTCCCCTCGATAGAAGAGGAGCAAATTTCAAAATTTCACTTCTGTTTAGAATAGTCATTTGTTTGATAAACCAACATGTTTTTTGCAAATATCTTCTAAACTCCTGGCTTAATAGTGGGTAAACATTATATACATGTATCCTTAAAATATACAGTCAAACTTTGATAGGTCAAACACAATAGGACTGAGAAAAAACTTGGAGATATCAGAGTTGGAGATATTAAGGTTAAAATACATAAAGAAAAGGTGGTAGAGACTTCCAACTCACATTGACATGTCCATGGTATCCAAGTTTTCGATACTGATGTTCAGCTGTATGTAGGTTTTGCTGTGGTACTTTGACATATCCATGATATTCTCGATACTGATGTTCAACTGTATGTAGGTTTTGCTGTGGTACTTTGACATATCCATGATATTCTCGATACTGATGTTCAACTGTATGTAGGTTTTGCTGTGGTACTTTGACATATCCATGATATTCTCGATACTGATGTTCAGCTGTATGTAGGTTTTGCTGTGGTACTTTGACATATCCATGATATTCTCGATACTGATGTTCAGCTGTATGTAGGTTTTGCTGTGGTACTTTGACATATCCATGATATTCTCGATACTGATGTTCAGCTGTATGTAGGTTTTGCTGTGGTACTTTGACATATCCATGATATTCTCGATACTGATGTTCAGCTGTATGTAGGTTTTGCTGTGGTACTTTGACATATCCATGATATTCTCGATACTGATGTTCAACTGTATGTAGGTTTTGCTGTGGTACTTGTAAGCAGAACAACAATGATGATCTTTATAGCAAAAGGTCAAAGGTCACATGGTTTCCCTTATAAGTCCTGTCAGTTTGTTTTTGAATATGGTACAGCAGTGTTTGTTTTTGATAGATTGTTTCCTTACTTCAGGTTCCATCAATCCTTTAGCACTTACAGCACAAGTGGACAGATTGGCAAATCTGATTGAAAGATTGGAACACGGGGTAAGACACTTTAGAGAAATGAAATTTGAAATGTATTTTAAAGCAAGACTGTGAATTAATTGATATGAGATAATAAGCAATTGTGATATAACAGTTTTCCCTTCATTAAGTCATTTTTCTTGTAGGTTAACTTTAAAGGATTTGTTGATGAAGACATGAATGCCACAGAGGAAGATCAGGTAGTATTCTATCATTGTCATCTATAGGGAAAGGGAAATGTTTTGTTTCCATGACAAACTGTACTGGGGATGCTAACAAATATGTACTTGACAGAATTGATCATTACAGATTTCAAGATATGCATTGAATGTTTTAAGATTAATTGAATTAAATTCTGTTCTGACCTCACTGTTTGTTCTATAGTACATCCTTCAGCAGAGGGGTATGGAGGTGATCAAGGGGAAGGAAGAGGATTTCCGTGTGGCTCTCCGTCAGTATGTGGAGGACACAAACAATGCTCCTGGAGCACTCAAGTATGTCCAAAATTAAGTCAGAAACAAAAAACTCGCTAGGGGACCTCAAGTAAGCCAGAAATTAACTCAGAAACAAACAACTCACTAGGGGCACTCAAGTAAGCAAGAAATTAACTCAGAAACAAACAACTCACTAGGGGCACTCAAGTAAGCCAGAAATTAACTCAGAAACAAACAACTCACTAGGGGCACTCAAGTAAGTCAGAAATTAACTCAGAAACAAACAACTCACTAGGGGCACTCAAGTAAGTCAGAAATTAACTCAGAAACAAACAACTCACTAGGGGCACTCAAGTAAGTCAGAAATTAGCTTGAAACAAACAACTCACTAGGGGCACTAAAGAAAGTCAGAAATTAACTCCAGAAAACAACTCACTAGAGGACAGCTAAGTAAGTCAGAAATTAGCTTGAAACAAAGCAACAGGGGTATTTGATCATCGATCAAATCTAAAATATGTCCTGTCATCAGACATCAGACAGACCATTCACATTTGTGAGTTGGGTTGAACATAAGATGAACTTATAAAATCCATATAAAGTTTTTTTTGAGAATTTCGGAATTGTGAGATGCAAATTAAATATCTGTGTGTTCATTTAAAATAAATTCATTTTTGGTAGATGTCAAAGTAAAAACAAATACATGCTATTTATTGTTGTAGTATTAGTGTGAGATTCTTCAAAGATACTGGTGTCTTTACACTGTATGAAATCTGGGAATCGGAAAATACAGAGAAACAGTAAGTGTTGACTCAGAGGAACATCAGATGATATGTTACATGTTATCAGTAGATGATATGTTACATGTTGTCAGTAGATCATATGTTACATGTTGTCAGTAGATGATATGTTACATGTTATCAGTAGATGATATGTTACATGTTATCAGTAGATGATATGTTACATGTTGTCAGTAGATGATATGTTATGTGTTGTCAGTAGATATCTTACATGTTGTCAGTAGATGATATGTTACATGTCAGTAGGAGATATGTTACATGTTGTCAGTAGATGATATGTAACATGTCAGTAGATATGTTACATGTTATCAGTAGATATGTTACATATTGTCAGTAGATGATATGTTACATGTTGTCATTAGATGATATGTTACATGTTGTCAGTAGATATGTTACATGTTACGTGTTGTCAGTAGATGATATGTATCATGTTATCAGTAGATATGTTACATGTTGTCAGTGGATGGTATGTTACATGTTGTTAGTAGATGATATGTATCATTTTATCAGTAGATGTTATGTTACATGTCAGTATTTGATATGTTACATGCTATCAGTAGATGATATGTTACATGTTGTCAGTAGATGATATGTTACATGTTGTCAGTAGATGATGTTTCATGCTGTCAGTAGATGATATGTTTCATGCTGTCAATAGATGATATGTTACATGTCAGTATTTGATGTTATGTGTTGTCAGTAGATGATATGTTACATGTTGACTTGTCAGTAGTTGTTATGTTAAGAGTATTTAATTGAAGCCATTTTTATTCAATATATACATGGTAAATACATACACATGTGTACCAGTTGGGATAAGAAGGATAACAGGCCTATTTGAGCCATCTCCAATCTCTGAGAAAGATGTTGTGTATAGCTTTATCATAAAATCTAAGAAAACAGGAAGAAAAGGAACTATAGGAGAGATAAAATAAACATTGGTAACTCTTAAATTACCACAAAATTTGCTTAAAACTTTGTTTACATACCCTGCTCCACTTTGTATTTTAGATATCGGGAGAAGAAGTCCTTTGATTCAGTGTTCCCAGGTCTAACATCGGACGTCTCATTGTCCTCAATCACCTTCCCAAGTATGACAACAAAATAGCTCATTAACTGTTCATCAATCAGTAAAAATATTTTAACAAATGAATCTTTATTATTAGCAGGGTTAAAATGTACAGATTTACTTCAGCCATATAATGCACTGATGAGTACATACAAATACATAGTGATTTTTCCTACAGTTATTGAGTTATCGTACTTTTTTGTTCATTTTGATGTAGCTATTAAATCATGTAAATACATGCAATTCTTTGTGATTTCAGAAACCTGGTGGTTGAAGCAATAAAGAGTTCTACTAGAGGGAACATTTCAGAAGACAACTCACTAAAAAGTATCAGGGTGTATGCCTGTGTTCTACCATACTGACAGACTTTTAATAATGCCAGTTCTTTTATCCAACTTTTAATTTATCTCTGCTGTGCACAGTACTTTGTTGTATTTTATATGACCTTTTTGTTTATTGTTAGTCTTAATTTTGTAGAGAGTTGTATGTGTTTACTGATGTATAAATCATGTACATGTATTAATTATATATAGGTCACATTCAGTATCCCCTGTGTCATCTTAAGCAATCAGATGATTTATGGTCAGGTGTTTCTACAGAATGAAACGATTTAATTATAGTATATCAAACCTGGAATACTTAAAAGTAGTGGATGGTTTTATAAAATAATAGTGTTTTCCCTGTTGTCTGGTCTTTGTATTTAGGATTCTTATTTTGATTCCTTATATAGCTGATATTAAGATCCAGGAATATTCCTTATATAGCTGATATTAAGATCCAGGCTCCAGGGCCATAAAACTTAGACGAGCTTACTTTTGATCTCAGTCTCACTTTTACCAAAGGAATTATTAATAGAAAAGGTGAGACTGAGATCAAAAGTGAGCTCATCTAAGTTCATCTAAGTTTCATGGCCCCTGAGCCAGGCCTCAAGACCATAAACTGAAAACAGACTTAAGTAAAAATTTCGATTTTGAATGTCTTGGGTTTCACTTTACATATGGGCTAAAAAAAATTTACAGATTTCAATAATATTAAAATTTAAACATACGCCAAATTGTGTTTTATTATCAAAATTATTTCAAAAGTTATATTGATTTGAAATTTTGACTTAAGTCTGTTCTCAGTTCATGGTCTTGGGCCAGGAATAGTTGCTTAGTCAAGAGATACATATCAGTATGTCTCTACAACAAATTTTAAGATGGTATTTAAAACATTCTATAAATCTTAAATATGTGTTTCAAAGGCATATTTAAATTGGCCACAATAGTGAACAAAAATGAAGAATCAATTTTTTCTTCTTTTTTTTTTTTTTTAAGTTTTAGTTTCTCAAAGTAAAACATAGTTATGAATTACATGCAGAAAGCAAATACATCAGGATAACGTGAAGTCAAATAGGGAGTAAATGAATTATGTATACAAAAAAGTAGGGATGTCAATTTAGTCAACAATTCAAATTCGAATATTCAATGAAAGTATTCGAATATATTCGAATATTCGATAAAATAAATAAAACCTGTTTTATTTTAGATATGCGTCATATAGTAGTGAACTTTCTCATGAAAGGTTTAGCGTAGTTATACTTATATTGGAAGTAAAATTGTATGAAGACTTTTGTAGGTGTACAATAAGAAATTCCATTTGATATTTGTCAATGTTTGAAATAAATAATTGATTTAAATGTAGAAAATTATATTTTTACCAAATGAAACGTTTATTTATAGTAACCCTACCTAAGGAACCAGTCATCTTACAAAAGACAAGATAGTTGTAATGGTATACTGTTCAGATTTCAATACGTGTAATTAATTACAATTATCTACCTGATAAGAGACATGATTATATAATCTTTGATACAATGTAAACAAATATTTCCATAGACAATTTTCTTAGGTAATTTACTAATTTCCCGATAATCAATATAAAATTCAGGATTATATACAACCCGAGATAATCAAGTAATTTACACATTTATTCTGAAATTGAGCCCTTTGCAATATTAATTACAGATTAATTCTATCGGACATTCATTCAATGGTCAATTAATTTTATTTTGATAAGTATACTCTTCACGTCTTTTAGACAATTTTAGATTTCATTTGTTGTCCTCGATTCTAGATCCGATCGTATCTAACTAATAAAAACTATGAAAGTACGTTTTGTATTATACATAAAACATTATAATTCCAGCACTGTTCTAATCAAAATTTATTAATCACAGTACTTCTTTTTATGAAATCTGAAAAACACCGAATATTCGAATCTTAATTTCATATTCGAATATCAACTCATCGAATGAATATTCGAATGTTCGAATATTCGTTGCCATCCCTACAAAAAAGCGATTCTGTGAAGGGTTCCTAAATCTACTCTGCTGTGTGACGAAAGGGAGATCAATATGTGTAGTTAATTCCCGTGTTTGTACATGTACCAAATGTACTTGATATGTTTTTTTTTTTTTTTTTTACTTTTGTTAATGTTATTACATACAGTATATGTACTAATATTTAATGCATAATTCAAAGTTTCATGAGGTAATTATTATTTATATGCCAAGCTATTGCTACAAACCTTTTAATATTTTTCTAGCATTCTGAATATGTATCAGAAATTAAATGAACAAGGATTTCTAGGTTTTACAGAGATACAGGTCTTGTATATGTTATGCATGCATTTATATGTACAATTGTTAAATTTATAGATTATTGGAATTAAGAATACATGTACGTTGATGACTTATGTACTGTTCTGTGAACAATTTAATCTTGGTGATAAGATTTCACTAAATGAAGAGATGAAGGCAAAGAAAATAACAAAGAAGAGGTCATGACAAAACAATTCAACCTGATGCTGAAAAATCAAACAACCAAATGTCAGTTCAACTTGACACTGAAAAGTCACACCACCACATAATGTCAATTCAACCTGATACTGAAAAGTCACACTACCACATGCCAGTTCAACTTGACACTGAAAAGTCACACCACCACATAATGTCAGTTCAATCTGACACTGAAAAATCAAACAACCAAATGTCAGTTCAACTTGACACTGAAAAGTAACACCACCACATAATGTCAGTTCAACCTGATACTGAAAAGTCACACTACCACATGCCAGTTCAACCTGGTACTGAAAAATCACACAACCACATAATGTCAATTCAACCTGACACTGAAAAATCAAACAACCAAGTGTCAGTTCAACCTGATACTGAAAAATCACACTAACACATGTCAGTTCATCCTAACACTGAAATCACACCATCATATAATGTCAGTTCAACCTGAACTAAAAAGTCACACCACTACATGTCAGTTCAACCTGACACTGAAAAGTCACACCTCCACGTAACATCAGTTCAACCTGACACTGAAAAATCACACCAATACATGTCGGTTCAACCTGAACTAAAAAAGTCACAACACCTCATGTCACTTCAACATGTCATACTGAAAAATCACAACACTACATGCAGTTCAACGTGACACTGAAAAAATCGCAACACTACATGCGGTTCAACGTGACACTGAAAAAATCACAACACTACATGTCGGTTCAACGTGACACTGAAAAAAATCACAATACAACATCTGTCTAATGTGTCAGGGAGATCTGATCAGTCTGCTAACACTCTACATTTGTCATTAGGACAATGAAGTTTTTAATGACTGGAGGTGGGGAATATGTGTGCACCTAAGAATATCAGTACACAGACGTCATTCATGATACTAGTCTGATCACATGTACATGAGTGAGCTGGCTGATCAGGATTGTTTGTTTTCTCGCTGTTTTTATATGATGATTTCAACGGAACTTGATCTGTAGAGTACAAAAGTTACAAAATTCTTTAAATCGATTTTCAGTTATATGTTTTGTTTAATACAAATGGAACAAACATTCTGGGAGTATTGCATTAGCAATAGTAGTCCCCTACCGTCAAGTGTAATCTGGTTCCCCTTAAAAATTAAAAAGGCCATAATTCCAGGAAAAAAATCATTGAAGCGGAACAAAATGCAAACTTGATATATAACTCGTTAAGGTAGACTCGCATACCAGAAATCAGCTCAATATCTGGAAGCGTTTAGGGGGGAAAATGCTGAAAACCAACTATGAAAATCTGGTTCCCATTAAAAATTTTAAAAGGTGTTAATTCTGTATGGACAACTGTATACAGGGAAATTTTCTCCTCAGGTTTATTTTCACACCTTTCGTCCTGGAAACAAGTAGGTGAATTTAAGACGGGGCGAATTCAATGAAGACAGTATAACTTCTTAAACAGAACTGTGACTGGCCGAATTTAAAACGGTGAAAAATCGTTTGCAAGTGTGAAAGGGCGAAAATAACTCTGTATACAGTATAATTGTCCTCCCCCACCCCACCCCCCAAAAAAACTTTTCCAAAAATTATTGTAACACTGCTACACATTTATCTGTGAAAATCGACTCAAAGGTGTCCAAAAATGTACATAAGATTTAATAAATCATTTTTGGGGACGTGACCCCTAGGCCCCTACCCCATCCCCAAACTGGTCGGGGGCCCCTTTTCAAGAATCCTTGATCCTACACTGCATGTAGACCACATCATAATATGTAATTGTACTGATCAATCCGTATATTCTGTGAGTGGAAGTATGACCAAGACTAAGTATCGCTGCTATCCCAATAATAATGACCTAGTACATATTATTTCAAAGTACATCCCATCCTACAATATTTACCTTATTTGGAAAAAATCGCAGGCCTTTATAGTAAGACTGTAACACAATAAATTCATTTAATTAGTTTCTTTGAAACCATTTGATTATCTTGAAAGGTTAATCTAACCCCCTCCCCCTTTATGTCTGGCTATGCTTCTGAGCGTTTGGAGTTTCTGACGCCATCCTAAAACACGAATTCGTAAACAAATTTGGGAATATTGTTTGAAAATATCAAGAAATTGTGATGTGTTTTAAACTTGAGTCATAAAAAGAATGGTAGCCAAATTGAGTTGTGCACAGTTTATAAATTATTCAGATCAGATATAAGGTTTATTTAGATGTTGATAGCATTAATAATTTATCCTTTATTGAATATTGGGGAGGGGGGGGGGTATTCAGATCAGATAAATACATTATGTAGAATATGTCATTACTTGTACATACTGTCGTAAAATTCATAATATTTGGATTATTCCCGAACTAAATTTTACAAGTATCAAAGATGGATATGGATTCCATTCTTCTCATGAATATTCATTTATATCTAAAATTGAATGAAAGTCCACAGATCAGAGGAAGACATCATCTCTTAGTTATAAGTTAGATCAAATTTGACTGTTTTTAGGAAGCTCTAAACACTGCACACTAAAGAGTTCTACTTGTGGGGTAGTTTTATGCAGCTAGGGTGACCCCCCTAGAAGTAAGAAAGAGAAAATGATTATTACTGTTAATTACACATTTGTATTGTATTATATTAGACCAAGAATAAGTAATTGAAATCATTATTTCCATTAATTTTTCCAATGTAAGTAAACAACAGTGATTTCTGTTCACGAATAGTCCATTGTCTTCGAACATTCTTCCTGCAGAAATAAAGCAGGTACCCTTTGTTGAAAATGAACTGAATAATCTCAATATGCACACCTTTATATGATGTATTTTTCTCTGAGTCCAAAAAGCACTTTTAGTTAGTGTTTAGAGCTTCCTTACAGGATTAAAAAAACGTACTTTATTACATTTTTTACAGTGAAATACTGTGATTTATTTATTGAATAAAATAGATTTTCTCTCACAGTGTGAAAGGATATCAAAGTGATATTCTCTCACACTGTGAAAGTACATCAGAGTAAGTAAAAAATAATTTCTGGCCTGTCATAAGATAGAGATAGTAACTAAACCGTCTTGAAAGAGACTAAAACTGTCAATTTCTTCCCAAATATGTTGCTAAAATTCATGTTACAATGTTTTCAATCTCACAATAATTGCTAAAGTATGACTTCTCAACCGCTCAACTAACGTCACAGCCTATGAAACTGTGTTAATCTTAAAAGACAGAGGCAAGGGGAAAATGACTGTAATAAGCAGAAAATCCAATGTTTTGTAGTTGGATACTCGTGAAACAAATTTTTGTGATATTTTATTAATTTTTATATATTTTTTATATTTTCATTCGTGCTTCCTGTCCCACTCGTGAAATAAATAAATAAATTCCATATCCAAATACAAAACATTGAATATCCTCTATATAGCCAATCAAAGTCCTGAATCCACCCTTGTTTACTAAATTCCTGGATCCATCCTTGTTTTAACGATCCCTTTTTTAAATATATTGACTTTTTTACTTAGATTTCTCTAGAAAGTTTCAGTCTAGGAATATTTTTGATATGCCAGTACATCTCTTTTACATATTGATTTTCCCCCCAAAAATGACAACTTTGCTTTATGAGGTATTTTCATAACTTTATTCATTACACTTCACATTTGGTGATGGTCATTCTTTAGATTTCCATTTTTTTTTTCAGTATAAGCTGTATGGTGGTATTTTGTTAGTACATGGATATGTGAGAACCGAACTGGTATAATGCCATTATCGTGTTACCCTTGAGTAATCCAACACTGAAAATACTTATGATTTTTTTAATATAGTGTGATAAAAATATAGGGCCCATGCTTTCTATTCAGATTTTGCTTGTTCCTGACATCTACAACAATGCGACGACGTCACAATTAACACTTTAGTGTATTTATGACGTCACAATCAGGGTTTGAGTATCGACGTCACAATAATTGTCCTTCGGCGTTAATCGTTGCAAATGGAGGCAGGATGACAATGACAACTTACCAGCAATGTTATGCCCCCGCTTCCTTCCATAGTCCTGTCCGTTATCTCCAGCTCCCCTCCATTGTGTGCAAGGGAACCCTCCAGCAGCCCCCCAGACAGTTCCCAATAGAACCTGTAGGTCCCAAGAGACAACAAGAGCGGGACCCCGAGGAGGGGCCTGTACTAGGACTTGGTACAAAATGCATCAACACTGGTCGGTAAGGAAACAAACGCACCATTTACAAGGAACTGCGTTAACTAGTATAACTCATAGGTTATTGTTACTAGAAACTCTAGATCCCTAAACAATATTTTCATTCGTGCAAAGCTTTATTCTGTCGCTTTAACTTAAAAGTTAAATTTTAAGCTATGTAATAATAATGTAATGAGAAATGTAATAACCTTTGTTCAGAGACTGAATTCACGATCTTAAGATCTTGTAGCCGTGCTGAACTTGGAAGTTACACTTGGTGATTCACCTTCCATGGGTCGTAACACCAGTAAAGCGAAGTGAAGTGATCTAAATGGAGAAAGCAAATCAATCTCGTTGCTAAAATCTCCCACATGTATAGCACTGTTCTGCTTACAATTACAATTGTATTAAATACACAATGTGTCATGAGTTTACTTGTTTCCAAATTCTTGAAGAGTAACTTGTCTTACATGTATATGACAGATATGACTTGTCTTCTATGAATAAGTTATGATTTTGTTTTTCATATTTTGTTTGATGAGGTTTTTGGAACCTAAAGAAATTACTGCAAGTCCATCTCCGAGTAAAATAACATGTTCCCTACGAAAGCCGACAGTGGACCGTAAATGTGTCCGAAGAGTTCGCTCAGAAGTGATGGGGAGACCAGAGAGTGCTGGTGTTCATCGGACTAAGTTTGGCCTGATGGATTCAAACTTGATAAACAGGTTAGCTCAGCGGGTACGATGGACGTCAACATCCACGGCTGCCGCGGAGGAGGCTTGTCTTAAATTCCCACAGGTCTGCATAAAAACACCACAATGCCATTCGAACTCACGGTATTTCGAATAAATATGTTGATAATCAGTCAAATTACCGGTACCTAATACTGGTATATACTCAACAAAGAAGAAACGCATATTCAGATTAAACATGCAGTAAAGCGTCTTGTGATAAAAATCAAACATGCCTCATGTTGTTGCACATGTATTGAAAAGTTAAGAATAAAACCACAGCTTCTCTCGATCCATACAAGGTAAGAATTTAATAACTGTATTACAGTGAGTTTCAATATCGCGTATTTCCTCCGTTCGCATCAATTGAAGCCTGAACACGTCATGTCATAGAATTAATAAGCTTGTTGATAGTAACTTGAGGGATATTGTTCCATTCCTGCAACAAGGCCTGCTCTAGATCCTGGATGGTGGTTGATGTATTGGGGCGGCCTCTAACTCGTTTATCCAGCTCATCCCATAGATGTTCTATCGGAGTAAGGTCTGGTGAACGTTGTTCGTCTGCAGAAAATCCGAGCACACCCTTGCCACATGCGACCGAAATTCTAGGGTCATACCGTCTTAACCAATCCATTCGTCTCTGGTGACGTCTCGGCATTAGTGGATTTTAAATACGCTGATTTCCTCGTCCAGCAATAGTAGCAGCAGTTTCTAAAGCAGTTCTGAATTGCGCAGATGCTGAGGGTGGATCTGACGGTCCTGCCTGGGAGTGGTAACCCGCGGACGGCCAGTTCTTGGTCTGTCATCCGTGCTTTCTAGCCGGTGGAGACGTACGTTTAACTGCTGCACAGTCGATTGATGTACTCCAAATGCAGTTGCAACTTCCTGTTGCGTAGCTCCGGCTAGTAGCATCGTTACAGCCCGGTTGCGTTCATCTTTGTTTAGGCGTGGCATTGTAGCATCAAACATGCAATAAAATTTTAAATCTTTCATAGAAGTGTTTATTGTTTCCCTAAATCCAAAATATCAATGAGGAAAGACCCCCAATTTACAAGAAATCCTGCAAAACGCTCTTTTCATAAACATAATTAATCAAGCGAAACAATTCGACACTTGGGCTTTAAAAGCCCATGTTGTTCTTTAAATAGGTCACATGTAAACAAATGATAAAAGTGATAGTTGTTCCATGTAATGTTTCAAAATTTGTTTGATGAGTAAAAAAATATGCGTTTCTTTTTTTGTTGAGCATAATATAGATCGACTTTTTTTAATTCTTAAATTATTCATAGATCGATCCCCCTTCTACAACTTTGGAGAAAAGAGCAGATATGGTACGATCAGTTGGACAGCGATATGACCCTGAGCCCATGGAGTGGCAGAAAGCCGTGTTCTGGGATTTTGTGCAGAGCCGGGGAGTCATCCATCATGATGAACTGAGTGAACGAACGTACAGCCAGCCAGAAAAACTCCTGGTGAAAAGGTACTAATCTCAAATGTGTAGAAATGGACACCCCACCCCCGTCCCCGAAACGAATGAATGAGTAAATATTAATATGAATATACAATGCAAGTCGAAATTTCATGGAAACGTAAGTTGAAATTTCATGGAAACGTATGGAGTGAGATTTTTGTGTATTTTCGAGGTCTTTTCTTTTTAAAATATATCTTGAAGGGCTGTGTAGCTTGGCATAAATATACTCAAATCTCCTTAATTAGAATTTGCAATTATATATATACTAGTGGTACCCCACCTAACATGCCATTATTATTTTTGGTCATTGGTTTCCTCGTTTTGTTGCATTTTTAATCCATTGGGTTAAAATACTAGCATATTGTAGTGCGGTCGGCTGTTTCTGAATAAATTACTTAATTGGTACTTCAACATATTATTTAGACCAGCTGTATTCCAACCAAGTCCTAACCAGCACGTGATCTCTCTCGATCTCTCTCTCTCCGGATAGATCTAATTTCTTTGCAATAGAAGACAAACATTCTTAAGTTGATAAATTACACAAAACAGAGAAATATAAAACGTCTATCAAACGAATTGATTGAATGTCTACAAACAAATCAGTTTGTGTAAATTAAGTGTAGGCTTTATCGAATCTTGTTAAAATCAGAGGAATTATAAGGGCCACTATCACTCCACCTTTAAATCAACAAGGAGAAACAAGCAGGTAACCTACTGTGTTTTCTAGTAAATATAAAATATTTGTCACTTCAGAAATTACACGGACAGTTTGCTTTCGAATTCCGACTAGTTACTTATTTTGAAATAACATATTTGATTCTTTTTGCTGCGTTTGAGCTCTGTTGGTTATGTGAATAAGCCATTGTTACTGAATAACGGAAAAGCAGCAACTCTGTAACTTGAAAATATATGAAGTAAGCCTTTAAAAAGGTAAAACTGTAAAAAAAAAAAAAAATGACATTGAACATTTACTTGACATAAGTAACATGCGAGGCTATCCCATAATCACCCCAGTAGTGTGCAAGGACTAACCATAATCAGTGGAGTGGAATGCAAGAACTAAGCCTTGTATCTCAGGTGAGTGCAAGCAGTAAGCAGAATCAGTCAATTGTGTGAGAGGACTAATTCTTCCAACAATCTGTTGGAATTTCCATGGGTACCAACTGCGCCCCCTTATTAGCAGACCTTTGTATTTTTGTATTCATATGAAGCAGAAAACAATATCAATATTGACCGAGGCTTCGCCTCGGTCAATATTGATATTTTTCTGGTGAATAACAAACCATATTCACCATCGAAAGAGTCCATAAATGTTTTATTATATAGTCAAAATTTGAATGAATAAGACATTGAAGGCTGCCTGACGAATCCATTTTCATTAACGAACTTCTGTCGTAGAAAAATAATCAAATATCCAGATTACAACCTATATCTTCCGTGTTTTCCTTTCGCTGTGTGTAAGACATCGAAATGTTAAGAAAATAATCCTGCCATAGACTTGCGAAACAATTTTTCCTGCTCAAATATTCAGCTAGCTACCGACCGTTGCAACCATTGTGCTCAACGTTGTTTGAGGTATTGATTGTGACGTCACAATGCCACTGCACGCGCACTGACCCTCCGGTGAATACGGCTTCAAATCCGGTGAATATGTAGTGTTATGAACTGTTTGCATTTGTATAGATTATATAGGGGCTATTTATAGACTATATAATAATTAGATATATCGACGACGTATAATCAGTTAACAATGGTTACTTCCATTCATATGTCGACTCGATATATCCCAGTGAGCTTGAAATAAAAAATACCAAAGAATCTGTCACATCTGTTTCATATTTGGATATTTTACTAGAAAAAGACATTAATGGTAACCTAACAACAAAGCTTTATGGTAAACGTGATGACTTCAATTTTTCAATCGTTAACTTCCCTTACTTATGTAGCAATATAGTTATCACCTGCATATGGTTTTTTTTTGTCTCGCAGTTGATTCGATACGCAAGAGCATGCTCAACACACAAACAATTTCTAAAACTAGGCAAGCTATTGACAAACAAGTTGATGAAACAGGGATATCAACAGTCTTGTTTGAACTCACCATTTCGCAAGTTTTATGGTCGATACAATGACCTTGTCAGCAAATACACCTATCATTATGTCAAATGCTGACTAACATTAAATACTGTAGATCACTAAATTTTCGCGACACCTTATTTTTGCGAGAAAGTCAATGTCTCTTTATTAGCGAGACAAAATTTTCACGTTGTGGTTATTGCTCTATTTAATCATTAGATTACTAAAATACTCGAGAATGAAATTTTTGCGATCACACTGTCTCGCGTAATTACGCCAATATAAAGTTCTCGCGAATAAAAGGTGATTTGCACTACTTATTGTTAGGCCTTATTTACACACTGGAATGTCTACGGATTTTTCTGTTTTTACCCGATCATGACAAGTAGCACACGGCGGATGTGACCGGTCGGCAGGGGATGCTCCTCCATGGCACCTGATCCCTTCTCTGGTGTTTTTGGAAGTCCGTGTTTTGCGCTGCTCCAGATTTGTATTGTTTTAATGGACTTTGAGCTTGAATACTGTTCGTTATCTTCATATTTCAATACTCGTATGGGCATGTCAGACCATCTCAATTTAGCACACCAAACAACCGAGGTTTTGAGCAGACAATCGGACTTTTGCGAGATCATCGGACTTTGGCCTGACCATCGGACGTTAAAGTTTTTCATGTATGAAACAACAAATTATATTTCTAAAAGAGAAAAAAACCACGCCTCTTTGTGGCTTAAGTGTAATTCAAATAGTTTTGACCTTGACTTTGTCAAAATGGCCTTTGTTTAGGACCACGACATATCTTACCTTTGTGCCAGGAATGAGCTTTTACAGTTTGCCTATTACATTAAACATGCTAGAGACTTTGACCTTGACTAAATGACCTGTAGTAATCTTTTGTTCTTGATTAGAGAGGGTATGAACAAAGTAAAAGTTGCGTATAATAAGAGGCCCATGGGCCACATCGCTCACCTGAGTAACTTTGGCCATGCTGTTCTTTACCAGATTTCCTCCCTTGTAATACCTATTGTGGCCCCACCCTACCGCGGGGGTCACGATTTGAACAATTTAGAATCTACAAATGATTTTTCCTTTATATTTCAATGTAAAACTTGGATTCCCCATTGTGGCCCCGCCCTATCCCCAGGGGTCATGATTTGAACAATTTAGAATCTACACTACACCAGGATGCTTCCATATAAGTTTCAGCTTTTCTGGCCCAGTGGTTCTTTTAAAGAAGATTTTTAAAGATTTTTTCTTATATATTTCAATGTAAAACTTGGATTCCCTATTGTGGCCCCGCCCTACCCCCGGGGGTCCTGATTTGAACAATTTAGAATCTACACTACCCCAGGATGCTTCCGTATAAGTTTCAGCTTTTCTGGCCCAGTGGTTCTTTTAAAGAAGATTTTTAAAGATTTTTTCTTATATATTTCAATGTAAAACTTGGATTCCCTATTGTGGCCCAGCCCTACCCCCGGGGGTCCTGATTTGAACAATTTAGAATCTACACTACCCCAGGATGCTTCCATATAAGTTTCAGCTTTTCTGGCCCAGTGGTTCTTGAGAAGATTTTAAAAGATCTTTCCTATATATTTCAATGTAAAACTTGGATTCCCTATTTTGTACCAACGCCTAGACCGTGACAAGACACCGAAGCTTTTTTGGCCCAGTGGTTCTTGAGAAGAAGATTTTTTAATGACCCCACCCTATTTTTGTCTTTTCTTGATTATCTCCCCTTGTAAGGGGACTTGGCCCTTTATTTTAACAATTTAAACTCCCCTTTACCCAAGGATACTTTGTACCAAGTTTGGTTAAAATTGGCCCAGTGGTTCATGAGAAGTTGAAAATATGGAAAGTTTACAAACGGATGGACGGACGACGGACAACGGGTGATCAGAAAAGCTCACTTGAGCTTTCAGCTCAGGTGAGCTAAAACAGAATATCATGACCAAGAACCTTGATCTTGAATATAAGAATACCTGTGGACCAACGCCTAGACCGTGACAAGACACCGAAGTTTTGAAGGTTATATCCGAAAGACCTGTGACTATGAAAATTTATTACCGAAACAAGTGCCTGTGCTTCCAATGCCGGGCAGTTGGCGAAGGAACAGTTACTAATGTTACAAGTCTTAGGAACAGAATCGAACCCGGGCTTCGTATTGTCTTTCTGACATATTTTCTATTTATCAATAAAAATCTGCATTACGACTAATTTGCTTTTTAGTTGAATTTCTCTTGGATTTTCAGGCTTTCCAAAGGAATGGGAGAAAAACCCCGTAGCAATACACCATTAATACGAAGGCTGGTGAGAGAAGATCAACTTTCTAATGTATTGTAAGTGTATGGACGGTATGAATATCTAAATTTCCACACGGTGAATTCCATAAACCATGATCGAACGTCAAAATCATTACTCTAATGAATTGGTCAAATTCATTTGTATAGGTGTAGTGATGGCGGTATGTGTGTGTGTCCGGGGGGGGGGGTTCAGGGGGTCAACCCCCGGATTTTTAAGAGTGTTTAAATAAATGATATAGGTTTTGGCGTGTGTATTTTTTTGGCGTGTGTGTGTGTGTGTGTTTTCTCAAATTTCTGAGTTGTATTTCTTTTTATATCCCCTAGGAAAAATTCCAGGTTCTGCCCTTAAAATGGTTTTGGTATAAACTTACAACAGATAAAATTCATGACACTTTTATAACATTGTCTCTAGAATGCAAGGTCTGTTGTATTTTAAGATTGTTATAATGCGCTTGAATGCATGATATTGACGAAAAGCCAAACGGGAAAAAATCTTGGTGTTTAAAAGTTCTATAAATAAGATTATTAACTAGAGTCGAGCTCGTTGCAATGCAACGAATAGGTCTTCCGTCGGAGCTCCAGACAGGACAGAGCGACCTTGAGTCAAGGTCATGCAACATTTTAAGGTTATAAACAATCCTGTAAGGGGCATCAACTTGCAATGTTTCCACAGTAGAAAGACAGTAAAGGAATGTAAAATTCCCCTGTCAGTGAACTTGAACTTGTCCAAATAACCTTGCGTCAAGCCATAACACATTCTGCAGCTTGTTAAGAGCAAACACCATCTTTATGTCACCGACATAAAAAAAATTCACAGTCACGTATTCTTTCAGACTATTCATCCAAAACATCATATTCTAAGTGACCTCGAATTTAAGCCAAGGCCATTACACACTCTGGATGATATATTTATCATCTTTTCAGTGAAATGCAAATGCATGCAATTTTTTTCTATTACAAAATTATAGACCTTTTTGTTTATTTGTTTGTATGTTGTTTAACGTCCCTTTCGAGAATTTTTCAATCATATGGAGACGCCACCATTTGCCGATGGAGATCTGCAAATTTTGACCTATACTTGGCACACATGGCCATTGAGCAGTGAGGGATCTTTTTCGTGCCAGCACCTACTGCCAGACGGGACCTCAGTTTGTACGGTCTCATCCGAAGGATCAGTTTCTGCGTCCCTCAGTGGGATTCGAACCTGCGACGTAAGGATCAACTCCTTAATCCACGACTCTAGAGCAGACACTCTTACCACTGCGCCACTTGGGCGACTAGACCTTTTTGAATTTTACACTTATTATATCAGTGACCTTGAACTTTCCTAAATGACCTATGTTAAGGTCAAAAACAACCTTTGAACAAATTATGAGCTTCCAGTGATACTCAATGACAAAGATATACCTGAAAAAGAATATTGCACTTTTCTGTCAGTGACTTTGAACTTGCCAGAAAGACCTTGGATCAAGGTCAAAACACATTCTTGGATCATAAGCAATCTCTGTATCAAGTAAAAGCTTCCAGTGATTTTATATTACAAAGTTATAGCATGGGAAAAAAATAATATTTATCTGCCAGTGACCTTGAACTTGCCGGAAAAACCTTTGTTCAACATCAGGACAAACCCATCTCAAGCAATCTGAGAAAAAGTTTCCTTTGTTCCTCCCACCCCTTATAAATTTATAATCCAGGCACGAATTTTGCCACTTCTTCTGCCAATCTAGTACTATGTTATCTCAAACCGGTGGATCATAAGCAATCTTTGTTCCAAGTATGAGCTTCCAAAATTATAGCACATACAGTAATCTTACACTTTTCTGTCAGTGACCTTGAACTTACAGGAATGACCTTGGATGAAGGTCGTGTCAAACCCTTTAATTTTGTCATAAGTAATTCCTGTATCAAGTATGATACTTGCTATTTTTTCCAGTAACCTTGAACTTGCCGGAATGATGTTGGATCAAACTATGACACACCTTCGGATCATTAGTAATCTTTGTACCAAGTATGACCTTCCAGTTTCTTCATAACAAAGTTATAATATCCTTGGCAAACTATCACGTACAGACGGACAGCTAGGCAGACGGACAGTGTGATTCCAAAAGACTCAAAACACCCCCACCCCAAACCCACACACTTCGTTTGGGGGGATATATAAATTCCTATGTAAAATTATGAACACTCTTTCCGGCCCAAACTTTCTCCCTGGAATCAATATTTGAAAAAAAAAATGAATGTATGTTATGTTGGAAATTTTCTCATTCTAGTCCAGGGATTCTTGAGAATACTATTTTCAAATGACCCCATGTGCGGATCTAGAGGGGGTTGGGGGGCAGTTAAATGTATATACTAAACAAGTAAATGTGACCATGCCCCCCCCCCCCCCCTAGAAAAAGCGGACCCTTTCTCGAAAACGCGGATCTGTGATAAAATGGTATGAAAAGTCTTAGGTATGAAGCTTTAAAAGTCAATGACCCCCCCCCCCCCCCCTACACACACACGAAATAGGTTTTTCACGTTTGGGAAAAGAGTTGTTTTTTTTTTTTTTTTTTTTGGCTCGTCAAGAAATTTCTGGGTTGAAATATTTTTTTTATTGGCATCCCCTCCCCCCCTCCGTGGAAAAAAATTCCTTGATCTGCGCCTGGACCCCATCTAATTTTTACTACATGTATCCGTTAAAAGAGGATGTGGCCCTTCATTTGAACAAAACTTTACCAAAAATATTCTGTGTTAATTTTCGTTGTTATGGTCCAGTGGTTCTTGATAAGATAAAAATGAGAAAAATTTACGAGTAGGTTTAGAACAACAACGACGATAATGCTTATATACACCAAGATAGCAAACAAAGATGAAGAATTATGAACAGCAAAAGCTTACTTGTGTCTTTGGCTTGGGAGATGAGATACTTATTAAAAATTGAAATTATTTTGTTATTTTTTTTTTTTACAATCGACGGGCCTGCATTTCAGAGAGAGAGAGAGACAGAGAGAGAGAGAGAGAGAATTTCTAACTAGGTCTTTGAATAACAGTGAGATCGGTTCAGAAAACCAGGTCCCTAGGAATGTACATGTATATAAAATAGGCAGTGCCTTTCTCTCGGAATTCATCACCTGCTTCTGTAAAGCTCCATCCTCACCTGTACTTAAATGTACCTGGTAAGACCAACCGACTGCGAAGGAAAACATTCTATTTATTTCGAGGATGGGGGTTTACGTATAGTGATGAGAGGAAATTTATTCACCTATACGTTCATTAAATATGAAAGATTGCTTCTGAGTATTTGTATACGATCGCACGACTTTCGTGTTAATTTATAAAAGTTAGATTATGAAAGCAAATAACTAAACAAACATTTGTAGTAGATGAATTAAATACATGTAATTATTTAGCCGTTTATAAGGTTTTTTATAACATCCGTAAGAACCACTTTATTTTAAACAAGAGGCCCATGGGCCACATCGCTCACCTGAGCACATTAGCTAGACACAAATCAGTTCAGTATTGAAAAGATTACTGGGGGTTGGGAGGGGGGGGTGAATTTTAAACTACCTGATGATGCTTCCATGTCAATATAACAAATGGCTTTGTTGTACTTGAGAAGATTTTAAAAAAAAATTTCCCATATATTTATTTGTAAAATTTTGATCCCCCATTGTAGCTCCTTCCTATCCCAGAGGTCATCATTTGAACAAATTTGAATCTACACTACCCGAGGAACTTCCATATCAATATGACTAAACATAGCTTTTCTTTTCTTGAGAAGACATATTTTTTCTATGTGTTCTTATGTAAAACTTTCAATCCCCATTGGGCCCCAAACTACCCCTGGGGGTTATCATTTGAAAGAAAAAAATTGAATTTTACACTACCTGAGGATGCTTCCATATCAAAATGACTAAACATGATTTTCATTTCTTGAGAAGAAGATATTTTCCAATATGTTTCTATGTAAGAAATTTTTGATCCCCCATTGTGGCCCATCCCTATCCCCGGGGGTCAAACTTGAATCTACACTACCTGAAGAGGCTTCCATATCAAAATGACTAATCATGGCTTTGCAGTTCTTTATCAGAAGATACCTTCCTATAATATTTCTATTTCAGACATTGATTCTCCATTGTGGCCCCGCCCTACCCCAGGGGGCCATGATTTGAACAAACTTAAATCTATACTACCTGAAGATACTTCCACATAAATATGATCAATCAGGGCTTTGCTGTTCCTGGGAAGAAGATTTTTAAAGATTTTTCCTATATATTTCTATGTAAAACTTCGATCCTCCATTGTGGACCCGCCCTATCCCCCGGGGTCATGATTTGAACAAATTTGAATCTACACTACCTGAGGATGCTTCCACATAAATATGACTCATCATGGCTTTGCTGTTCTTGAGATGAAGGTTTTTAAAGGTTTTTCCTATATATTTCTATGTTTAACTTTGATCCTCCATTGTGGCCCCGCCCTACCCCCAAGGGTCATGATTTGAACAAACTTGGATCTACACTACCTGAGGATGCTTCCATATAAATATGACCAATTGGGGCTTTGCTGTTCCCGAGAAGAAGATTTTTAAAAGTTTTTCCTATATATTTCTATGCAAAACTTCGATCCTCCATTGTGGACCCGCCCTATCCCCCGGGGTCATGATTTGAACAAATTTGAATCTACACTACCTGAGGATGCTTCCACATAAATATGACTCATCATGGCTTTGCTGTTCTTGAGATGAAGGTTTTTAAAGGTTTTTCCTATATATTTCTATGTTTAACTTTGATCCTCCATTGTGGCCCCGCCCTACCCCCAAGGGTCATGATTTGAACAAACTTGGATCTACACTACCTGAGGATGCTTCCATATAAATATGACCAATTGGGGCTTTGCTGTTCCCGAGAAGAAGATTTTTAAAAGTTTTTCCTATATATTTCTATGCAAAAGTTTGATCCTCCATTGTGGCCCCGCCCTACCCCCGGGGGTCATGATTTGAACAAACTTGAATCTAAACTACCTGAGGATGCTTCCATATAAATATAACT